CAGCATCGTTACATCATAATCCTGTTTTATAATTATCTAATATATTTAAATAAGTCTGAATTTATAATTGAGACAACCATAATTAACAAAGTATAGGAGGAAATTTTGTATTTTTAGAACTTGTAGAAAAGAGTGAGAAGTTAGATTAATATTGCGATTATACTACGATTCTTGTGAGGTTTCGTGATTTGTTGCAAGTATTTTTGTAGATAGATGATAGTGAGAGAGGATTTGAGGTTAGTAAAATAAACTGGATGAGATGGAGAGGATATATTAGATGATATTATACCTTGTTCAAAGAGCGTGATTAGATGATTATACTTGCAATAGAGAATTCTCATACTAGAGTTAGCTAATATCAACATCTCGCTAGGCATTAAACACTCCTACGAACGAAACGGAGAGGCTTGGGATCGTTGAATCTGTAAGTTGTGATATAAATTTAATTATGGACAGCGTGTGAATCTAGATTAAATTCTCCTTAGTGTGGAGGGTGCATTATTATTTAAACTCTGAGAGGATACTTATATATCATATGGTTGTAGATAAATTAAATTAGTGAAGAAGGAAGAGAAATTAGTGAATTTGGAATAGAGAATGAAGGGCCGAGGAGGAGTAACATATAAAGGCACTTGCCCTATACCGAAATACCGCATCTTCTAGTCACTGTGTGCCAAATACCAGAATAAGTGCGATGCAAACAGAACAGATAGTAAAGAGATTTAGCATCCTTACAAAGATTATTGTGGATTTAGGGTGAGTTTAGGTGAGTTTGAGGGGGTTAAGTGTTGTGAAAATACCTCATATTTTTATACACTGCTAGGAGTGACGGTGATGTAGCTCAAAGACAGCAATTATACGAATTGATATCTATATATTGAAAGGGAGACTGGAGCATGAAGAACAAGTGAGGGTATCTTCGTAGAATAAAAAGTCAAGAGAAAGATGGATGGACATATGCGTGGATCTTTATTCAGATTTCAACACTACTATACTGTAAATTAGTGATTTAGACGTGTTTTATATAAAGATTTAGTTCAGGAGAGGGTTTGTTGCTGAACTGTCTAGTGAATAAGCGATTATTTGAAGTATAAATGGATATGGAAAGTTGAGGAAGCCGGATGAATTAGAGAATGAACACTTCAAATTCCATGGAAGTATGAGTGTATACGAACAATCAAGAAGAAAAGAATACAATGTGTGATTGCGTTTTTGGGGCACAAACTCCGAAGGCTATGAGAACCACAACCCTAGCTTTTGAAGTTACTAGAAGAAGAAGAAGAAATTGATAAGCTTCCTCTATCTATCGCAGAAAGCACCTCACAAAAAAGGCTACAGAATACCTGCTGATAGAACTACCGTGAAAATTCCAGCACAATTGGTTGGGGTAGCTAGACGAAGGTCTTCTGAGATTATGTATGGATATTAGGAAGTATCCCTTGGTGTTTACCGGACGATGATTCAGGCTGGACTCAACGGCAGTAATAAATTATCGTTTAATGTGTTTGATATTAATGAGACGAGAGCAAAGTAGCTTTGAACTAGCTCGAGAGACTTTACAATCCACGTCATATCTTGGCTACAGATACAGCACTGAGCTCACATTGCTTTCAGAGAAACATAAGCTTGTATATCATAATAGTATCGACACTGATGCCTATGTCTAATGTGAATATTTCAAGTAAATATTAAAGATCCTGAGAATCGAGGATATTTCGAGGATCAGTTGAATAGGTAGTAATAGATTAAATTAGCAAGCACGTCCTTCAATTGTGTAGTAAACATCAGAAGTATAGCGTATGTTATTGATGAACAGAACTTCCTAGAATAGAATAATTTAATTAAGGTTTCAGCGCTGTAGGTATTGGTGGATAAGTGAGCCATGTCCAATAGCGAGTAGGTCTTAATCCCACCTCTACAAAGAAATAGGTGTCTAATTTGGAGATTGGAGAACCTTATCATTATGTCTGAAGCTAGTATGAATAGTGTTCTAGATGTAAGATTATCAAAATAAATGAAAAAAGGGGGTTAAAATCCGCAATGATAGCTGAGGAGTGTAGGTGTTCTAGAAATCAAGACCTACTCATTGGCGCATTCATCCCATTTAGACTTCCAAGTTTAAAGAACATGAATATATGGGAATATTCGAAGTGAATTAATGGCATTTGGTACCAAAGCAATTGTGCATTAACCCACCTCGTCGACAGTCTCGCTTAAACTGCATGTTACCATTGCAAATAGACAGTAGCTTCCCCTAACTATCTTCTCAGTGCATAATTTTGTCCTCAAGATCACTTGTGATATGACACTGTGTTATGGAAGAGCCGCACGAGCATTTAAATATCAGCTAAGCTGATACTATAGTGTTGACCTCCTGGGATCTTGGCAGCATATGCATATATATTGCATGATGCATATAAGGAGCAAACAAAACTCAACTTTTAATTCATTCTTTCCTTTTTGGTATACTGTTTGTTTGCTTTCAATATTTTGATTTCAAAGCACTTTAATTCCGAAGTGTTGGGTTACTTGAGACTAGAAAGAGCATCAGATTGAATCGACTCTTTACTGTTCTAAGCAGATAGCTGCGAGCATATATTCAAAAAATGAAGGAATAGGTTGGGTATTCGGCCTTCGGAATTAAAGTGCTTTGAAATCAAAATATTGAAAGCAAACAAACAGTATACCAAAAAGGAAAGAATGAATTAAAAGTTGAGTTTTGTTTGCTCCTTATATGCATATGTACTATATATGCATATGCTGCCAAGATCCCAGGAGGTCAACACGAAGGCTGAATACCTAACCCTATTCCTTCATTTTTTGAATATATACTCGCAGCTTAACTGCTTAGCTAGAGAATCAATCAATTCAATCTGATGCTCTTTCTGGTCTCAAGAAACCCAATATATAGTCACCACATACGTATTTAATTGGTGATAATTATAGTTTCCAAAAGCAAAAGTCCGCTAACTAAGCACTAATTATCATACCGGCATAATCTGGAGTGATAATGATAATGATAATGAATATGACGATATTGATAACAGTGAAGTTTTATTGGCAAAGACACTATACTTTACAAGAATTAAAATTATGTTAGATGGGATGAGGAGTTAGAGTAGAAACAAAATGACTTGAATAGAGTTGGAGGGTGGGTGGGTGGATAAATTCCTACCAGAGGAGAAGCTGGGCGAAAATATTTGACTTATTGCTTGAAATTGAGAATGATATAATGGGTGTACTTATAGATGAGTATTGATTTTGAAGGATAGAAAGTGGATGATGGATGGATTGAGCATTCGATTAGGTCTATTGAGAGGCAAGCAATTCACCAATCCCAATGCAATCACACAGCTATTCCTCCACCTCATTCCCCTACCTACTCTAAGAAAGCAAAAAATACTTCTATAATGTATATTCCTTAATATTAATCATCACTGATGGAAAAGTAGGGTTAAATTCAATCAAAATTTTAGAATAATATTTTCTAAAAGTATTTTGATTCTTCAAAAATGTATTTCAAAATGTATTTCAATTTTATAAATTTAAAATACATTCTTAAAATATAATTTTAAATTAAAATATTTCCTTGAAGTACAATTTTGAATTAAAATAATTCAAGCTTTAATTCTAAACTAAAATTACTAATTTTGAATTAAAATTTTTAATTTTGAACTAAAATTTTTAATTTTGAACTAAAATTTTTAATTTTGAACTAAAATCATTAATTTTGAATTAAAATTGTCAATGCTAAACTTAAATCTTTTAAAGATTATATATTTCAAATAATAAGATTTATTATAGTCAAAATATTCTTATGATTTAATAATAAAATGATTAATCTTTGAAAAAAATAATAATTGAATAATTAGTAATCTAATCGAAAGTGATTAATAATCGAAGATGTAATGATTGAAAATCGAAATAAAAGGCCTCACTTTTGCTAAATTAGGAATAAGGTTATACTTCCTGAATGTATTGTACTTTAAATTTCAAGAGTTCATTTTTGAACATTTTTTTATATAAAGTTATGTATATGATGTATATCACATATAAATATTTTCTATACATCAGTGATCAAATGTAATATACATCATAGAAGTACTTTTTGCTTTCCTAGGGCTACTAAGAGACAACTTACGAGGAAGTTCTATCCCCACAGATTCATTCATGATCACTAGAATCAAAGGATTCCATTAATCCCCATTTTATATAAACCGCACCTCTTCAGGATACAATTAATAGAAACCAGCAAAAACCTAACAAATAGTGTGTTTGATCTCAAGGGAATGATATTCAAAGGAACATCAGATATTCCATTGTAATAAGTATATTGATGGCAATAATCCAAATTCTGAGACAAGATAGGAATAATTGCAATACAACTTATACAAGGGGGAAAAACGACCGTGAACTCTCAGACAGGACGAAAGATAATAAGTACGATGAGTCGATGATTAGTTTTTGGATATTAGAGGAGAGGAGAGGAGTGATAATGAGATGGGATAGGATGGAATGTGATGGGATGGGATGATTGTAAATGAAATAGATAGCAAAGTACTGGAAATATATTATCTTGTACGTATAGTTCCGTTTGTAAGTCAAAATCATTTATTCTTCTCTTCTTTCGCCAATTTCGGGAAAGTCAACGCTTCTCTAATACGACGCACTCTATAGTCCGCTCAACCCAAAATAATCGAGGGATCAAACAGATTGTAATATCCAAACATCAGTAGTGGTCCTGAGTACACAAACATGAAGTTCCAGCACCACCTAGGCTTTACTCAATCAGATCCGCTGAAGGATTTGTCTTGTATCAATATACCACCAGACGGTAAGCAATCCGAGAAAGTAGATGATTTAATTACTCCATGAATCATAATCGGGTATAAACTGACTGAGTATCCGATGCATAAACCTGCAAACCTGTAAACTCCCCTCCATCAAAACTCAAAGACAAACTCCATAAAAACTATCCTACTGCTATAAGATCTCTCAATTTACTTCTGTCCAACACCCCCAGCATTCCCAGCATTACCAACACCACCAGTACCACCAGAAGCAGCCGCCGCACTAGCAGCAGCAGTAACCTCCGTATTTCCACTTCTTTTCCACTAACAACCGGAAAATCTTACGTTAGCTTGTATTCATCATAATACACTCAAACTCAAACACCCATCTCAACCCCTCAAGAAAAAAACATCGATATCGAATTCTTTCCGTCCTTCCAGGAAAAAAAAAGAAAACAGAAAGAACTCACAATAGCAAGCAAAACCCCACAATTTCCACACTTATGATGAACATCCTTAAAACTCGTCATCAGGTATGGAATACACGGAAGACAAAAGCAGAAACAGCAGATGAGTGCTGAGATACTATAGATCATTTGTATTTGTATTAGTCTTACTTATCACCACTTTCTTCTTTTCTCATCATTCCGTCACGGGTATCTCTTCAGTCAGAGGGAAAGAAAAGAAAGAAAAAAAAAAAAAAAACACAAAAAACTCACTCAGCAGTCCCCCCACTAACCCACTCCACCTGCGTATATTCTAACACACCACACCTGGGACAACGCACCAATCTCGATTCTTTCTGAAGCGTAGTCAGCGGAGCTGGATGTTGATTTTCGTATTGATTTCCTGGTATATTTTGATTCATCGTTTGATTCTGATTCCCATTCTGATTCTGCGCCTCCGGATGAATCTGAAACTGAGAAGGAGTTTGATTCTGAGTATGTGATTTCTCATTCATATTAGGACTCGGATTAGGATCGTAGGAAGGAGGTTGAGAATCTGGATAGATTTCTAGATTTGCATTTTGATTTGTGTCGTGAATAGCATTGGAGTCGGCTAGTGGAGTATTATAATGTGCGGTATGAGTAGAAGGACGTCGTTCTTTGTGAGGGGCAGCGCTAGGATCAGGTGATGGAGTATTGTAATGCGCGACGTGTGTTGAGGGACGTCTATCTTCTGGATTTTTATGCATGCCTGTCGTGGTATCGATAGTATCGTTATCCACTGGAACATTATGTTGTGCTGTATGTGTGACGGGATCCATTTTCACGATTTGGGTTGTAATGATTTGGTAGGTGTGTTTTGTTTAAAGATATTTGAGTGGAAAGTCAGGAATGTACAATTTGTGAATGAGGGATAGATGTTAGATATATATGTATATATTGAATCACTTATCACTTGTTATATTGTAAAAGAGGGGATAAGATATAATAATATAAGAAACAGAAGTGTTTCATTCCCTTATAATATTTCTTTCACGTACATAAAAGGAAATCCACCCCGCTTCCCCTCATCCTTCAGAACTGTACAGCCTTACGCCAAGAAACACCACACATCATACGAGTACACGAATAAAATAGCATCCAAGTCCGACATTTCTCCAGAAAAAAAACTAGATACGAGCTGCTGAGCCGCCGAGTATAACGTGATCGGCAATGTTTGACGAATAATTCTTGATTTAAGTAGGTACTGTAGCTACTTATTTATGCAGATCTTTAAAATCTATAAAAAATTGTTCAATGAGAAAAATTATGGAAGTTCCTTGGAATCTTCTTGGATTCTTGGCTTGACGTAGTTTGTCTGACATTTGTAGGGACTAGCGCGATGAAAGGGATAGTGGCAACGAAGAGACGGGAGGGAATATTTACAGTAAGGGGAAGGAATATAAGTAAATAATTGTTGACCTCCTGGGATCTTGGCAGCATATGCATATATATTGCATGATGCATATAAGGAGCAAACAAAACTCAACTTTTAATTCATTCTTTCCTTTTCGGTATACTGCTTGTTTGCTTTCAATATTTTGATTTCAAAGCACTTTAATTCCGAAGGCTGAATACCTAACCCTATTCCTTCATTTTTTGAATATATACTCGCAGCTTAACTGCTTAGCTAGAGAATCAATCAATTCAATCTGATGCTCTTTCTGGTCTCAAGAAACCCAATAATGATAAAATAAACATAGAGTATATAAAAATGACAACTTGTATCATTAACTATAGAAAATATAAAATCTTTCCAATAAACTTTTTCATTTATTAATTACTCTCTAAATAACTAAACCGAGAAAAAGCCCGGGTAAACAATATATAAAGATACCTCTTGTATATAATATATAAATTAAGATCTTGTAACTTTATATTTAACGATTCAACAATACAACAAGACAATAATGAACTGAACACAACTAACAAAGTTTGAAACACAGAGTAAATATAGAATTCACCCCTCGATCAAATCTTCATCTTCATACAAACGACATGTTTAAATTCTAAAGCTCTGAAGCTCGACTACATGATCCAGAATTATAAGACGCTTCCTTGCTTGGTATATATGTCTATAACTCATTATTGCGACAGCATATATACATTCATACATTCATATAGATATAAATACCTAGTTATGCACTTGCACTTGCACTTGCACATCCACACCTTATCCCCCTACACAACACCCATCCCACCACTTAATACATGATCAAACATCAAACATCAAACATCAAACATCAAACATCAAACATCAAACATCAAACATCAAACATCAAACATCAAACATCAAACATCAAACATCAAACATCAAACATCAAACATCAAACATCAAACATGAAACATGAAACATGAAACAACAAACAACAAACAATAAACATTCTTAAAACCATACGGCATTTATATTTATAATTACCTAAAATATAATATACACAGATGAGATGACGAACAAGAAACCATCCGTCTTCCTCCCTTTCTAACGCCCGCCCGTCCCATTTTCCCCCTCGTCTTCTCCCAGATTTCTATCACTTAATTCTCTTTAAATAGGTAGGTAGGATACGATATCCCAATTTTCAAATATTTATTTCCTCAGTTCTGTCCCCTTGAGATTAAGATAAGATTCAATTCAAATAAAATATTCACTTTCTCTAGCGCATGAGATACAGTGAAAACTTTTCGCCGGCCGTGAACAAGTGATGAATACAAAAACTCCTTGTAAATGCTTGTATCAAAACTCCCCTTTACTATTCGCTTCTGTAATGACGACGCTGTACCAGATTACTTTTCGACTTCGATTTGAGTTAGAGATTAGGCTTGGCTGACAAGTCGGTGAATCTTGTCAACTTTTACCCTATGCATGCATGTGTTTATTCATCAGGCTCCAATTCTCACATATCCCTGCACGTGGGTTTGATTCTCAATACCCTCCATTACGTTCCCTCTTGAATTACCACCAGCATTAACACCCTGCATATTAATTCCTCCATTTGCCAACCGGAAATTTGTTGTGTTGGACATTGGTGCTTCAGGTGCACGTTGAACAGCAGCATTAACATCTGTCATATCGACGAATGTATCATCTTCTTCCATATCTGCATCCCCATCTGCATCCTGGTCGCTTCCAATATCCTGCGTATCCTCTTGTAACGGTTGACTTGTTATTGTCGAGTTAAGTTGTGGTGCATTCGAGGGAGGTAATCCTTCGTTGACGTTACTCTCAAGTGGCTTTTGTGCAGCCATGCCAGCAGACCCGGACTGTCCAGATCCACCTCGAGCTTGCTTAACAACACCTTTCCAGCGACCAATTGCTCGTTCCACTGCTGTATCAATATGCAAACTTCGATCCATGAGTTGAAAACCAACGGCTTTATAGTTCGTTCCGTTTTTCCCAATTTCGGCCATAAGACCTGAGTCAATAGGTATTGGTGAAGGTGGTTGTATCCTGAACTCTCTAGGTTGTTGTAACCGACTCAATTCCTCGACTTGTAATTTTGAGTGGGCAGTTTCCTGTTGTAAGAGTTCCTTTTCCTTCTTCAACTTGGATATTTCTTCAGACTTCCGACCAATATTACGAGCTAATTCGAGAGTCCAAAGTTCAGTCCTTGTATTCGGGGGTAATGAGTTCCAGTGTCCAAACATTGAATGTAAGTGCTCGGAAATCCTAGCCTCCATGCTTTGAGCATCTGCTTCCGCTTGCTGATGTAGTGCAGCAAGGTTCTCGAGATTGAAACTCTCTTGCGGGGGATATGATAGATCGTCTTGTGGAGCTGTCGTAGCAATGGATATTGAAATGCGGTAGCGATGGAACTCCGAGGAGAAGTGCTTCCGCAATGCTTGGTATTGTAATTCATCTGGGGGAAGGATAGACCACGATGAAGAGTTCGGGATAGGAGTGGACGCGTAGAGGGTTGGTGGCGGTGGCAGACAATGGAGTGTAAGAGCAGGGAAATCCAAGCTAAAAGGATCGTAATCAAAAATGTTGGGCCCTTCGATTCGTTGTCTGTAAGATGCTAAGTTAGATCTTGACCCAGGTTTTGTGATTGGCGGTGACTTACTTGGCCGCTCTAAAACTTCCTAAAAGTTCCCTCAAGGCTAATTCTGCCGCTTTTGCATTATCCAAAGCTTCCATCATCTTTTGTTTCTGTTCAAATGTCGTTTTCGCAAGCATTTGTTTGCTGACAGACCTATTCCTGCCATCTAATCTTCTAGTCCCATCTCTGGACTCATCTCCATCCCAACTTCGAGCAGGTTCGCCGTTTCGTGCTTGAGGTATGTGATTCATGACCCCCGTTGACTCCCACGTACCGCCATTTACAACAAAGTTGGTTCTTCGATTGCCCATCTGGGTTGGTACCCCCCTTGACATACACATCATATTCAGGGCCGCGCCATCATCTCTTCTCAAGCTTGGAGAGTCACTCCCTGTCATATCCGAATCATTATTAGGACTTCTCCTTTCCGACCCCCCAGGTGTCCCTGCGGGTGTCGAATCTTCCCTTCTCGATGTAGAATTACGTGGCTGCCGCCTGGTAATACCTCCACGAAGCTTCCTTATTTCATCCACACTATGTATACCATCTGCCGCTTTGGGATTCTTCTCTTTTATATAAAGATCGAGATGGCGGCCAAGTGAGGATGAGGTAAATGCTTGATGACAGAACGGACAATTCTTATCTTTTGGTGCAGAATTCTTGCCTCCATTTACTGAAAGGTCAGCACTGGAATTAGGGGTACCCATTTGTTCGGCCATATCGACAGTCGTTGCGCGCTATACTTGCATACAGGAGGAATTCACAATTGTATTGGTACATGTATGTTTTCCGATTATCCCAAAGGTTTTCTCTTTGTCTTGCTCGACTTGGAGTAATTCTTGAATGATATGTCCCAAAATAACAAATACTCCCGCGAATAAAGTAGAAAAATAGAAAAAGAGGTGAAGGTAAAGATTGTAACGGTCAGAGAAGGAGCAGTGGAAATGGAATCTAAAGGGGTTTGCAGCTCTGAATTTGTTCCTTCTTGGGGATTAGAGAATATTTCGCTAACAGGGATTATTCGATGACCCATTCCGGATCCCGATAGTCTAATGCTTTGGTGGTCTGCTCCGCAAAAGGGATCAGAAGAGAATTAATAAGTATATAGGAAAAGGGAAGTAGATGTGAAGAGAAGGGACGGAAAGAAAGTCGAGATATTGACATAGTACTGTGGATATACGGGATTAGTTACAAAATAAGATCAATACATCGCCATATTACCATTTGATGCCGATGTTAGCCAAAAGCTGGATGAATCTCTGGAATAACCCAAGAGATCTGTTATCCAATCGATAGATAGACATTCATGGTAACCGGGTATCTAAATGTATGATTTGATTGGCTACAGTTACTCATTTGGTTTCGTTGGAAGCACAGCATCGACATTGGATAACGAGACAAACATTTCAACAACAATAAAAAATGTATTGTTGACTATATACTCATATGAGAACATCAATCATAACAATTCCTTTAAAACGCCAAAATAAATGCCACTCTTGCCCACCGACCGATGATGCTCATGAAAAATCGTGAGATATGGATATCTAAAGAGTCTTTGGTAAACCGAGAATATCCCACCAACAGAAATGCCAGAAAACCCAACGGAGAAATCATTGCAACAATGGATCCTATACCGTGTTGTTAGTGGAGTCATTTTTACAAAGTTTGGTTGATGACAACTTACTCTGAAGTGTTTTTGTGAGTTGTTCTGCTTATTGTTTCTCCATTCAAATTTACGTCGCTCATTGGTCTCCACCTTTCTGGACCTTTTCTCCGCTGCCTGGACTTCTTTTCTCTTCTCAGCGGTGACGCCAGCCATGCCGAGGCCACCATTTGCACGACTCATAAGAGCTCTTCCACGTTCTCTCTCATTGCGACGAACGACACGTTCATCCTGCTCTACGTCAGAATCGGAATTTTCAGCTGCCTCAATTGCACGTCGTTGTCTCTCCTCTGGTGATGGATGATTGACCAAATTTTGGCGGTAATATTTTTGTAATGATCGATGTCCAGCGGTACGACCAGAAGGTAAGTGAAGCTCATAATCAGAGTAAAATGCAGCATGATTGTGTTTATGAGCATGTGAGTGCCATCCGTCCTTGCTGTGATGTGATCGAGGATCTGTGTGGGAATGATGAGGATGTTGATGAAGTTTCTCATACTGGTGAGTTCTCTCGTCAAGTGGTACTGCGGTAAGATCTGCGGAATCCAAGGAAGATTCAGAGCTATCTGTTTCCCATCCATCACCATTTTCCATTTCTTCGTCTCCTTCAGCATCAATTGTAGTTGGGCGTTTGGCTCCAAGTTTAACGCCTCCGCTCTTTTGCTTTCCTGGTAATGCATCTTCTGAATCCTCATCATCCTCATCATCAGAGTATGTGCTTCTAAAGTCGTAATATTCGCCAATCTCAATTTGTTCTTCCTCGGTAGCGTAACGGATTCTGCAATGGCGTTTGTCTCTCATGTGGGTCTGAAGTCCAAAAATCGATTGCTTGAGTTTGCCACAGCCTAAACATTCATGGTCTTCATAAATCTTCTCATGAAGAAAAGCGATTAAACCTTCAAGATCAACCAGATATTCCTTCTCCGGGATGAACATGCCGTGTATACGTTCCATGTGTGCAGCATTAGCAGATGTATCGGCTGAGTCCTCGTTACAGAACAAGCATCGGCTTGTAGAGACCTCGACAAGGGCATCATCGTCATCCTCCAAAACGTCATCGTCGGTAGGCGTAATTGCAGAACCTTCGGCGTCCTCGAGGGTGGTCTTCTTGATACCCTTGGAAACTTCTTCGACTTGCGCATTCGTATGTTCATCTGCTGCTCCATTTGTCTTCATAGGTTCTCCCAATGAGAATGTTGAGCTCATTACGGAACTTGCGTCATCCATGTGTCCATCACCAGCCATCGCCTTCGCCTTGTGTTTTTGACTACTAAGATGATTTTGGTAGGCATTTTCACTGAAATATGTTTTAGCACAGACCGAGCAAGACTTTTCGTACGCGGCCTTCGAAGCTGCGGCGGTGGAAGAAGCTTGTGCCTGTAAGACTTTCTCGGTGAAAACTTCGGAAGAAATGGGTGGTAAAGAGGTAACACGGCGCTTCAAGTTGTATCGACTGTAAAGATTGTCAATATATGAAGTCAAAAAGGAGTAGAAAAACATACTGCCAATCACTGCGCATATGTCCTCGCTGTAAATCGCTGTTTCTGAACGCCACTTGACAAGTGTTGCAGGTATAAGGATGGGAAGTATTAGTATCTGCTTGGCCAGAAAGACCAGAGGCCGGAGTTCTGCTGGCTGTAATAGAAGACATGTCTACTTTCTAACCGTAAGCAAATCAAAAATATTTGAGATGAAATGTTCGGAGGCAAGAAGTTGTAAGATCTTGATTCTTATAATGAGAAAAGGTAAATGACTGATAAGGCGTAGAATAATTTCCACCCCGCTTGTCTAATTTTCGGGTCTTTGATTTTCGGGGTTCCCGGCAAAAGCCCTGGACAGTACTTGGGTACTTTATCTGTACAGAGTAGAAAGATGGTGAGTCAAAGTATAAAAGATCCGTTTTAGGTGTAACCCTAACCTTCAGCTGTTTTTCAATCACAACAGGAAGTCCTGCTGAAAAAGTGTGTGTGTAATAGTAGATTAAGAGAAAGAATTTGATTTTTTTCTACGATATCTCTCGTTGGTGGGGTTATCCTTTCTTTATCTTTTCTTTCCTCAATACTTACTCACTCTAAGGTAAAAAAAATTGAAATGCGATAAAATTGGGTATGTGATGATTGATATGAGTGATAGTGCGTCATATCGGCGCTAAGTGAGTTTAATAATGCTCTTGCCGCCTTTATTAATAATTCCCTACCACCGTTTTCGCCCAGTCTGGCTTCGGCCTTGCACAGTTACGATTTAATACCTCCTAGGTACAGATTTACAGGTATTTACCAAGGGACCACTGGTACTGGTCTTATTCGCGCAACATTCGTCAACAATTACAATACAATAAATAATACGAGTAAACCAAAATATTCATATTACTTGTATTCCTCTTTGTTTCAACAGTGATACTCTGCAGCTCGTTCCAGCATAAACACTCTTTTATTTCTTCCCAAATGTCATGACTCGAGATACTCCAAGAATTCAGGAAGAACGAAGCTTCAGCGGCGAAGATGATATCCTCAAAGCCTTGTGGGTCGCTGCTCCTTTCCCATACCTTCCTCAAGATGCGCCGGACGAGTTGAAGAAACTCACAATAGACGTCGAGGATCCTAAACAATTACATGTCATCCATAACGCGAGCAGGCGACACCACTTTCAGTTAATGGTAGAAAGGTATGTTTGCTTACTGCTTTGTCGCAAATGAAATCAAGGCTAAGATATTCTGGAGATACATTCGCCAACTTCGATATGGTTGTGATTCCACTATTTGTCATACCCCAACTTGTTTTACTTGTCGCAAACGTCTTTCCCTTACGGCAGGTCGTCCAATCAGACCATATAGCTCGACGAGCGCAAGAATTCTAGCTGTTCACTTAGCTAGCCAGGACAATCCCGAACGAGGTCTCTGTCGCAATCCTTTGGCAGATTCACCGGTCCAACTCAACAAGCATGTTAGAGTTACTGCACGAAGGAACATATCTGGGCCTAAGAAAATACATGTCAGTGGAGGGGAAACTACGAAAAGGAGCACGCCTAGTACAGATAACGAGAGGTTCAGACCGGATCCCTCACGAGCCTGCTCGACTGCAACTACTTCTGGTACTAGGAGTTTTAGAGATAATGTAGCGAGTAATGAAGACAGTTCCGGTCAGAGTAGGAAATCAAGAACTACCATCCTGGAGGAATATACCACAACAGATCATAAATCTTTCATTCAAAATGTGTTTGGTACGGTAGCTTTCAAAATGGTGGAATGGTTGACACCAAGAAATCTGGAAGCACTCGCGAACCCGAACGACACCGCCTTGGATTCAGATGTGCGTTCCTCATCACTGGCTCAGTCAACACCAAGTGATGGCGCGAGCACACCGGCACAGAAACTGGAAAGTCCAAGTGCGGTGGAGACGGAGCTGTCAAGCAACAAAAGTTTCTTGCCGAAATCTTCTGAAGTTTCAGCTGAAATATCAGGTGTTCCAGACCGCACGGTTAGGAACGAAGAGTCTACTGGTGCCGACGCTACAGACATAAGTACACGGAGGGAGATAAGCCCAAATTTATCACCTACTATACCTACCGATACCAAGCCTGGCATTCAATCGAGTCCAAAGGTACTGCACAATGAATCTGCACATGTTGCAGGCGGGAGACCTCGGAGGAGGACAGACTCTTATGACGCCCATATTTCTAAAGGAATTTTGAACCTCTCAACTTCGCCAAGGACGACTGACACTGATACTAGCCCCCCTTTATCTCATCAATACATCCACTCGAAGCCTAAACCGACCCGGCATACCATGATAACCAAACCTGTTCTCCATGTATCCGAGAAGGACACTCCCTCGCCCATAACGCCCGTGATCAGTGCCTCGGTTAAGCCTTCTGTACCGGCGGAACCTGAATCCGACCTCAAATCCGATTCAGAGGATAACGCAGCCAAAAACAGCTCAGTTGAATGTCAAAAACTCGAGCCACGTTTATCCGATGAAAAACTACCACAATCCCTCTCATCACTACCCATCGAGGTGGTTAATCTGATATGTGACATTCTCGAAAATGATAAAACTTTCGAGAAGCACCAACTACATCCTGATCACATAGACGATGATTTGAAGAGACATCAAGTACATAAAACTCCTTTACATCGAAATATCAACTCGTCAAGTGGCTATCCAAAATCAATGAAAAACCAATGGCGTCGATTCATTGATCAGAGTTTGTACTCTGTTCTAAGTAGTCCCGATTCTCTGATAAAATCTTTCACTGGCCGAGATGGACAGATATTTGACACGCAGACTATTTGGTACTGCATGTTACGGATGACTCGAGTCGCACCATCTATTGTATTTGACAGCCTATGGATTGCCGCTGGAACACTTTTCAAACCTCCAAAGCAATTGGAGTGGGCCAAGCAGCCTCATAGTGATAGTTCAGGCTCAAATCAATCATTATCCAAAGCTGATGCCGCTCAAATAATAAGTATATGCTTTCATGCACTCGTAGCTGCGGCACCTTTGTTGAAGGATCCTAGGCAGTTGGCAAACATGTCTCGTATAAGATCATATGGAATTGCGTTGCCTGGAAGGGAATCATCCACATCAGAATCAGCCAGGTTATGTCTTCAATATGATGATGCATTTACAGATGAATTGGCATTGAGATTAGCTCGCCGAGTCTTCTCTGCTGTTTCCACGAGACGCAGGTTTTCCCAGCTAATCCAGCTCCAACAAGATATTAGGGGTGATGAGAACGAACAAGATGGTTTCTTGGAAATTATTCTTGATAGTCTCAAATACCTCGATCTAGATAAGTCGCCTCTGCTCAACTTTACTGATGTAGAACGGGATTTGCATGAGAAGAGAATCCCTACCTTGATACTCGATTGGGCACGAACAGTAATGTTACAAGATTGGGATGGCAAAGCAGAAGTTCCTTCCGATGGGTCATTTGGGGGTGCTTTAGAAACTATTGCGACAATATGTATGCACAATCCCTTCGATGTATGTCGATTTTGAGCTAACAGACAAACAGACAGGAATAGAAAATCGCTTTTACTAGGAGACATACATTTTCGAACGGAATATTTTTCGGATCGTCTAGATAGTATTGCTATGCCGCTTGAGTGGCTGTCTTTCCAGGCAAATAAACGTACCGTACATTTACTCGATTATCCATATTTATTCAACCCTTCAACGCTGGTCAACTACTTTCGAGCCATCAATTACTCACGGATGAATCAATCGCATGAGGAAGCAAAATCCATGTATAACCTCGTTAGGACGCACGAAGGACTGATCCCCAATGAAGACCACCGACGTAAACTTCGGGAACGCCTTCACACAGCCACATCAAGGTTCTTGGTCATTGTAGTCAGCCGGGAAAATCTACTGTCAGACGCTTTCAACGTGCTCTGGCGAAGAGAAGAACGTGAGTTGATGCGACCATTAAAGGTATCATTGGGTGGAGAAATAGGAGAAGAAGGCGTCGATATGGGTGGAGTTCAGCAGGAGTTCTTTCGGATAGCCATGACTGAAGCTCTTAATCCGGACTACGGGGTTTTCACAATTGATGGTACGACGAAAATGACTTGGTTTCAACCAGGATCGCCAGAGCCTCTATGGAAATTCGAGCTCATCGGAACGATCATGTCTCTAGCAGTCTACAACGGCATGACTCTACCTATTACGTTTCCAAAAGCGTTTTATAGAAAATTACAGGGGGAAAGCATCACAGAACTCCACCACATCTCAGATGGATGGCCCGAGCTTGCTAAGGGTCTAACAGATCTACTGGAATGGGACGAAAATAAAGGAGCTGTCGAAGACATTTTTTGCCGAACATATGAATTCAGTCAATTTCAGTTCGGAAAACCAGTGAGCCGTGAAATGAGCACCTCATCTCAATGGCCCAAGTATTCGGATGTCAATATAGGTGAAAGTAATGAGGATCCAGGCGAGGTAGAAGCACCTCTTGTCACGAATGAAAATCGCAATAACTATGTTAGTGATTATATCAATTGGCTTACTAACATATCTATCCAACCTCAATTCGAGGCATTCAAGAAAGGATTTTTTGCCTGTCTCGACCCTCGGTCCATTTCCATTTTCGACTCCGACACCCTCCAATCTCTAGTGGAAGGCGTGCAAGAAATCGACATAGTCGAGATGCAACGCGGCACTCAATATATTGGGTACGAGGCCGGAGATCGTGTTATTCAAGATTTCTGGTCGGTGGTTAAAGAATACGACTTGGAAAAGAAGAAAAAGTTGTTGGAATTTACCACGGCGTCGGATAGGGTTCCTATGGGTGGAATGAGGAATTTTCAACTCAGAATTATGAAGAATGGGGCCACAGATGAACAGTTACCGAGTAGTTATACGTGCTTTCAGAATTTACTCCTACCGAATTATTCGAGTAGACAAATTTTGAAGGAGAGGTTTGATATTGCGTTGGAGCATTCTAAGGGGTTTGGCTTCAATTAAATGGAAGTGGAGGGGCACGGAAAAATGTGGAGTAACTGGATTGAGAACATGGGTGAACTGAGATGTGAGGGATGGTATTGATCACTCAGTTAGTGATTAACATTGGCCATCGGACACGAGCATTGATGCAGATTCAATAAGGAGGGCTGGGGTACTTTATCTTGATGGGTGAGCTTACAGATGGCATTCATGATATGAGGAGCTTATGGCTTTACGGAAGCAAGTCACGTTAGGATAGTTTCATCGAAGGAAGGGTCATCGCAGGAAGGAGCCTAGCATGATGAATAGGTCTACACGGGCGACAAAACATAGGGGAGCAAAATCAAACGAGGAAAGGGCAGAGGATGAAGGAATGATAATGATTTTTAAATACCTTGTATTTATAGGATAGCGAGCAGTGGCGTTTATCGGTCGACGTATCGTGGAAGCATAGCAAGCAAGCAAGCGTAATACAGCACAGCACAGCACAGTAGGCGAAATGAATTGAGAATTTAAAAACTATGTCTGATTTTTCAATATACATTTTTTTCTCAAAAAGGGTTTGATTAATTTGGTGTGAGATGAGGCGTGATGATGTGATGAGGTGTATGGATTTGTGGGTGTGGATGTGGGAATTTGAGGTAGGTAGGTAGGGACGTGTATTAGGTCTACATTTCCTTCAGAAAAAATCTAGAGATTCGTTACTGGATATATAGTAGGTGGTAGTTTTCATTCGTTGAGTGAGTGAGTGAGCGATTAGTTGATTGGTTGGTTGGTGAAGGGAGATATAAACTTATATTTCTGGATGAATGAAGATGTGGAGAATGAGGATATGGTATTAGGAGGGTCTTAGGTGTGTGGTGGATGTGTGGTGAATATGTAATAGAACGATGAGTAAAGTTGAAATTAGAATTAGATTCAATGTTGTAATATAGGAAATATGTGAGAGGTTTGTTGGAATGGGATGGGATGGGATGGATATCGTTGTTTTATTGCAAGGTCTTACTTACGGTGGCTAATTAGATATTCCACAAGCGTTTGTAAGACTTACCATCATATTTATTACCAAACTTTATGTTCACCTCGTTTATTGCGTGGACCAGGGGATTTTTTGCTGTTTTATGCGCTTTCTTGTTTAGATAATGTATTTGATGGTATTTAATCCGATTTATGGATCTCTGGGTATTTGGTGCTGATTTTCATGTTGGAGTTTGACGTTGACTTTGACTTGGGATGTAAGAATCTTAGAAGGTGGAAGTAGTTTTGTTGTAAGTCTTACTTGTGACATGATATGGATCCTGGTGCACGTGTCAAAACGACCGGGGGGATTAGTGAGATGGGGTAGGAGAAGACTAGCTATAGGTGATGATTCTGTGAGGTAAGATGGCGAGGGGTGGGGATGAAGTGGACTTGGAGATGTTTGAATGTGGGATTTCTTTGAAAGAGGAATTAGAAGATTTGCAGAGCATTGAGTACATGGCTAGGTACTGTGGGTATTTATGAATGCTTTTTTAAGATGGAAAAGTTTGAGGTAATATTAGCCCAGAGAGATCCAGTCAAAATGGAAAATATCTTTAGAGTAAAGTCGATCTTAGAATTGAAAGGATGGCGGTTTGGCTGGGAATCGGAGATAGAAGATAAGATAGACAGAATACACGAAAAAAACAGTGATATGGGATAATTTTCAAACTAATCAGATGATCTGAAGTTTCTTCTAGACTCCCAAGAAGTAAAGAGCTTGGGACTGGGACTGAAACTTAGATGTCCCTTAGCAATATCCCGGAAGGTGGCACCATGTTCAGAGCCACATGGCAAACAAACTTGATACTAGCCCATAGTCCCCGCATCTGCACTCCATACAAAGGGTAGCCATGAGCGTTTGCTTCGGCTGTAGGATCCGAAATCTGTCGATAGTAGGCTGTGGACACAGAAAGAATAATGAATGCGGGAAAGGATTCCGAGCCTAGTCGGTTGATCCATCCATCTGCCATTCCTCGAATCTCCAGACCTCAGACTTCGACAAAAATATTCTAGTAATTGACATAAAAAAAGCTTTAAAGAGAAATACTGTATGAATCATTCAAGGGCTAATATTCTAACTGTTCTGACTGTTGAGAAGCAATATAACTATATCATTCAATACGAAAATGAACCTTGCGATGAGATATCTTACCACTATCCATATTCTAGCCAACGCTTCCTCGCTGCAGTAACGACAAACAGAAAAATTCCCGACAGTGTGGTACGTCCACTTTTATATCCTTGTGACTTTGGATATTTGGGATGCAAAGAGTGATATTTGATGGGTGCATGTATGCGGAACTCGGGATGTCACGTATATATGAGATTAGCCCTGGTAGTCTAATATCAGAGGGGCACTAGCCGCTTTGAACACGTTTCTTTAATTGATCATATGCAGTAATTTCTTTCTTGTTGCATCGATATAGATGAATGTTTATGAATAGTACTCTAGGCCGAGGATGTCTAATTTGTAAAAGGGGATCTAAGATGCGATGCCTTTTCTCACTGTCGACGTGTTGAAGTAGTTTCATTGGACGCGAATAATAGAAGCATGTCACGCGTATGAAAAAGTATGAATTGGCACACGCTAGAATAGCTACCGCCAGTCAAGTATAACGCCTACCGAGGTTCAAGATAGCAAGCACTTCGTTCCAGACCAACGGGTTATAAAAACCTATTGCTAGTGATTCGTTAATCTCACGAGGTGCAGACCCAGTGTATGATCTCCACGTGATGTAATGCTACCTCAATCAAAGTAATACCCGACGTCCCATCACGACTCACTGCAACGCTGCAAAACCATTTTTTCAACGCCACCGAACATAAACGGTACCCAAAAGAAGACAGACGAGGAAAACAAGGGTAGAAGCGAATAATAATCTATCACAGATCACCCCACGCAACCATTTTACTACAAACTTTTGATCATTCTATCAGAAACTCCTTGTCAAGTTGCTGGGACTCTATTCGTGGAAAAGGGTGAAAGCAATTCTTAGCATACAGATGACAAGCGGAGACTAATACTAATCTCGCTAAAATCGGCTCAATTTTCATACCAGCTTGTTCCTTTCTAGAAACACGGGGTAACTTCTCCGCAATTACTTTAATTCGGAACGGACTCTCTCGTACTAGAATCTCTAATATATCTTGGGGTTGTTTTCTTGTCTTCTTAGCAGCCAGTAGACAAGCGTCTAGGAGTGGAATAAGGTTCAAAGAATTCCAAGGGATCCTTGATCTGAAGACCAACAGACCATGTGAAATATCCCTCTAAATGTTTAAAAGTGCATGCATATTATATTGTACGACCCTGGACCCATAAGGCATCTTTCCATTAGCGAAGCCACATCAGGAAGGTCTGGCCGAAAATCCGGGGGTGGAGTGCAGATTTGGTTCCAAGCATTATTTAACCGCTCCGCATTTTGGAATAAGCATGTTGATTGTGGTTGCACGAGGAGACGAGGTCAGCCTTCCATTGACAGGGTTTAGAGAATGCTGCGTTACAGTACATAAATGAAGAATATTCCGTCACTTTTCAAGCCTCATCACTTTCTCAGATTATTAGATCTTTTCCAATAGGCGTAGTTATTTCTCATTTGCAGCCAGAAAGTCATGGCGGAGAAGACAAATAGCCAATATGATGAGGTTGAGCTATCAAACCGTCGCAGTGATGATGAGGTACGATTGATGGGTTCCAAATTTCAGACTCATTAGAGATCAATTCTAACATTAGTTGAATTCATAGAAACATGCCGAAGTTGGAGCGAAAGTCGTTCTCGGAAATGAAGCATTCAATGAAGCCATGCTCAAGGAGCCTCCAAGGCCTTTTACATGGTCAACGATGCAGCTCTACATAGCTTGTTTTATCGGGTTCTTTTGTGCTACAATGAACGGTTACGATGGATCCCTCATCAACAATTTACTCGTGAACCCTTGGTTTTTGGATTTCTACCATGGTGAAAATGCTGGAATATGGGCTGGTATTGTGACTTCCATGTACCAAATTGGTGGTGTAGTTTCATTGCCATTCGTCGGACCAGCTGCAGATACATTTGGTCGACGATTTGGAATGTGGCTTGGATGTCTTTGTATTATCCTTGGTACGATCGTTCAAGGTGTTGCTACAAGAAATGCTGGTGTGAGACAATTTATGGGTGGTCGTTTCCTACTAGGTTTTGGTGTCAATATCGCTTCTGCAGCTGGTCCTATGTATGTTGTAGAGGTTTCTCACCCTGCATATCGTGGTGTAGTAACAGCTATCTTCAACTGCTTTTGGTAAGTCCGACGTAAAACCTTCAAGACTTTGTCTAATTAAATTAGGTTCACTGGATCAATCATCGCCAGTGGGGTAGCTCGTGGAGCAGATAACATCGGAGGCGATGAATCATGGAGATTGATTATCTGGATTCAATTGATGTTCTCCAGTATCATCTTCATTTCCGCTTACTTCCTTCCCGAATCTCCAAGGTGGCTTTACGTCAACAATAAACGCGATCAATCCAAGAAGATGCTTACCAAGTTCCATGGAGAAGGGAACCCAGACAGCGAATGGGTGAAACTACAATTGAATGAATATGAAGAACTTTTGGAAATGGACGGTGCCGATAAACGTTGGTGGGATTACAGAGCACTTTTCAAGAATCGATCTACTTGCTATCGACTATTCTGTAATGTTAGTATATCGATCTTTGGTCAATGGGCAGGCAATGGTAAGTATTTTTCTTCTATCCTCAAGTAAACAAAAGTCTAGCTAATAACATTCAGCTGTCTTGTCGTACTTTATGGGCAAAGTTCTCCAGACTATCGGTGTTGGAAGTCACATTGGCCAAGCAAATGTCATACTAATCAACAATTGCCAACAATTCTGCTGGGCTCTCTTTGGTGCTGCAATGGTTGATCGTATTGGACGTCGTCCTCTTCTTCTCTTTTCTAATATTGGTATGTTATTCTAATCATCATTACTACCATAACTTGTACTCACAGCAATTAACACAGGCTGCTGCGTAATCTGGCTCGCAATGACTGTCTCCGCTGCGCTGTACCAACAATCCATCCCCGACCCCAGCAACCCAGACTCAATCGGCACCAATCACGCAGCTGGTACCGCCTCCCTAGCCTTCATCTTCGTCTTTGGCGCCGTCTACTCCGTTGGTTTCACACCCCTCCAAGCTCTCTACCCTGTCGAAGTCCTCTCCTTCGAAATGCGCGCCAAAGGAATGGGCTTCTCAGGATTTTCCGTCGCGGCAGCCGGTCTCCTAAATCAATTCGCATGGCCTGTTTCCATGCAGAAAATCGGTTGGAAAACTTATATTATTTTTACCATTTGGTGTGCGATCCAAACGACTGTGGTTTATTTTTTTATTCCTGAGACGAGAAATAGAACTCTAGAGGAGTTGGATGAGATTTTTAATAGCCCTAATCCGGTTAAGACGTCAATTGCGAAGAAGAGGTTGGGGCTGGATGCATATGGTGAGGTGGTTAATATTCAGGATGCTTGATTTACATTAAGGCTGGGTTGTCTTGATACGTATGATGCAATGCTTGTTAGTGGTTTTTTGTGCATTTCATCATGATATGAGGTCTTGTTTTTTGTCTAAGAACGATGTGGTGTTTGGAAACAATTTTTGGGTTGATTTTAGTATTATACCTTTGATATTTGTTTGCTGCTTGATTATGTTTCAATGAAGAGTTAATAAGCAGTGTATACGCGAGCTTACGTCACTTATAGATTCTAAGGACGCATTTGAACTTGTCAAGTCAGCTCTTTTATGAAATTTGTGTCACAGTTAAGGAGCTTTAAATCAATCAATAATCATACAATACGCTGAGTACTACGTTCTGTATATACTTCAACGGTTCATCTAGCTCCTGTCCCCCCTTTAGCTCCCTTACATAAAGCTACCAATGCCCTAGGCTTGCATATCTCACAGTATTTATACACAAATATCACCATGGATTCCCCGAGAACTCGTGTTCGCAATTTCTACACATCCGAAGCTGCCGAAATACTTGCGAAGGTTACTTGTTTCACTGCATTCTAGTTCGAGTATCAATCCAAGAACGCCAAGAACATGTAGAGGGAAAGTCTCAAGGATAGTGTAGTTTTATTGCAATAAATAATGACAGTATCTTAACTAAAAATGACAGAACCAAGGAGTTCAGCTGAAGTGTTGAAACCCCATCAACGGAGTTCCACGCGGTATCCCCCAAGTCTTCTAGGATCAATCTTGTGCTTGCCATTGGTAGGCCCCTGAATTGTAATGTTTGGAGTGCCACTTCCAGGAGCACCTCTAAAACAATCGTTATTACATATTCCAAGCAATTCTAAAGCATAGATTGTTACTTACGACCAGCAAATCAAGTTAACAGGGACGGTGGATTTGATTTCTACACCTTGGATATTGCTATTATGAGGTGGTCAGCCAGAGGGCTTTGTGTGGTGAAAGATACATAACTTACGGAGAACCTTCGAGGCTGTAGTCCGTGTTGATATTGGGCTCATGGGTACGGTCTCCACCACCCTTCACATCCCACTTGACCTGTCTTTCATGTTAATTCTGAGCTGGGAATTATAGAATTAGGGATTGTATAGGGTGTTGATATACATAAGCTGTGGATTGAGGTTGGATCTTTTCAAAATCGCCATGATACTCGATAGGCTGGGCTGCCTCTGCTGGAGTTTCACTTGCCATCTTGAGATGTGGATTGAAAGAAGGATTTGAATTAAAGATTTGGAAGTATTGTATTTGTTTAGATAGTCGAGCTGTGTTGAAAGAGTAGAATTGAACGGATGGAAGTCTGATATTTATGTATTTTCCATCGATTTGTCTCACATCTATGTCATGTTCGACTTTGTCACTTTAATTGTTACTTTGGTATTGAATCTTCCATTTGCGGTTTCTTGCAGTGAAGATTTGCACTTGATGCTGTGCGGATATGCGATTGTCTCTGAATCGGGACTCAAATCTTCAGCTCTATAGTCGTGCGGCCAGAAAGTATATCACACTCCATCCAAATATGGGCCACTACCTCCCTTGTAGATTAACATTTTGTGGTATTTGCTTGAGAGTGGAATATGACATACTTTCTGGCAGCACGAGTGGAATCGCGTCATTTTCTGAACTGGCGGTGGGAGCTTCTCGATTCATTGCTTTTCGACGTTCTCGAATCCCCATGTTGTGTTACCGATAGCGTAGGTTACATTACGTCTAGCATTTACCCCAATTTCTATCAATGTGAGAGGCCAGACCTGGAACAGCTCAAAGCTATGGTCCAAATAGATTTACCAAGAAATGCATACAGTACAAAGAACCTTTGTACACACATATATACAGAAAAAAGACAACGTAAAAGGTTTATGTTTGAGGAAGTTCATGCTTGGCGAGGGTTATAGCCCGAGCACCTACAGAGTTCACAATTACATACTTACAACTTCACTGCTAGTAGCGGAACAACTTATCTGGAAGGCTAGTTAGTATATATCTGTACAGCTAGCCAAAAGCTGTTCGGCGTCTGCAGCTCTCTCAGAACGCCATTATAGTGATACATCGGTTCTGTCTGTGTTAGTGAGATGTTAGACTTTGATACCGTATTATCTCACTTAGCTGGGCTTAGGTCTTGACCCGATTAATCTAAAGTTGCAGAAGCTGACCAGTATGCATATATAATTATAGTTTTATATCCACTTTTGCTTAGGAACGAGAACTGAACAGGGTTAGACCTAAAATCAGTTAGTTGCGGGGATATATAGTATTAGATATTATAAGCTTAAACAATCGAGCTTCCCCCACACTATATGGATACCCCGCTTTCTGCGACTGAAGTACACAACAGTAAGTGTACCTTTTTACCGTGTCCTACGTTGGGACAAGCTTTGTGCAAGTCTCAAAGCAATAGGTTACAACTTACCAAACACTCCAAGTATGATGCGTGTCAAAATATTGACCTGAGAGGGGTAAGTACATTTATCCTGTCCATTCGTAGATCATTCATTAGCTATAGTTGACCGACCATCAAAATGCAGCTTTAACCTCACTACGAAGCATGAAGGGACGATGAGCTAGCTGTATTAGAAGCAGGCGATAATAAGATTTCCATCTCCATCGTACTATCATCTAAAATCGAAATGCGGGATATCGATCGTCATAGCTGAAATGCATGCAAGATCGATGGTAGCTGAAATGCACAAAACGCAGAGTTTTTTTCTTCATGTTCGTGGATTCCGTCGTATTGATCAAAAACATTGTCTAACTTTCTCAAGTGCTAAAGAGACTATGATCTCGGAAAAGATAATGTAACTCTGTGTCACGAACCACGACTAATATTATCCTAGATTGCATATCGCCCCAGGATTAGTGTCCTGAGGCAAGTAGGGATCATGTGATGGAGCCTTCAGGAGCGTAGGCTCCTCAGGGCTCCAGGAAAAGATTCATTATATAGTCAGAATAGTTTCATAGTATAGGAGCTTCGTGCTCAACTTAGTTATCAATTAGTTTACCTACATTCTACTTGATCTAGTAGCGAATTCACTTCCAAGTGAATACCAGTGATAAAGCCTTAACCACAACTACCAACCAGACGAAACCTTAGGCAGCCGCTGCCTCGAGTACAGTATCGTTACACTCTGCCGTGCACTATGTGGGGACCTTTCTGATTTCTGGTAACACTAGAGCGGATATGTGTTACGAGGTTTGCCGTCTAGATTATGTGGAAGTGTTCTAGGCTCTCGAGGTGGTTTATAACTAGGCGTCAAGCAAGGACTTAAGTAAGGGCAATAATGATATGCAATTCGTAACTAATAGTAGAGTATACTAAATGATTGATCTTGAGCACAAAGCTCTATACAAAGGAAATCCATACTGAATATATAGATATTCATGCTCCCTTGGATCCTTTTGAATCCTCAAGCTCCAAAAGCTCCAAGTCACGTGTTTTCTGACAGTGCGTGCGCATACGATCCTAAAGTGACCCAGATCACATATTAATTCGATGAAATCTGATCGCTTTTGCACAAGGCCCAAGCTCTCCTAATTAGTCAGTTGTTACTATCGTAACAATATGCTAGAAAGATTCCACAATTCGGTACTCGGTCTAGTCATTGAAGAGGACCGGGGGTTTAGCGAAGCATCTCATCTCTACACTGAAAATTATCTAATCATTGGTGCTCTAGGACTTAACCGCCTACTGTTGTAGTTGGGGAAAGCGAATTATCCAGGAGAAAAAATTATTCTAAAATATATTATTCTAGTTAAAAAAAAGAAAGATACTCAGATAATCCTTGTAATCTTGATTATATTTTCTACTCCATCTGAAATGTTACGACGGGTAACATATTTCCGTATCACATGACTAATCACAGGATCAAAGCTATCATGTGACCGGATCTAATCAATCTAATTAGAGCCACTAGAGCCAGAACACGAAGGCCTATATAATCAAGATGGATTTCCTTTGTATAGAGCTTTGTGCTCAAGATCAATCATTTAGTATACTCTACTATTAGTTACGAATTGCATTATTGTCATTACTTTAAGTCCCTGCTTGACGCCTAGTGTTACGAGGTTTGCCGTCTAGATCACGTGGAAGTGCTCTAGGCTCTCGAAGTAGGTTTATAACTAGGCGTCAAGCAGGGACTTGAAGTAATGACAATAATGATATGCAATTCGTAACTAATAGTAGAGTATACTAAATGATTGATCTTGAGCACTAAGCTCTATACAAAAGAAATCCATCTTGATTATATAGTCCTTCGTGCCTATGGTTAACTAGGAATCGTCGTTCCTGGGAACGAGCGTTCCTGGTTGTTCCTAGGAACGTTCGTTCCTCACCGTTCCATCACATGTTTTATGGTCATGTGACATACTAATCGTTTTGGACGTAACACCTAGTTATAAACCACCTCGAGAGCCTAGAGCACTTCCACGTGATCTAGACGGCAAACCTCGTAACACTCCCCTTCTTTTCTCTCTATCATTCACTCTTCACTTAATCTTATCTCTACTCACTCTCTACTCACTCTCTACTCACTCTCTACTCACTCTCTACTCACTCTCTACTCACTCTCTACTCACTCTCTACTCACTCACTCTCTACTCACTCTCTACTCACTCTCTACTCACTTTCTACTCACTCTATAAATCCATTATCTATTAACTCATTATTTATCAATTTACTCATTCATCAATCTATTCATTTATCCCTCTCCATCCTCTTCCCTCTATTATTCACTCTCCACTCATCAACCCTCACCCTATCATCTATCTACCTACTCACAAGTCATAAAATATCCTCTCCGGCGGCGTCAAGAATTTAAACAATTCACTACCTACTAATCCAAAAGAAAAAAAATCAATCAAAATGCATTATTCAGGAACACGGGTATTTAACTAATTACTAACTATCGACTACCAACTACCTCGAATTCATATCTATTTATTTCTCCAGTCCTCCGTTCCGTTTCGTGAAACCCAATGTCAATGTCAACCTCTCTCCATCCACCCAAATATGCGTCCCTCAACTTCGTACATTGCCCTAAGCTTCCTGCTTCAAATCAAATATTCATATTGAACACATGAAACGACCTTCCATATTTCAATCTCCTATCACCTCCCTATACACATCCTGAAAAACAACCTAATATGCAGTATTCTGTCTATAAAAATCCGCAGGATTTGATGCACCAGTAGGAGGTGCACTTGGAGCATTATTTAATCCTTGACCACTCATCCCCTGATTACTATCACTACTATCAGGTCTCTGATAAGCCTTATATTGTCCTTGGCTAGGTAATGTCGTTCTTGCATCACCTAAACCTGGATACGGTGAACTTTGAACTGGACTAGGGATTTCATTTGGAGGAGCCGGGGGTTCATATGCAGGTTGAGAAGGTTGAGATGGTTGTTGAGGTGGTTTGTATGCATTATATTGTTGTGGGGGTTGGGTTGTTGCGGGAGTGGCCGCGTAAGGGTCAGTTTCAGTGTATGTAGTGTATTGATGAGGATTTTGTTGTTGAACTGGAGAATCGTAGACAGATGTTGCTAGTTCTTGTGGATTAGAATATGTGCTTTGTGGGCGATGACCTGTTTGTGGTTGTTGTGTTGGGTATTGAGTTGGAGAAGGACTATTGGTTTGAAGTGGCGGAGGTTGTGAGCCTGATGGAATCCGAGGAGTAGGATCTCTTTGGGGATATGGCTGTTGACTCTCTGATTGTTGAGGCTGTTGACCTGGATATGGTTGACGACCATCGGCTTGTAGGGGTTGCTGCTGACCTGGAGCAACAACATAAAAAGGTGCCGGTCCATTTCGTGGAGGAGCATAACCACTAGGTGAAGTTGGTTGTTGGTATGGTGGCTCTGTTTACACTTAGTATGTCATCGTTTAGTAATATTGATTTCACTTACCTTGTTGTTGAGATGGTGTATAATATCTCTGTGGTTCCTGTTGTGGTCTTGCTGCCTGAGGAGGATATCCATAACCTTGTGGACCTTGTGGTGCATGCCCAGGTCGACCATAGTGATAAGATTGTGCCTGGGTCATAGAGGCATCTAGCAAATTCTCGTAGTCGCGACATGATTTAATGAATCTCTCATTCAATTGTGTAAAATCATCTGATATATGTTAGTGAGCTGATCAATAAGCCTGATTGAACGAATATATTTCGTACCTTTTTTCTGGGAGTATTTTCCGATTAGCTCAATAAGTTTTGGCCTAATTGCGAGAGTAGAATGGTAAAGTTTCTAAGTATGTGAGCATGCGGTTCAAAATACGGATATTACAACTTACTGTGATTTCCTCATTATCACGAGCATCTAATTGAGATGTTGAAGTACTCAATAATGTAAGTAACTTCTCCACATTCTTAATCTCTGCAAAAACCTCGGCCTCCATTTGCGCTTCCCGTTGTAGTTCTTCCGGTGTGGGATCCACCAACTTTTCAACATAATTCAGCGGGAAAATACCAGTCTTCCCTCTCAGGGAGCCCCTCCACCAATCTTTATATACTGATCCTATAACTGTAATGATATCGCCCTTTCTAAATTGTAATTCATCCGCATCTGTGGGTTGGAAATTGTGAAGTGCTCTAACTCGAGAGACAGTAGCGGCCGTTGTCCCAGATGGTACTTGTTGTGGCTGTGCATCTTGTTGCGATTGAGCCGGGTCTGCGGATGAACTGGATGGTTGGGAAGGTTTTGGTTGACTACTTTTATCCTGGATAGATAATTTTAATGCCATTTGTAATTCTTCTTCTTCCTTCTGACGATCCAAATCTGTAAGTCGACTCTTTGATGGCGCGGATGGTGGGTGCAAGTTAGGATTCTGGCTCTTCAGTCGATGGTATTGATCATTCATAATTCCTAAATCAGGGTCTTTGAACATTTCTGCCCACTCTGCCATTCGCTCAAGGATCTTCCCTTTCACTTGTTGATGCGTGTTTCTATCGTTTGCCAGTCTTAATAGTGCATCAGTAAACGCCCTTGAAGCCAACTCTCTGTGCATCTTCGCTCCGCAATTTTGACTTAAAGCGTTGGCGAGCTATACATATTGTGTTAGATTTGGTGAAAGCGACTGCGACCTATGTCATAACCAACCTCTAAAGTATATAATTGAACGTTGGCGTTTCGATGCGCCAACCTCTTTATCATGCTTGCCACGGCATCTTTGGCACCGCTGTCTTCTCCGGATACCTTGTCGCAAACATCCATAATATATTCCCAATTCTCCGAAGTGAGGTTCTCGTCGGTCGCCTTGGCTATAGAGTCCATGAATTAGCATCATATTCGACCGAGGCCTCATCAAGGCGGATAGGGATTTGAATAAGCTCAGAAGCTCCTACTTACCAACGACCTCGTCGAAGGCATTTTGTTGAGCGCGAAACATTGTATACAAATTTCAATATTATTTGACAGTTCAAAGAGATAAACGTCGCGGAAATTTGTAGCTCTCAAGATGTAGTAACTTGAGAGATTTGAGGTGTAGATGGTTTGCCTACAAAGTACACAGTGATTGATGGATGGCTCAAGCTTCCCGACCCCACTAAGGACGCTAAGTAAAACGATCCATAACCGGGTACGGAGTACGATGGGGTACGGTAAGGAAGCAGTTTGACAACGTCACTCCTCCGTAGAAATGCGTGTCTCCAACGCCACAACCAATTAAAAATAGTAGACATCAGAACGGAAGAATTACCACGAGAAAATCCGATAGTAACTTTAGAGAATGTTTGTATAACTTCATTTTTGTATGACCGGGAAATGTCGATTAGATTAGATTGAGAGTCGAGACAGCGATATAAAAGTCATGCGTGCATGTGCATTGAACACAATAATGACAGTCAACAATTCTTTCATCATGATATATTATGAAAGCTCAAAGGATATATACATTCATAGAGTATTCAAAGTTTTGGATCAGCATCCAAATTTGGATATTTACCCGCGCCTAATCTACTTGCCTTCACGAGAGCAAGAGCTAATTTCTTGTTGTACATATAAACAATTGCACACCTACTCACTGTAAGTGTAGCAGATTGTGACATAAAAAAAATGGGTTGAGGAATCCCCTATCATCAAGGGAAACTTCAACAGAAAACCAGACGCTATGCTTCCAATCAATTAATTTCCTTCCCAATATCACAAGCATCCATCCAGATATGAAACAGCGCCTATACTCCATCGTTGTATGCATAAAGGAGACCCAGAGATAATATTTGCAACAACAGCCATATTTACGCTACCACATCTCGCCCTCCTCGGTCGCTTGATCATGTGATTGTGTTCGCCCATAATCGTAGTATTTTTGATCGTTATTATAACCATTCTCACTGTTGTTCTGGCCGGTGCGGGACTGTGGACGATTATGATCCTGCCCTGGCTCATTTCCTTGATGATCGTAATCATATATTTGAGAGTCATCGACATAATTAACACCCTCAGCAGAATGATTTGGGTTTTGAGACTGTTCAGCATATTGGGTAATGCCCTATTAAAATGTTAGCCCTCAGTTATTCCAGAAATCCTGAGAAGAATTCGAGGAACTCATACCTGATGGTAATCATATCGATATTGATCCCCGCTCTCTTGCTGCTGCTGTTGCTGCTGCTGCTGCTGTCTCAACTGTTCTTGTTGCTCTCGATACTGCTGTTCTTGCTCCTTTTGCTTCCTTTCTGCCTCTGCCTTCTTCTGCTGCGCGGACTGTGGTATTTGCATATGTGGATGCATCTGCTGAACCTTGGCCAAGTATGAATACATGAAATTACTAAGCAGAACCTGACTGTATAATGCCCGTTTAGGATTCGCCAGCTTGATGTGAGCCATGCGATAGATTGCCCTTTCTTCCATTATTGAAAATCTTGTCCAGTTATAGTCAATATCTGGCTTTAACACGCGGTGCTGAGGTTCGGGTGAAAGAGTGCGGAGGGAGCTATCCTTTTTACTACCTGGATCACGATCGGCCTTCTTCTTTCCACCACCAAAAAGTGATGAAAAGATGCCGTCCTTTTCCTTTTTAGGCTCCGCACCAGCTTTACGGCTGCCTTCTTTCTTTCGATCATTTTCGAGTTTGTTATCAACATTATCTCTTTCGACTAAGAAGCTCTCGCGGCCCCTCGTAGTTGTCTCCATGGTGGATTGCAAAACATCCAAACGAGCATTGTCGTGCGTTTTGTCTAATGAAACCTTCGACCTACTCTTCTCATCTTTTTTCTTATCCTTCTTATCCTTTTCGTCACTCCCTTTGAACCAGCCCCAGCTGGTCTTTCGAGGCCCAGAGTTTTCTTCCTCTCTTTCCTTTTTCGATTTCTTCTCGGATTTCTTATCGTCCACGGCTGAAAGGTGAGTGGGTGCATCAGTCCTCAGTGTACTCACTGGAGCTGGAGAAGGTTGCTGCTGTTGATGCATGTCATTTGCCGTTGCTGCTTTTGGCAGGGCTGCACCACCGGAGGAAGCTTGATGCTCCAATGCCGGACGCTTGGTGGATTTTGCTGGAGGTTCTGGATTGGGCTTTGGAGCTGCTTGAGGAAGAGCTTGAGGATTTGATTGCTTTTGTGATGCTTGACTGGTCTGTGAAGATGTTCTTTCAGGAAACTGGATAGGTTGTTTGCCTGCCTGTGGTTGTGAACTTTCTTCTGGTAGAGGCGGGGTCTCTACTATACGTGGGACTGGAGAATCATTTTGAGGGTGGCTAGTGCTTCTTGATCGAGAATCATCATGGCTAGGCTGGGACGGCCGTTGGCCTGGGTCGGGCGTTAGTTCTGCAGCTGAAACAGAGGCTGGAGAATCAGATTGTGTAGACAACTGTTTGGCAATATTATCCGGGATCGAGGGAACCGGCGGGGCTTGTTCTATGTTCTGCATACGTCGTGCACTCCTGTTGGGTCTAGAAAAATTATCCGTGTTACTCAAGGGTTCCGATTGGGTAGGTGTAAGAGGGGAGCTTGCAGATGGACGCCCATCAATCGGCGAAGCCGCTGAAGAATCTTCTCCATCAGCATCACCTCGATTTGAGCCTGCTCTCTTTGAGAATGGTACCCGCTCTCCTTTTCTCACGCTTCCCCTCCTATAGGTAGTGCGCGTAGACCTCCTCAGGCCAATTCCCGGTGCTTGTGGTAAAATAGGTAAATCTTCGCCATCGCTTCCAGTCTCGATACTCAATTTCTGCATTGCTGCTGAAGGATCCCTGACCAGTTCATCCAGTTCCTGAAGATCCGAAATCCTTAAATCAGGTGTATGATGTGATGATACAGACTTATTCCTCTCCAGTTGTTCCGCTCCATCTTTATACCCTACAGCTCCTCGACCACCCGAATTATCAATCTGCCTCGACAGCATCGATTTCTTCCTCCTCAATCCAACGCCAGATCCACTTTGTTCAGTGCCGTTAGGTGCCAATGAAGTCTGATCTCCAGATCGTCGTTTAATTGATTGAACGCGGTTTTCCAGAAACGTTTTGAATTCCATGGGTGCAAGCTCAGGGTGAACTCTAGCAGGCACCCAGAAGAGTCGCGATGGATCGTCCTCGTCGTCATTCCCTGTTGGGGCTGCTGTAGGCATTAAAGATCCACCTTGGAATGATGGCAGATCCGGATCACTGGTATTGCCCACATCCATCGACATTCGACGTAACGCTTGTAAATTACTGAGTTCCTGTGCGACAGCAGCTGGGCCGGATTCATAGTCGATATCGCTCAGCGGAAACTCCGCATTTGCTGCACCTCCTGCATTAGGGTCACGTAAGGACAAAGATGGTGATATAGGATTTCCATCCCCAAATGTGGGACTCCTGGGACTCTGCATAATTGCTGGTGATGTATGCGCTTTGTGATTTCCATTTGTTAAAGGTGCCGGCCCCGGCCTAATGCTATTATTCGTGTCGTAAAATGAATTTGTTGTATCTTCAAAAGGCTCATTGGAAGAGGGAGGGATAAAGCTAAGAGGTCTTGAATCGCGTTTTGAGTAATCATCATCCCCATACATGTCTCCAATAGCCTCAGTTATGTGATGATTCGGGTCGGAGATTGAGATCCGGGCATCATTTCTAGGTACAAAACTCCCACCAAGTTCTCTCGGTCTCGAAGAGGTCTATTGGAGTGAAAAGAAGTTAGTGAGGTTTATTGCAACAGTTCTAATGAATAGAGATCTATGTAAATGTATTATGTGGGAAGACTAAGGTCTAGTAAAAAAGGCACTAGTGAGAGTAAATTGAGAGAAAGCCGGCTCGGGTGCCCAACAGACAAGTGCGAGAGTTGTTGGGTGAGGTGAGTTGCAAACACTGCTCTGATACTGCTTCTCTTCTCACGACGTCGCGTCGCACAATGTGATAAGTATCCATAGAAGTGTGCATACCTTCATCGGGAGTTGTGATGCGGATCTTCCAACAGTATTCCCCTTGCTGCGATAGAAGAACTAGTACCTAGCACCGAGCACCTAATGGAATTACTGATGATACCGGCGATCTCATCTGGAGTTGTGGGATTTAGTGTGGCCAGAGTGATGTGATTCAAGAGGGTGGTAAAATATACATCCGTGAGCGGGTAAGAAAGTATTTCAAATAACAGAAAATGAGAATGAGGATTGCGGTCGCATAGTGTTGTTGTTGTCGTATGCAGTAATCACAGAAATTGGGGATACTGGTTATGATTATGGTTCTGATTATGGTTATGGTTCGTTCTGGTTATAGTAGTTATGGTAAACAGGAAGGATCCCAATTAATTCGAGTTGTGCAATTGGTACCAAATACCAAATGGGTTTATGTAGTGACACATGAGTGGATAGATTGACTTTTTTGGGGTCACTTGCTTTTCCATTGGGTTTAGCGAAAGAGTGAAATCGAGCTTAACCCCTGCTGTGAATATTGGAAGCAAGCAAGCAAGCAAGCAATTAATGAATCGGATCAATAAATCAAACCAAAATAAAGATAAAAATATACTGCTATTATGAAAGATCTATTATTTGAGTTCAACTATTATGTATATAGTATAGCATCTAACTACCAACCAAAATATCACAAAGGGGCACCCGAGATGTGATCAATGGAAATAAACGATTGAATGTCCGATCAACGCATAAATGAGTGAGTGTATAAACGAGTTATAATTCCTGACATTGGTTGCCGGAATTATCAATGACTATACTTTTTTATATGAGGTATATACTCACTATTTATATAGAATCATCTATCAAGGTGTACTGGGTAGGTGGTGCGAGGTACATACTAGGTACTTGGTAATTGATTGAATGATTGAACGACCCGATGTATGAGTACATAGCAACAGTATGTTCTTCACGTTGGTTTCACGGAGAATCGATATCTCCTTTGATTTATATACCATTTAGCTGTGAGAATTATCTATCTAGTATCATCATAGTCCTTCTACCTACAACACAGTAATATCTTAAAAGACTACCTAGGCCTCCGTACCAACTCGTATTATTGAAAGACCTTCAGCTGCATGTCGGACATCAACAACTCAGTTTCAGCACCAATTCTATCAGCTGTACTTTATGTTTTATATCTCAAGACTTCTTTTGTGTCACCCACCACCATCTTCAAGGCTAGATTTGGCATCTGACTGTGTTTCCGTTCTTCTTGGTCAACCTTACATATTTATTTATCGGGTGTATATTCAAGGTTCTTATATCATACTTCCAAATCAGCGCTTAACGCTTTCAATATTCTTAACCATCCTTTCCGTGCTTATGCGGCACAACACAAAAGGGGGGCGCTCTCCGGAAGTATATTCTCTGCGCTTATATATCATCGTAACACGCTCTCATTTTTCAAGTGACAATTGAGGTTCCGGATGTTGTCTCTCAAATACAATCTCAAGGTACAATGTGGTGTTTTATTCCAGACATTTGGAGACCTTTTCCCAAGGCATTTTGTAGAATTTGATATTCACGAAAGCCTTCTTCTGCGGGGTAGCAAGGGAGAAAAAAAGAAGTTTTTAGAAGTATTCGAATATTCGAAATTACTAGTTACTACTAATTATAGTTATGGTAGAGTATTCCGTGTTGCCGATTCAGGGGGCAGCTGTAAGTGTATGCAACGGTTTATCGATCTAGAATCATTCCTTTCTTCCATTTCCTCCTCTATTCCACTATTTTCTGTCACAAAAAAAATTAAAAATAAAGCAGAATCGAAGCAAAAACTTCAATCTTATTATTACTGGGTACTTATTTATGCATCATCATCGATTTTGCTCTTCTCCGTCATCATACATAAATTTACGAACTGTACAGCTGGATATCCAGTAACAAAATATATTTACCCTACGCGTACTTTATCTCTTTTACGACTTTCTCACAGCCACAATGTTGAGAGGTCGCATTGACTTTTTTGAAACCTCAGCTCATTTCAACACGACCATGTAGGGTTAATGAAGTTGAGGGTCTCTCGTTAGAGTTGTGGAGTTCACGAAGAGAAATACGAAAATGCGAAATGCGATTGAAAAGGTCAATGAAACATCTTTGGATTATACAACAAATTTGAAATTTACTAAACCTACTTCCACTTGGAGGTAATCAACCAATTTCTGTTTCTTGCTCGGAGATGTGTGAATATTTTGCGGCGTGCGAGCATGCTTCATTGTTTCCCTGGAGTATCGTTGTCGATGCTAACGTAACGTCATGTCGCGTCTTCGGGTCAATATGTGTGTGCTCCTTTGCTGGCATACTGCAAGTCGTTCACAAAGGTTATTTTCCCAGTCAATCATGTGAGCATGCGTACATACACAACGGTCGGTAATGATTCCAACCTGAGCAACAAGCACGAACAAAATGGGGCCCGACAACTGGCTTAAGCTTGCTCCGCATTACTGAGTTTCCCCCGCATCTTCATGATCCGCAGAAGTCTGCTTTTCTCGACACCCAACAGGTGCGGAAAAACTCAACCTCGGTATATTCATTTGACCGAGTTTAGAAGCTTCATTGCAGATATACCTTGTTCTTGAAGTGTACAAATGGCTTTGCTTTCCGCTAGAATACAGTTGACAAAGAAGCACTGTGCTCTCATACTGAGTGCTGCCCTTGAATTATGGCTACAATCAAACGCTTAGTTGGCTCTCTGGTGCTTTCTCTCTCTCTAAATTTAGTATCTGCTCAAGCATGCTGGAAAAATACAGCTTGCAGTGGACCTCTTGAGGCAGCTTTTCCAGGCCCTTGGGATGCAAATATCTATGCACCTTCAAGCCGCCAGGTATCTCCGAAATCGGTACTATCAGCAACCACAGGGGCCGTGCTATCTGACTTCACGGGATCGATTGGACTCTCTGGCAATGGTTCGAAGTACACTCTTGACTTCGGCAAAGAGGTCGGCGGACTCGTGACTCTCGAATACTCTTCCACAGGACCTGGTGCGATTGGTCTGGCATTCACAGAAGCAAAAGATTATATTGGAGAATGGTCAGACTCATCCAATGGAGGTTTCAAGGGACCAGATGGTGCTATTTATGCAAATATCACATCATCTGGTTCGGGAACATACACCATGCCAGATCTTTCGCTTCGTGGAGGTTTTAGGTACTTGACATTGTTCTTGCTCACTAATGGTACCACGAACGTCAACATCAGCAGCATTGTTCTTGAGATTGGATTTCAACCAACATGGTCAAACCTACAAGCTTACCAAGGATACTTTCACAGCAATGATGAAATGTTGAACAAGATATGGTACTCTGGTGCTTACACTCTACAAACGAACGCCGTGCCTGTAGACACAGGACGACAAATTCCTACTGTCAAAGTGGGATGGGCAAACAATGGTACTTTGGGGACTGGTGATACTATTATTGTGGATGGAGCCAAACGGGATCGAGCTGTTTGGCCAGGTGACATGGGTATTGCGGTGCCATCGACATTTATCAGTATTGGAGACCTTGTCAGTGTCAAGAATGCCCTCCAAGTCATGTACGACTATCAGGTATGCTATTCCCTCTGATTAATGTTTTTGCCCTTGCCCAGTGTCGGGGACCCCCTTCAATACACCAATGAATTTCAGTATCGAACGCAGTTCCATTGTTTTAAACCACTTTACCAAAGAAGCTTGTGATGGGCTTGAACTTTATATCATCTGAACTTTTTTCATGCTTTATTGTCTTTGGCAATCTATTAGCCCATGCAGGGACTAACTCAACCCAGAACAGCAAGACTGGGGCATTTCCAGAGGCAGGGCCACCATTGCTACAGCAGGGTTCCGATACCTACCATATGTGGACCATGATTGGAACTTACAACTATGTCCTTTACACCAATGATACGTCATTCCTTTTGCAGAACTGGGCAAAGTATCAGTTAGCAATGAGTTTTATATATAACAAAGTCAGCGCTCCTGGTCTCCTCGAGGTCACAGGGATTCGAGATTGGGCTCGTTGGCAGCAAGGTTTCAATAACAGCGAAGCACAAATGATGTAAGTTTTCCTTCTGGCATGACCTATCAATTGACTAACAAATAATTAGTCTCTATCGAACTCTTCTTACTGGCGCTGATTTGGCCAAATGGGCTGGAGATACCACCAATTTAACAGCGACATGGACTAATCGCGCGGCATCTCTCAAGACAGCCATTAACACTTATTGTTTTGATGATTCTTATGGAGCTTTCAAAGACAATGCGACAGCCACTACTCTTCATCCCCAAGATGCCAATAGCATGGCTCTTCTATTCGGTGTTGTTCCTTCCAATTCCTCCACTGCCCAAGATATCTCCACCAATCTTGTCAAAAATTGGACTCCAATCGGGGCTGTTGCGCCAGAGCTTCCAGAAAATATATCACCATTTATATCGAGTTTTGAAATCCAAGCCCATTTCACAATCGGGCAGGCAAGTCGTGCCCTCGATCTCATCCGTCGTTCTTGGGGTTGGTATCTCAACCACCCTAATGGAACCGAAAGCACAGTCATCGAAGGTTATCTTCAAAACGGCACATTTTCATACCGGTCAAGCAGGGGTTACATGTACGATACCGCGTATGTATCTCACTCACACGGCTGGTCTTCAGGCCCTACCTCTGCACTCACAGAGTTCGTATTGGGTCTTAGTGTTACTAGCCCCGTCGGTAAAACATGGAAACTAGCACCACAATTTGGAGATTTGACGAGCGCGGAAGGTGGATTCATGACCACATTGGGGAAATTCCAAGCCGGTTGGAATTTGACATCGAAAGGGTATACATTGGATTTTGCAGTGCCAGAAGGGACTACAGGATCGCTGGTCTTGCCGGTGAAGAAAGCGGGAGTGGTACCAAAGATTGTTGTGGATGGGAAGAAGATAAAAAAGTCGAGTGATTTGAAGATTGAGAATGGGGGTGTTACGTTGGAATCTAGTGGTGGAAAACATAGTATTGTTGTGAGTTGAAGATTTACATGATCACATACATCATTATCTATAACACTAGGTTTGCTTTCCAATATTACATGGAAACATGAATCCGATTATAAAAAAATCACCCGACGCGATCCCTATCATCATAAACCCGTGTCTATAAATTGAAAAATCAGGGTCTTTCCCGATCCAGACCAAGCAAAGATCCCAGCCATGTGATCCGAGGTACTTGAGATGAGTGATCGTCATAAATTTTTGGTTTCTTTGTTTCATCTGGGAATATTTTGCTGGGGGGATTTGAGTGAATTGTGGCAGTGCATAAATTAAAGTGATTTTCAAACTTCAGATGTTTTCATGCTTTATGGGATTTTTACTAGAGAAGTGCAGATGAAGTTTGAAGTTTGAAAGATCTTGTGGGTGATGACGTATTGTTGACATAACTAAAAGAAAGGAGTGTTCTGGTGGGAGCTAGGTACTAATAGGAAGCTGGGAGGGTCTCTTTAATGCGGAGGGCATTCACTAAACTAATAAACAAGAAAATACAAATACAAAAACAATACATTTTCCCATACTCGATTATCTCTTAACAACTTCATCGACTCGATATCTCGACATCTACTCCTGTTCTAAAATTATCAACGGATATTTATTTTCATTTACTCTCCGTACGAAAATCTCATACGAAAGCGAGAAACATTCACTGAGCCCAACAGCCCTGTCTCCCGGCCTCCACTGAATTCATTCACAACAAGGATTTCGATATTACCAGCAGACAAACCTGTGGGCACCACAACAAGGGTCGCAAATACCACCCCACTCAGTAAACAGGTAGGGTCTTTTGCTTATCGTACCCGTTCCGAGCAGTGAACTTCCTCGTGTATATATCTTGTCTTCAGTCTCTTACCATCAATCAGACTTGGCTTCAATTTTGCATACAATCAATCATCTTGTGTTTTGGGGAAACAGAAAACTAATTCAAGATGATGCGCCAACAGTCTTTACACGCCAATATGTCGGGTAGTCAAGTAGCTGGAGCTCCTGGATCGCATCCCCCTGGTATGCCCGTGAGGACTCTTTCAACCAGTAGTGCTTTCACAGATCGCACTGATGAGGGAGAGGCGGTGCCGACGGAGAATCCAAGTAGTGTGCGTACTTCTTCGTTCTGGGGTTTGGGGGGAAGGCATGGAACTCCTGAGGCTAATTACATTTTTGCGCGCAGACTTCAGAGCTATTAGCAGAAAGATTGAGAGCTTGGAAGCATGCGGTTGGATATCTCGAGGAATATATTGGAGCTACGGAGAAGATGCAAAAGCAACAATCGAAGGAATATGAGAAGATTTTGAAGACTATTGCGAACCCCTTAAAGGAGGGGCATCATTTTCAGCAGGAGGTGGGAGGTAAGATGTGTCTCCAAGGATTACCAATTGCGATTCTGGAACAAAATTTTAACTTGTTATTCAGGAATGGCTGGAGTGTTCGAAAATATGAGAACTAATACTCAGGTATGATGTGCGGTGTTTTATTGCTTGCGCAAACGCTGATCTGATAGGGTTTAATCAACTCTCACCTCGAAACAGAGAAGAATATAAAAGGCACGGTGATTCCAATTCTCGATCGACTACACAAAGAAATTAAACATAAGTCTAAGGAGTTGTTATCCGGAGCTGTAAAGGGCGCGAAAGAAGTTGAAAAGGCCAGAAATATCACACAGAAACACATCGAGCTTCTAGGATCACAAACTTCGAATTATCAGTCCAGCGCTGCTTCCTTGAAGTCAGCTGAAGATCCATACGTCGTCCACCGAGGTATTATACACCGACTTCACAAGCAGGTTTTGGAGGAGAACACCAATCGTCATGATCTCATTCAAGTTCAAAACAACTTTGCACAATTTGAGTCTCACATTATCGAGATCATTCAGCAGGCTATGATGAGTTTCACTCAAATAGTCACGAGCCAATCTCAAAGGGAACAAACACTATGGGGAGATATGCTCAACAGCTGTCAGGTTGTCCCTCCAAATCTCGAATGGGAAGGTTTCGTTCGCCGCAACCAAGCTCTTCTTGTCGACCCTAACGCCGCCGATCGTTCGGTAGAAGCTATTACCTTTCCCAACCAAAACCATGCTAGCACTCAGCCTCTCATTGAAGGCTCCCTTGAGCGCAAAAGCAGAAACAAGTTAAGCTTCGCTGGTTACACGACGGGCTATTACGTGGTAACTCCCAGCAAATTCCTCCACGAATTCAAGGATAACGATAACATACGTAGGGACCCCGTCCCAGAGCTATCCATCTACTTGCCAGATGCCATAATCGGCAGCACCAATGGTGAAAAATTCAACATCAAAGGAAAGGATGTCTCCAAGGGAATAGGAAGTAAACTGTCTGGTACATCGGAAATTGCATTTAAAGCGCATTCGGCCGCCGATGCAAGTAAGTGGTATGAAGTTATCCGATCAGTTGCGGGATCGGGCCCAGCAGATGCCTCTGGCAGCGGGCCAACTAGTCCAACAGACTCGAGACAAAGCTCAGCAGCTTATCCGGTGGAAAAACAGCCGGCTTCAGTGCAGACCACCGGAACTATTACTGGGGGTGAGACGGTCGCTAGTCCTGTGGCGCAGACGAATGCAACCGATTTTGCTCCAGTGAAAGTACCAGAGAAGACTGGTTGAAACGAGGGGCACGAGTGAGGACTTGGGTTTATTGTCTCGGAGAAAGCGGAGACGGATGGAATTTTTGTGAGTTATGCACAGCAAAACAGGTTTTGGCGGTGCTTCAGCGTAAAATCAAGTTATCAAATGTGGCTATTAAAAGCGTTTGAATTGCATTCAAATTTTGGTTCGAAAGTGTATTCACAGCGGGTATTCAAAACTGATAGGGTGTGTGGGGTTGAGGTAATGTTTATTAGTGTTGTATATGATATCAAAATTTGTTTCTTATTTTAGGTAGCTATATTGGTTAGTTTCTAGGTAGTGAATGATATGATAAATTATTATCTAGGTCCCTACCTAATCAATCTAGTCGGGCGGTTGGTGCTTGATGTATAGGGTAGGTCTGTCTATTTGATGTGGCTGCTAGATTATTAACTAGGCAGTTGTTCATTTTTTTCTTCGAGTAAGACTTATAAAAGAACTGGTAGTGAAGCTTGAAAGTAATGGGTATTCTATTACCATTGTCTCCTCGGTCCTCCTAAAAGGCCCGACCGGGAGAGATATATGATCTCTCTGTGGCCAAGTGTTCAAATCTGGTAGGTACTTCTGGGCAAGTGCTCTTTCTATATACGATGTCGAATTGAGTTTTGTTTGAGATGGCGGGCTCGGTGTATTCTAAACTCCCTCTAACCATCACATTGTCTTTGAACATTGTCGTCCCTCAATTTGACATTCAAAACCATCATGGATAATTCGGGATACTCAAGATTAAAGGAACCTCCCATTACCCCACCATCTCGAGTTCATACAGCTTATCCACGTGAAAAACACCAGAAAGTGGAATGCGCTCCTCAGCCAAGTGATCCATTCCAAGATCCATCGCTGTCTCGACCTTCATTTGCCGAGCAACGTTTCGAGCTTCCATCCACACTCTTGAGTCCATTAAAGGCGCCTGTACCGTCGGATCAATTCAAAAATCCTTTCTTGAATTTGCTTCCGAATTCGCCTTTAAATCCTCGTAGCGGCAACTTTAGTCCCGAAGAATGGATTTCGAACCTAGTTGCCTTTATGGGACAGGATCCGAGACGATACCCCAGGAGAAGTGCTGGGTTTTCTTTTGAAAATCTTAGTGTGTATAGTTTCAGAAAACCAACTGACTATCAGAAAAATGTCGCGAATGTTGTGCTTGAAATCGCTGCTTTGGCTCGATGGTTAGTTGGGTCTGGAAAACAAAAGGTTCAGATATTAAAAGGTTTTGATGGTTTGATTGAGCATGGAGAAATGCTATTACTTCTTGGAAGGCCGGGTAGTGGGGTTTCTTCTTTACTAAGAACAATATCTGGGGATACTCGTCGACTTTTTATCGAGCCAGACTCGGATATCAATTACCAAGGAGTCTCTATGACTGAAATGCATCAACGATTCCGAGGTGAGGCCATTTATTTGGCAGAGTCAGATAGTCATTTTCCAGATTTGACCGTTGGTGAGACTTTACTTTTTGCAGCAAAGGCTCGAGCACCACCTGATTTTACTTTTCCGGGAGTAACTAGACAAGTGTATGCGGAACATATGAGGGATGTTATGATGGCAACTTTAGGTCTTAGTCATGTTGAGAAAGTACCGGTGGGAAATGATTTTGTCAAAGGTATCACTGAGCATGAGAGGAAGAGAGTGAGCATTGCAGAAGCAGCCCTGAGTGGATGCACACTACAGTGTTGGGATAACAGCACTAGAGGGCTAGATAATTCCTATACACTTGATTTTTGTAGGATGATTCGACTCTCAACGACTCTTGGAAGAACAACTGCATGCATTGCATTATATCAACCTCCTCAGAGTGCTTATGATGTAAGCTTTGGCTGAGAATCTAAGGAGGGCACTGCTAACACCAAATGCATAGCTATTTGATAAAGTTACAGTACATGACTTTCCAGGAACTCCTCGCAGGATACTATTAACGAGCATCACAGGTGCTATACGAGGGACGGCAAATATACTTTGGTTCTTGTGGTGAAGCTAAAGCGTTTTTCATCGAGATGGGGTTCATTTGTCCTCCACATCAGACTACTGCGGATTTCTTGACGTCCCTCACAAGTCCCGATGAGAGGACAATTCAGTACTGAAATTGAATTCCCTCCCCATGGATTTCTGCTGACCGTCATGGAGACCAGGTTTTGAATTTCGAGTACCACGGACACCCGAAGAATTTGTTATGGTCTGGAAAACAAGTCGTCACTATGCAAGACTTATGCAAGAACTCGAAGCGTATGAAAACGAGTACCCATTTGATGGAACCCACGCTCTTGATTTTGCAGCTGCACGACGATCTCAGCAAGCAAAGTATCTGTTCGTCTACTTTCTTCAATGAAATCATAATTTGGCTAATCGTGTTTCAGACGGACCAAATCAGCGTACATGCTCTGTCCAAGACAACAAGTTATCTTGTGTATTGGCAGAGGGTTCCAGAGGTTACGTAACGATATTAACTCCACGATAATTGGCCTCGTAACATATATTTTGATGGCTCTAATCATGGGTATTGCCTTCTACAATCTACCTGCCGATACCACTAGTATCAATAGTAGAAGTACATTGCTGTTTATTACAATATTATTCAATGCTATTACGGGCTCGTTTGAAGTAACTGCAAGAATGTCCCTAGATCTACTGAACTAACTGACACAACTCTAGGTTCTCCAATTCATTAGCCATCGTTCCGTTATAGATAAACAAGCAAGATATGCGTTTGTCCATCCATTCGCTGAAGCGTTTTCTTCCATCATATGCGGCGTGCCAGGTAACGTCTGCAGCACGTTGTTGTTCAACACTATTCTCTACTTCATGACAAATTTAAGAAAAACATCAGTGGCTTTTTTCACATTCGTTGCGTTCTCCTTTATTATCAATATGACACTTTCTATGGCGTTTAAAACCATTGGGACTTGTTATCGATCTCATGCCCAAGCTGTTTTTACAACCGCCATTATTGTTCTGATTTTTATGATGTATGCAGGATTCGTCATACCACCGATGTATATGGTTTCATGGTTCCAGTGGATTACTTATATTAATCCTGTTGCGTACACCTACGAAAGTCTGATAATCAATGAATTTTCTGGGCGCATATTTCCATGTGCGAACCTCGTTCCGACTGGACCATCTTATATTGGCACAAGTTCTCATAATCGGGTTTGTTCCGTTGTTGGGTCTATCGCGGGCTTTGAGGATGTATTGGGGACTATATATCTTGAGCTTAGATTTGGTTTCCAACCTAATCATCTATGGCGGTATGTAACAAACTCAAACACTTTCGATATTCGATATCAGGGAGCCCGGAATACTTTTCATTCTAAGCTAATGTACTCAGAAACATGAGCATTTTATTCGCTTTCATGGCACTTTTCATGTCTGCATACTTAGCCACTATAAGCCGGATATCAACGGAAAAGTTGAATGGAGAAATTTTGTTGTTCCAACGAGGACACAAGCCACAGCCTAAAAGGCAAAGACATCTTGAAATATACTCCGGAGCAGAAATTCGCAGGTATGGCAATGGTGATCCGATAAACAAACTACACAGGCAAACATCTACTTTTCAATGGAAAGACATTTGCCTCGATATCAAAACAGTAGATGGTACATGTCGGATTCTGGATCATGTTGATGGTTGGGTGAAACCAGGAACTTTGACCGCCCTTATGGTATGTCTGAGAGGCCGGGTTGCATAACCATGCTGATAAAAGTGGCTTATAGGGACCATCTGGGGCTGGTAAAACCTCTTTATTAGATGTTCTTGCATCTAGAACCAGTATTGGTATTGTTTCCGGGGAGTCTTTTGTTGATGGCTGCATAAAGGATATATCCTTCCAACGCAAAGTTGGATATGTCCAACAACATGACTTCCATCTCCCGACAATGACGGTACGCGAAGCACTACAATTTAGTGCCATCATGCGTCAGTCAATTAAGAGTACGAAAAAAGAGAAGCTTGCTTATGTGGAAGATGTGATTAAGCTGTTGGAAATGGATATGTATGCAGATGCAATTGTAGGGGTTCCTGGCGAAGGTTTTTAAATCCAGATCCGGTTCAAATGACAAGGGTAATAGCTAATGGGAATGCAGGGCTGAACATTGAACAACGAAAGAAATTGAGTATGGGTATTGAGCTTGCTGCTAAACCAAAACTTCTACTTTTCTTGGATGAGCCTACTTCTGGTCTTGACAGTAGCACGTCGTGGGAAATAGTTGAGCTCTTGAAAAAGATCACAGCTCATGGTCAAGCGGTTTTGTGTACAATCCATCAACCATCTATGGCTTTGTTTCAGCGCTTCGATCGTTTGCTCTTTCTCGCTCCTGGAGGACGAACAGTATACTTTGGTAGGATCGGCGAAAATTGCGAGACTGTCAAGAAATATTTTGAAGCTAATGGAGCTCGTCCTTGTCCTGCGGATGAAAATGTGGCTGAATGGATCATGCAGTAAGTTTTTCAACAATCTTTGAGCTGTAGTTAACATGAAAAAAGGACTATCGGATGTACCCCTGGATCACAAAGTCTTATAGACTGGCCCGAGGTCTGGAAAAATAGTCATGAACTAGTGCTTGTCCATCGAAAATTGGATCATGAGAGAAAGGCATTAGTTGCAAGATCCAGTTTTTTCCTTACAGGAACCAAGAAACCTCCCCATCGCAAAGAATACGCTATACCATTTTTAGTGCAAGTCTGGCGATGTTTTCGAAGAACAAATTTACATTATTGGCGCATACCTTCATACATTTATTCGAAATTAGGATTATCCCTTTTTTATGTTCGCTTACTCCCCTCGATTATCATCATCACTCCAAAACTAATCATTGTTGATAGGCTCTAACTCTGGGACTTTCGTTCTTCAAAGATGCGAACTCTCTGCAAGATCTGGAAAACCAAACTTTTAGCGTGTTCATGCTTTTGTGAGCTAGTCATTTGAATGCGAGGTAAAACTCTGTTAATTGTTTTGTAGGACGTTGGCATCCAGTTTCGTTCCGCAACTTTTACCGAACTTCCTGGTGCAACGGGCTGTATTCGAAGCACGCGAAAGTCCTGCGAAGATGTATTCTTGGCCGGCTTTCATCATTAGCAATATACTTGTCGAGGTATCATGGAACACCTTTCTGGCGATAATCATATTTCTGAGCTGGTATTACCCTGTGGGCATGTATCGCAATGCGCTAATAACGAAAACGATGCTTGAAAGAAATGGAGTGATGCTTCTGCTGATATGGGTATATCTTATATATGCAAGTACCTTCGGATATATGGTACAGGTTGGTCTTGAGCTTACGGGGACGGCCGGGAATTTATCAAATGCTGCATTTTTGTCGTCATTGATGTTCTGTGGGTAAGTATTATTATGACTCGACTGTTTTCATACAAGATAACAGCTGACTGATGTCTTTCAGCATCTTCTCAGTTCCTACAGCATTACCTCAAGTATGGGACATCGTAAGGCGTCTGTCTCCGTTTACTTATCTAGTCGATGGCATGCTCTCAGTTGGCCTTGCGAATGTTCCTGTCAAGTGTTCTCAAAATGAGTTTCTTCATTTCGAACCGGTGACTGGAAGTAGCTGCGGCTCCTATATGGCTAGCTATCTACATCAAGCTGGAGGATACCTTACCAACCCCTCCGCCAAGAGTAGATGTGTTTATTGTCCTTTAAAGGATTCGAATGGATTCCTGGCTCGTGCAGGTATGAGTTATACGAATCGATGGCGTAACTTTTGTATTATGTGGGCTTATGTAAGTTTTAATGTCTTTATGACTTTATTTATATACTGGCTGGTTAGAGTCCCGAAGAGTTGGAAGGGCAAACCAAAGCCAGTTGTGGAGTGTTCACCTGGTTCGAAAGATAAACACATCAGTGAGCCAAGTGGAGCTAGTTATTCAGAAAGAAGTTTTATAAAAGTTAGCGGCTATAAAGAGGATAGTCCTCAGTCAAGGAAATGTGGTCGGTCTGAAGAAATAGAGCTTGCTCCAATGTAAGACTAAGTGAAGGGGTCTTGCAATTGCGGCATGAGAAAGGAGGGGCAGTCTGATATATGACATTGATTGGCTTGGCAGTACTTTTTATTGGCTTTTAGATAGATATATGGATTTAGAAAAAGTGAGAATGTAATTTTATTATTATACTGTGTAGATGATGAGACTTTTAGATTAATTTAACAAGTTGCTTGGTGATAAATCTTTGATGCTGAGGTTGAAGTTTAGTGCTGATCAATCCAGATACTAAAGCGGCATCGCGGGTAAAGATCGACTTTAGGGTTACCCCTCAACGTTGTAGTCTTACAAACCAAAATTTATTCCATACTGCTATTTCCCTATCCCACTCCTCAACTCCTAACATACCTCAATCCACAACCAACGGAGACCAAAAATGTACTGCGCAGAATGCGGGCATCCGCTCCCCGATATTCGCGATGACAATACAACATGCAGCAAATGTAAAACCCGACTGGGTACCTGGTGGGACGAATCCTCCAAAACCATGCGCACAAACCGCGAAGCTTTCGTACCAACCAATATGATGAGCGAATTAATGGGAGGTAGAAGTCATTTCGAGATCAACAAAAAGGTTTCCGAAAGGACAAATACATATGGATTGGAAGAAAGAGGATTCCTGGCCACATTAACATTGTTGGAAATGCGATGGGGACCAGGTGGTGGAGCGGGTCTGGGGAGGAAAACAATGGAGGGTTTGGGGAAAATGATCAGGAGTACATTGGACATGTCACTTTCTCGAGGAGAGGTGCGCGAGGCACTCGCTAAGAATGTGGATATCTGGATGCGTCTTCAGCGGATTTTTTATCTGGCTGTTCCCATATTGGTCTCGCGATCTTTGCGCGAATCGTACACGGAACAGGGTGCGCCGTCCGGACTGGATGTTTCCGAGAGTGTGGCGCTTATTCTGAAGAATTTTGATGCGTTGACGGAGGATTTGGGTTATTTGAATAATTTGTTGGTTGTTAGTCGGAATATGTTGGCGGTTAAGGAGACGGCGCAGGAGATTTGTAGGGCGGTGGGCTTGGATAAGCAGGTTCATAAGTTGATTATTCTTTGTGTTAATGTTACTAGTAAGGGGTATGATGGGGAGAATGTGGATGAGAATAGTAGGGGGAGATTGAATGAGGTTACGGAACTTTGTGAGTTGACTGCGTTGTTGATCTCAAGGGGGTTATTGGATTGTGGATGATGCTGACTTTTGGCAGATAAGAAACTTCTGGTTACTTGTTTACAACATACGCATAATTGGACTATGGGTAATGATAGGTTCAAGATGTCGTTTTGGTTCGATATGCTCTTCGATAATGATTTGCATAATGATCCTGTTCATGAATTACCTCCAGATGATCTAAATGTGGAAAAGGTATATCATGAGGTTAAAAATTGGTTGACTAGACATTCTGCCGATCAAGATGAAACAGCTAGGGAGCTTCTGGAGAAATATGCTGCGGAAGCTGATATGGCTTGTACACCGGGTCCACTTCCACAAATCGATGAATTTACCGTGACGGATGCGGATAAGGAAATTGATCCTGAAGAAACGACTCCAGTTTGGAAACCTGAATTGACGGATAAATATGAGCAAGATCGACTTTATGCTCGTGTGTCTCATGAGATTGATATTTGGTGGAAACGTCAAAGAGATCAAAATTATGAGGGTTGGGTTGTGAAGATGGTATCTGTGGAAGATGCGATGAAGCGTGCAGAGGCTTGTAAGGAGACTGCTATGCATAGGTTTCTTCCTCAACGGGCTTTCCAGGATCAGGATGCCTATGATCAGGATGAACCGTTAGAGGAACCACCTCTACATGATGAGATTGATGATACTCGATCGATGGATGGACATGATGGTGAGGATGATGGTGAAGAAGAGGATGAGGAAGATGATGATGAATCTTATGCTGAAGGGCCTTTGAGAGGTCTTTTGACCGAAATTCCTAATATTCTCGACACGAAACAAATCGAAGCTCTTCACATGACTGTCAAAGCTTGTATCGTCGATTCCATGGGTTCAGGACTTACACCAGCTGGTGAAAATCTTCAAAAGACACGATGCAAAATGTTTTTGGCTTTGGATTGTGGAAAGAATTTACTTAGAGAAATGTTGGTTTTTATCGCTGTTTGGGAACAAACTGATCAACATTTCATTTTTCAAATTACTGCTCAAATCATTGAGTCTTTCCATCATAATGCTTTATTGCCATATGCTTGGAGTTCTCTTAGGATCATGAAGGATATTGTATCACCGGCACAAACTGTCCTTTTACGTCTCATTAACTATATGTTCCGAGCTCGAAAGGATAGTCCTATCTATGACGATTTGAGAGATTACAACCGAGATGCAAAACTCATTCATTTCCTCTTTACATATTTCCGTACACGAGTCGTACCTGATTGTATTGCTCTCATTCATGCGCAAGCTCAAATTCGAACTCAAAAGAGCGATCCAAATGATTTCCCAGTGGATTTGTGGGATATGGAACGTGCTAAGGATGGACTTTCACAATACCTTGATTTTATATCTGTTATTGCCGAAATACCGGAAATGAGACCACTTCTCATTGAATGGGAATGTGTCTACGAACTTGTTGCTCTTCTTCGGGCTCTTGAACAAGGTGTGGCACGAAAAAATCTTTCCGAACAACCTTTACCAAATCGTCGACCGGCACCTGTACCTCAACCAGGAGGTGGAATTCAAGCAATTGAACGTCCATATGAAAGCCCTACTTCACAAAACTCCCCTCAATTTCAAGGACCAGGACAAACTCTTCCACCGCTTCACGATACACCACATAAATTCCCATGGTCGGGTATTAAGATTCAAATACTTATTATTCTTACTTCATTAGTAGCACCTAATAATCCTAGGAGACAAGGACCTGGAAATCCAATTGTGCAAAAACAATTGTTGGATCAAAATGGAATTATGCCGTTGTTGAATTGTTGTGTTTATGATGGTCATAATGAGTATATTAAGGAGAGGGCGACGCTTTGTTTGAAATATGTTATGGAGGGTTGTGAGGAGGCACAGAAATGGGTTAAGGATTTGGTGCCGGCTAATAAACAGAGGGCGGCTCAGGGAGCGAATGCAAGTGTTGGTGCAGGAGGGATGAGTGGGAATGGCAGTGGAGGTGGAGGTTTAAATGAGGGTGGTATATCAGATGTTAATAGAATGGCTAGAAGTCCACGTGCAGGGTTTGGTGGTGCTGGAGGAATGCCTAGAGGTGGTGGAGTGGTTGGTGGTGCAGGAGTGGCTGGTGGTATAAATACAAATGTTAGTAAAGGTCCAGGTGGTGAAGCGACGATGGGAAATACTTTGGATGTGGATCCGGCGTTGCAATTGGAGAAGTTGAGATTGCAGGAGAGGGTTAGGGTTGCGGAGCTAAAGGCTAGGGAGATGAGGGGGAGGGAGAATGAGAAGGGTCAGGGGAAGTAGATGGGGATGGAGATGGGATGATGGGTGTATGGAGCTAGTGGTGGATGGAAGGGATCTTTGAAGAGTTCGGGGTTCAAGGTTATGGTGGGAGGGGAGAGAGGGGATGCAAAGAATAGATTTGTGTTGTATTGCATTGCATTATTTGGCGTATTAAAATGGGATATAAGATGGAATGGTATGGAATTCGGAATGATATATGGGATATGGGTATAAGATCTAGGACCTAGGATTCTTTAGTATATAGTATATATAAAGAGGAAAGAAATGTATGAGTAATGAGTTACGAGGGAAGGGAGATAGGAGAAACGAATTTAGATACCCTTTTTGGCGTTGGGTTTGAGCTGGTTTTGAGCTGCTGGGTTAGTTGATTAATTAAGGGATGAAGAGATGATATTGTATTGTATGAATAGTTCAGAATAATATAAATGATATGAAAACCATAGCATTCCATTGGATTGGATTTGGTTATGGGCTGGTTGCTGGTTGCTGGTGATTGGGTATTGGATGAGATTAATGATTAGTGAAAGTGAATAATATTTTAAAATCTTAGGTATTTAATATTTATATTTTATAAATATCTATAATAAAATATAGTTTATAATTTAATATTTTAATATAATAATTATTATAATAGTATTCTTTTAAAAAAAAAATTATATAATGATTTTTAATATAAACTTTTATTATTGTTGTTTTTAATGAATATTAATTAAGTAATTAATAATATTTAAAATTTTAAAATATAATAAATAATATTGATATATTATTCTCAATATAGAATTTTCAAAATTTTCAAAAACCTTCAAGAAAAAGCAATTTCTTTAAAGTGTTTATAATAATATTAAAAAAATTAAATAAATAAAGAAATATATTAAAGTGAATGGTTCCTGCGTAGCACATGCACAGGGCACTAGTCCTATTAGGACTAGATTGAGAAGCTCTCTGTAGGAGAGCTTCGCACTTCCGTAGAACTTAAAAGAGAGATTAACCTACTAGACCAATATTACCTCAGTTCTGCCCTATCAGCTTCTCATTATTCCCTGTGTGAGGTCATTCCTTTTAACAAAATATAATAAAAGATTCTTTGTTTAAAATAAACTATATTGTTACGAGGTTTGCCGTCTAGATCACGTGGAAGTGCTCTAGGCTCTCGAGGTGGTTTATAACTAGGCGTCAAGCAGGGACTTAAGTAATGACAATAATGAAATGCAATTCGTAACTAATAGTAGGATATACTAAATGATTGATCTTGAGCACGAAGCTCTATACAAAGGAAATCCATCTTGATTATATAGTCCTTCATGCTTCCATGATTACTAGTGATCCTTCATGATCATTAGTGATCATCTATATCGTGATCCTTAGTGATCCTTAATGATCACCAGTGATCACCTATACCGTGATCCTTAGTGATCCTTAATGATCACTACTGATCATTAGTGATCATCTATATCGTGATCCTTAGTGATCCTTAATGATCATCAGTAATCACCTATACCGTGATCCTTAGTGATCCTTAATGATCACTATTGATCATTTGTGATCACGTGTCTTGGTAGTTGTGTAGCCCGTCGTAACATCATTTTTCTATTTTTAGTATATTTATTGAAGTATTTAATCTATTTAAAATCTATTTTATTATTTATTCATTTATTGTTCAAACTGAGTTGTTTGGAAGTAGTAGTATTATTAGATGTAGGTTAAACTAAGGATCTAAGTTACAGTAATGGTAGAATTGAAGATATTCCCAATTATGGTCCGTGCACCATAATGGTCATATGACCTCAATTCTAGGCCCATAATGACCTTAATTTCAACATTTATTGATAATAGATTTAATAAATTAATTATATAATAAATCATTTTCGATATATCAATTTGAAAGATAATATTTGTCTTTTATGTTACAACGGCTATCTTCTATGCCGCGTCACATGACTAAACCAAGGTAACGTGATTAAAGTCACGTTATGGACCGCTGAGGAACGCTGGCTGTCCAGGACCGCGCAGCGGTCCTGACTAGCCATAGGCATGAAGGTCTATATAATCAAGATGGATTCCCTTTGTATAGAGCTTCGTGCTCAAGATCAATCATTTAGTATACTCTACTATTAGTTACGAATTGCATATCATTATTGTCATTACTTAAGTCCCTGCTTGACGCCTAGTTATAAACCACCTCGAGAGCCTGGAGCACTTCCACGTGATCTAGACGGCAAACCTCGTAACATTTTACTATCAAAAACAAAAATATATTATAACCTTCTTCATCAATACAAATAATCGCTATAATACATTCTCGATTATTTGATTATATAGCTTTGCTTTTTCCATATCGATCAATTTTAGTAACTACTATATATAATGATATTTGTTCTATTATAAAACTTATTTCATTGAAGTTATAGAAATCGTAATCCGGAATACTATATTTAATCTATATATTCGATATCAATTGAAATCATTTTTCAATAAGTTTTAAATCTTCGCAAAAAGCTTTTTGAAAATTATAAATACAATTAAAATGTATCTTTAATTCTGTATATTGTTTCACAAAACAATAAACTTAAAACTTTTCAATTTTCTTCGTATTCTATATTTCGAGTATATAATTTATTATATTTTCTATATTATTTATTCGAGGATTAAATCCTCTTTCATCTATATTCAATATATATTAAAGAAGCAATTTCTTCTTCAATTCTGTCATTTTATAATTTATTAATCAATATTTAATAAAAGATAAAATTCTATTTATTCTAGAAGTAAAAATAATATAAGGTATATTATAGAGTTTTGCAATTTTTCGAATACTCAAATTTTGAGATGTACGAATAACCTCAATAGCTAAATTGATTCGAGTTTCTTTTGAAGTAGTTTGTATAATTAAATATTGATAAATCGCGTGTTGAAGTTGAAAGGTAATAATTGAGGTAAAAGTGTACAGGGTCCTGATAAACCACGTTATCATATATTGATTAACGTGGTTTATCAGTAACCGGAACACTTTTATCTCAATTACCACCTCTCAACTTTAACACACGATAAATCCATATTCAACCTTTCAAATCAATATACAAGAGTCACAAATTAATCTAGCTATTCAAGCTATTGCTTCATCCAAAAAACTAAGTGTGCGAAGAGCTGCTAAAATCTATAATATACCACATACTACCCTTACCTACAAAATAACCAATCGAATGCCGAAAGCTGGATCTTGATCAATATATTGTAAAATGATGAAATTAGAGGAGAAATCGCTTTTTCAATATATAATTGATATAAACAAGAGAAGGTTTAATCCTCAAATAAGTGATGTAGAAGATATAGTGAATTATATACTTGAAATACAAGATGCGAAGAAGATTAGAAAGCTCTGAGCTCATTGCTTTGTGAAACGATATATAGAATTAAAGATGTATTTTAATTGTATTTATGATTTTCAAAGAGCTTTTTATGAAGATTCAGAGTTTATTGAAAGATAGTTTCGATTAATATCGAATATATAGATCAAATATAATATTTTAGATTGTGATGTTTATAACTTCAATGAGACAGACTTTATAATAAAACAAATATCATCATATATAATAGTTATTAAAGCTGATCAATATAAAAAAAACAAAGCTATATAATCAAATAATCGAAAATAGATTATAATAATTATTTGTATTAATAAAGAAGATTATAATATACTTTTGTTTTTGATAATAAAAAACAAATACTATCTCTCAAATTAATATACCAAAGACAATTTATTATATAATTAGCTTATTAAATCTATTATTAATAAATAAATAAATGATAAAATAGATTTTGAATGAATTAAACACTTTAATAAATATACTAAAAGTAGGAAAGTAAATAAATATCAAATGCTAGTACTTGATGAGTATGAAAATCATAAATCGCCAGCATTTCAAAAATACTATAAAGAATATAATATTATATTATTTAATTTATTATCTTATTCTTTGTATTTAATTCAATCACTCGATATCAGTTGTTTTGGTTCTTTAAAGTATTTATATAATCGACAAATCGAGAACTTTATTAAAGTATATATCATTTATATTATCAAAATCAAGTTCTTTCAAGTTTTCAAAACTATATATATCGAAGCAATATCTATATCAAATAGTAAAACTGAGTTCCGCGAAGCTGAGTTAATCTCATTTAATCCGGAAATTATACTTTCAAAACTAGATATTCAAATAAGAACTCTATCAAATAGATCAATATCAGCCGATCCTGATATATAACAATCTCAAACACCTCATAATCCAATTAAAACTTTTTCCCAATCCACTTTAATAAAAAGTTGTATTGTTCAATATCAAGAGAACTCACCTACTTCAATATTTGAAACAATTATAGCTTTAATTAAGAATACAAAACTCCTAGCTCATACAAATACACTTTTAATTATTGAGATTTATAATCTCCGCAAAGCAAATAAAACATTTAGTAAACATCAAAAAACTAAAAAAAACTTTAATACAAAAAGAAAAAGTACTTTCAATAGAAGATGAATATAGTATATTAAAACAAAAGAATATAAAAGATCAGATACAATACAACGAATATATAAATGATAGTTTTTCAATAAGAAGATAAGTTATTATATAATAATATAGCAAATACAATAGTACTTTATATAATATATAAACTTATCAGTTCGATCCAACATTAATTGATCTTTAGATTGTATATAATTCAATCCTAATTTATGATGTTGTTGTAATTTTATTTTAATAGAATGTGAGTAATTAAAGTAAAAGTGTTTCGGTTATTGATATATTCTAATTACTGATAAATCACATTATATAATAAAACAATTATATAATATATAAACCTACTAGCCCTAGCTTCCTCTATTAGTCATATATATTTTGAATATATTCGGCTAATACTCGGCTATACCTTTTACCCCTGTTTAGCCGCATAACCCGCAATAATTATAAAGTTGATTTTTGATAATAAAAATAATAAAAGATTAGGCCTGATCCTCTTCAAAGACTAGCCCGAGTAATAGTTTAATAATAATAAAATTCATCTCCTACTATTTGTGATCAGTTATAGACCCAAGGTAAATTATATGGTATATATATACAGAATATAGTTATCGATCGAGTCTAAGTATATATACTGTGATGGAAATCCCTGCTTTCCTCCCACCTTTATTATATAAGAAACCTCAGGTACATTAACCATGTCCACACATGATACGATTACTCGGGATTAGTATACGATTTAGGTAGCCTGAGGATCAGATCCGGACAAGTACTAGGTATCAATGGTTATCGGTAAAGTAAGATCATTGAAGGGATAAATATGACTTCTTTTTGCCTAGCCATTACGGCTAGGTCATTCATTTATGTATATATAGAATAGCTATCCCCATCTACAGGTGCTCTTCACCTGTAGATTCTAAGTTAAATACAATTGCTGGTCTATAAACACCCTTTTGGTCACATATACTTTTACCATCAACAAATCTAGAAAAATATCTTTCAAATAACCACAACTCAGCAATCAGCAATCAGAATACGGAGTATACTCTGCACAACAAACCCATCCCAGATTCCCAGGTATCCAAACAAACCCCACATCCCAACAAAACCCCTCTCCCCTCTCACCTCTGGCCTTTCTCTCGCTTAACCCCAACCTCAAGGCTAACTAAATAATACTAAACCAACCCAAATAAAAATCTCTGCAAAAAATTTCTTCACTACCCCGCCACCCCAGTGATTTCACTATCATCATTATATTCCCCCTTGATGAAGCATCTGACATCAAATCAGTCAATAATATATAAAATATCCGGCATGGTGTAGTGGCTAGCATTTCCGCCTCTCAATTTGAGCTGTCACAGCGAAAATGATAAATAAATAAAAAATAGGTCGCGGGAGACCGGGGTTCAATTCCCCGTACCGGAATGTTTTTTGCTGTTTTTTTGAGTGGGGGAGGGGAGAGGAGGAGGAGGAGGAGGAGGAGGAGGGTGGTATGATTGAGGTTTGATTGTTTATATTAAATGTATGAAGTTTTTTGCTTGAGAGGTTTTTTGTTTTTTATTTTTAATAAATTAATAAGAAAATATATTTATTATCTATCTCTTTTATAAAACTTTTAAAAAAGTAGTTTTTGTTAATAATTTGAAAATATTATATATTATTATATAACATAACTTATAATGAACCGGGTCATAATTATCTCACCATTAACTTTAAACTATAATAATTTTTGTGATACGTCTTGAATCACCTTTTAAACATTCTCAAATTGAAGATAAGATACAGAATGCTATTATTGCACTTCAATTGAAGAGATTTAATTCAATTAAAAAGGTTGTAAAGTATTCTGAAGTTTTTAAATCAATTTTTATAACTAGAATCGCTGAAAGGAAATCATATACTCAATCTCACAAAATAATTCAAATTCTTTCAAATACAGAAAAAAATACATTAATATAATAGATCTTATAATTTACTATTATTAAATTCCTTATTATATTTATATTAGTAAAGGAAATAATCAACGAAATTCATATTCGATATATTCAAATTATATTCTCTTCAAACTTTATCTCAATAAATATTCCATTTATAAACTATAAATGGATTTATAGATTTCAAAAACGATATCTAGAATTTAAAATATACTATTCATATCAATTAAAGTCTAATCAAATTAAAAAAATAATTTCAAAGAATATTCAAACTTGATTTGATATATTTTAAATATATCTTATTGTGACGGAAAAGTCGTAAACGGAGTCAATTCAATCACTTAGAATCTAAAACTAAAGAACTAAGAAAATTCTAAGTAAGAAGGTCTTTATATACAGGGCTAGTGCACGTGAGCCACTAGTGGGTAACACTTATTAGGCGAAAATATAAATTAAATAATATATATAATATAAACAAAATTGAATTTGCAATCGAAGGTATTTGAAATACTTATATTATAATCGATTTTATTCAGAAATCGAATTGAAAGATTATAACTAATAAGTAAGAATGAATAATTTCATTTGAATATATTAATACAATCAAAAAGATTTTATTATTTATAATCATTTTCAAGACTCAAAATATGAATACTATATAAATTCCAAAGAATATGTTACGAGGTTTGCCGTCTAGATCACGTGGAAGTGCTCTAGGCTCTCGAAGTAGGTTTATAACTAGGCGTCAAGCAGGGACTTGAAGTAATGACAATAATGATATGCAATTCGTAACTAATAGTAGAGTATACTAAATGATTGATCTTGAGCACGAAGCTCTATACAAAAGAAATCCATCTTGATTATATAGTCCTTCGTGCCTATGGTTAACTAGGAATCGTCGTTCCTGGGAACGAGCGTTCCTGGTTGTTCCTAGGAACGTTCGTTCCTCACCGTTCCATCACATGTTTTATGGTCATGTGACATACTAATCGTTTTGGACGTAACAGAATACATTTCAAGATTGGTAGTTCTTTATTAATATAAATGAATGAATCTCAAATAATTATAGATTAGAATAATTACAAAGAGTTTTCGAGCTAGAATCCAAGAAAGTGTTAGGTGATCAGCCTCGACTTTTAATTATAAATAATTATTCAAATTATATTATAGATAATCTAATTGTTTTTTATATAAAAAAGAATATTGATTTGTTTATATTATTTTTTTATTATTTTTATTTATTTTAACTTTTTGATATTAAAGTATATAAATTGTGACCAAAAGGGTGTTTATAGACCAGCAATTGTATTTAACTTAGAATCTACAGGTGAAGAGCACCTGTAGATGGGGATAGCTATTTTATATATACATAAATGAATGGTCTAGCTGTAATGGCTAGGCAAAAAGAAGTTATATTTATCTTTTCAATGATCTTACTTTACCGATAACCATTGATACCTAATACTTGTCCGGATCTGATCCTCAGGCTACCTAAATCGTATACTAATCCCGAGTAATCGTATCATGTGTGGACATGGTTAATGTACCTGAGGTTTCTTATATAATAAAGATGGGAGGAAAGCAGGGATTTCCGTCACATAAATCAATAAAACAATATTATTTTTTAAAAATTGATTGATATTCTTAGATTAGTATAAAACGAATTCAAAAAATTGAATAGATAGAATTGCTTTAAAAGATTAAAATAAAAATAATTAACTTTTCTGTTAGAGTGAATGGTTCCTGCGTAGCACATGCACAAGGCACTAGTCCTATTAGGACTAGATTGAGAAGCTCTCTGTAGGAGAGCTTCGCACTTCTGTAGAACTTAGAAGAGTGATTAATCTACTAGACCAATATTACCTCAGTTCTGCCCTATCAGCTTCCCACTATTCCCTGTATAAGATCATTCCTAATAACATTTTTTAATATTAAAGTTAATTAAAAAAAAGTTGATTTGGTGTCTTTTTCTCTACGAAAAGTACTTGATATATTATTATTTAATTCCTTTCAATAATTTTCTATTTTATAAATAAAAACTATCAATCAAGATCTAGACTTTTCTATACTCAGAAGTTCTCCCCTAGATGGAACAGAATTAAGACAAGCAAATTAGATCTTTAATTCAGTTCTAACAAACAACGATTCTTCTATATTATTAATTCATCGATATACCAAAAAATGACTAGATTTATAGAATCTCAAAATGTTGAGATAATCTTATTTCGGAAACAGCTCGTTGATGCTCAGAAGATAATCAAGACTCGAAAGAAAAGAACTAAAGGCAAAAAAAATCAAATTATAAAACTAATTTATCTTTAGTATTGAGAAAGTATTGAAAATCATATATAAGATAGAGGAGAAATCCAAGAAGAAAAGACCACAAGGATAGCTATACAAACGTCCAATTGAAGAATTAAAAGAGGATACTAAAGAAGAAGAGTTAGAGAATGGTTCAAGCGATTTAGAGTTGGAATTGAATGAATGTATAACTTGTAGAACAAGATCATATAGAGAAAATTGAATTTTGTAACCCGCTTCCCTATATGACCCGGTTCACTATAAGTTATATTATATATAATATATATTTTTAATTTATTTAATTTTGATTTGATTTAATAAATATAAAACTTATATTATTATAAAATGTTTAATATAACGTAATGTATAGGGAACTCGGACATATGGGGAACTCGGACACTTTTTCAATTATTCTACACGCGATCTTGTTCTACGAGCCACACAATCCTCCAATTCCAATTCTGAATCATTTGAACTATTCTCTAGCTCTTCTTCTTCAATCTCTTCTTCTGATTCTTCAATTGGGCGCTTGCGTAGTCGTCCTCATAGCTTTTTCTCCTTAGGTTTTTCCTTCGCCTCATATACTATTTTTAGTATTTCCTTAGTACTAAAGACAAATTGATCTTGTAATTTGACTCTTTTGTCTTTAGTTCTCTTTTTTCGAGTTTTAATTACTTCCTGAGCATCAGCGAGCTGTTTCCGAAGTAAAACTATCTCAGCATTTTGAGATTCTACAAGTCTAGTCATTCTCTTGGCATATCGATGAGTTGATGATATAGAAGAACTATTGTTTGCTAAAGCTGTATTAAAGATCTGATTTGCTTGTATTAGTTCTGTCCCATCTGAAGGAGAACTTTTGAGTACAGATAAGTCTAGATCTTGATTGGGGGTTCTCATTTGTAGAGTAGAAGATTGTTGGGAGGAATTAAATGGTAATGTATCGAATACTTTTCATAAGACAAAAGGTACTAAACCAGCTCCTTTTCAATTAGCTTTAATATTAGAAGAATTCAATGCTTTTTTTCTAATATTTTGAAAGAATTCTACCTATTCAACTCTTTGAATTCACTTTACACTAGCTCGAGAATATCGATCAACCTCCAAAACATGATATTGTTTCATTGATCTATACATTGCAATATCAAATGACTAAAGCAAATGAAAGCAATAAAAAGGTAATATAAGTAAATCGATATCCTTTTCTATATAGAAAACAATAAAGCTACTTGTAATATAATTTGAATAGCCATCTATAATCAAAAGTCGAGGTCGGTCACCTGACACTTTCTTGGATTCTGGTTCGAAAACCCTTTTTAACCATTCTAATCCATGACTATTTGAGGTCCATCCATTTGTACTAGTAGAGAACTGCCAACTTTAAAGTATATCCTTTGGAATCCATACAGAATTCATATTCTAAGCCTTGAAAATGACTATAGGTAATAAAGCCTTTCCAATTGCATTAATATATTCAAATGTAGTTATCTATTCTTGCTTGCCAACTGTAACTTTCCAATTCGATTTCTAAGTAGAATCGATTATAATATGTATACTTTGAGTACTTCTAATTCCAAATCTAGTTTCGTCTATATTATATATATTATCTAATTTATATTTTCGTTCAATAAAATATATATAAAACATATTAAATCAAATCTGAATATTCTCCAAAATTATCTCTTTAGTCTGATTAGATTCTAATTGATATAAATAGCATGTTTTAAGTTCTGGATATCGTTTTTGGAATCTATAGATCTATTTGTAACCTATAGATGGAATTTCTGTCGAGGTAGGAATTCGAGATGACGCGATCTGAATACATCGAAGACGAATTTCGTCGGCCATTTCCTTCACCAATATAAGTGTAACAGGGAATCCAGTGATCGTAAGTCGTGAAATCCATCGTACAAGAGTATTTTCTTCTGCGTTTGAAAGAATTTGAGCTATTTCGTGGGTTTGGGAACGTGTTTTCTTCCTAGCCAGCCTATCGGCTAGAGTGGACTTAGGGACTTCAAAATACTCTGCAACCTTTCTAATTGATTTAAATTCTTTTAATTAAAGTACAACTATAGCTTATTGAAGCTTCTCTTCAATCTGAGCAAGTGTAAAAGGTGATTGGGTATACATAATAAAAGTTATTAGGGTTTCAAGTTGGCGATGGGCAAAAAGTGTCCGAGTTCCCCATATGTCCGAGTTCCCCATACATTACATTATGAAAATTAATATATTCTTTTATAAATAAAATCTATTGAATATTATTTATTATATTATCAAATTATAATAATTATTATTAAAAGGAATGACCTTACACAGGGAATAGTGAGAAGCTGATAGGGCAGAACTGAGATAATATTAGTCTAGTAGATTAATCTCTCTTCTAAGTTCTACAGAAGTGCGAAGCTCTCTTACAGAGAGCTTCTCAATCTAGTCCTAATAGGACTAGTGCCCTGTACACGTGCTATACAGAAATCATTCACTTTAACAACTATAATAATTTATTATTTAAATATTATTATAATAAAGAAACAGAAATAAATTATTATTAATAAAATAAAAAAATAATATATTATATAATATACTTTAATCTAATAATAAATAATATAAATATACACTATCTCATATTTCATCTTCAACTCCTAATCTTTGAACACCAGTATCATCACAAACACCAACACCAACACCTATCCATCCGCGGCCCTTCTACCCTCTGCTCTCTACCCACAAAAACAACAACAACCTCAATGACACCTCAAGAATCCCCTCCACCCATCCCCAAAAAGAGGGGACATCCACGGAAAATCAAACCCAGAGCACCATTATTAAATACCTCTCTCTCACCAAATTTTCCAAATCTTCTTCCAAAACTCAAGGCTGATTCCGTCCCTGACCCTTTCGAATCCCCAGTTCCACTTTTAAACACAACCTCAAATATAAATTTAAACCTAAACCACATCTCAGATCAGCACCTTAAGGATCAGAGAGCGCAGAAACTGCGGAGAGAACTTCAAACAAGACCTCAAATCAAAACTGCACTTTCCATACTCTGTCTTTTCCTGGGAGAAAGAGTACAATTTCATCACCATGTATGCTCAGTATAGCAGCTAGCTTGGATAGCTTATCTGTTCAATTTGATCTAGATCCATGGTCCGTATCAAGATCTAGAACTAGATCTAGATCCAAATATATATGATTTATCTAACCCATCAAATACAACAACTTAATTCCTATCTCCATCCGTTCCTCAACCCCAACCACAACTCAAACGACAAACCTCGCAATCCGAGAATGAAAATGAAAAACAGAGTCAAGGTCTTACTTACTACTTATACTCACCCTCAAAAAAAGCAAAAATAAAACAATCAACTAAAAACAAAAGAGACAATTATAAAACCACAACGAAAGAACTATCCAGAATAAGTATCCTATCCTATCCCATTCTAACTCCAATCCCCACCACAACCAACTCGAAACAAGAACCCGCAACGAATCCCAATCCCAATCCCAATAAACCTACACTCACCCCACTACTCACAAAAACCTCTCCATCAAAACTCCATCTTCCATATTCAATCCCTTTTTACAAACCAGCCCCCCTCTATAAACCACCACCCCTCTCCAAACCACACCCCGCCTTATCTATCCTCTTATCCCCTCAAAAATAGATATAAAGAACCTACCAACTACCACCTACCAACACCAACTCCAAAAAAATAAATTCATACTATTTATTCAGAGCGGTTAGGAAGATTAGAAGACACAAATAAGTGGATTTTCTAGAGGATGGGGAGGTTATTTAGGGATATTGAAAATGAAAATATGATGGGAATGAGGGATAAGGGAAGGGAGTGGAGGGGAGGGGTGGGATGGGATGAGATGGGGAGATATATTTTGTGTTTTATGGGTGAGTGGGGAGGAGAGAGAGGCAGGGAAGAAAAGGAGTAGGAGAGGAGACTAGGAATGGGAATATAAACAGGATCAGGATCAGAAAGGGAAAAGACAGACCAAAATAATTTGATAAGAGGAAATAAATAACAAACGAAAAATTTTTAAAATAAAAAGAGCCGACGACTTTTTTTCTTTAGAAAACTGTAAGGGATTATGGGATATATACGTAAACGAAGATGGATAAGATTAACTCTCAAAAATATCAATAGATATTTATTTATAGACGGGAAATTTGTATCATGATACAGTGCATATATTTATATCTGTAATTAGCTATCTATTTTTCTAGAATCATTTAATGATTAATTATAGGGAAGTTTGAAAATTAAAATCTAATAGACTTTACTTTACTATATTGGCTTTTGATATGAATATCTATTTGGGAGAGGAGCTTACAGAAAAATTGTTAATAAAGATGATAATTTCATATCGATCGATTATATATATCTGCGAGACTATATATGACCCAATGTCAACCTCGATTAATAAATGCTCATAGCAGAAAAAAAAAAAAAAGAAAAAGAAATTTTTTTTTTTCATAAAATTGTAATAATAAATTGACATAGAATCTTCCGAACCTAATGTAATTAATTATACCATATAGTGACAACTTCCAAAACTATTAGTTTCCTAAATATTCAATCAAGTTCTCCTGCGGCATAATAAATCCCGCAATCTTCCTCACATGAAAATGAAAATGAAAGTTCACACAAAATCCTTATAACAGAGAACAAAGACCTCTATTCCCGTAAACAAAGAAAACTTCCCATAGGAACAAACCAAAACAAGAAAAGTCATTACTGAACAATGCCAAAATCCTTAGATATAGTTCCTTCTATATTCCTCTATTCTTCACAAAATTAGGATACCTACCATTCACTGATACCCAGGTAACTTACATACGACAAGATGTCAGAATACTACGTACCGACCAGTTCAAGCGACTGGGAATCTCTAATTGAGGAACCCATCATTTGTTTCAATACTGATTGTAACTATCCCTTTGGCTCAGCATGTAAAGATTGTGCCATCGAATTTGAAGCTCGAGCTATTGCGAAAGAAAAAGTCAAAAGAGATGCTGAGAATAGAGTTGACAGGGCTGCAGCACAGAAACTCATGGATATGAAATATCAAGTAGGTAGACGCAGTGAAGATGTTTCCCAAAGAGTTGCTGATATTGTGGATGATCTTCAGGCTATCTTTGCATTTACTCAACCTAAGCCACAGGAACCAGGTGAGCTGACCTGGAGGAATTTACAAATTCATGGTGCTACACCTGCACCACTCAAATTAATGGAACAGTCGATGTTAAGCTTTGGAGATCCAAGCTCAGATAACAATCATACTGATAGCAAGAGGCTTAACTCTTGGCTCAGTAAACTCCTTAAAAGGACACTTGATGGATTTCTACTTAACTCTCCTTTCACTGGAGGTGCAGATGCAGAAGATTCAAAGGAGGTTTATTGTCCATATTGTTCTTTATCAACGGGTGAAGGAGCGTGGAGAGAATTGCACATCATGAAGTGCAAGTATGCTCACGACGAAGCCAAGAAATTAGAAATCGCGAAGGAAGAGTGGTCGAAAAGGAGGAATTGTTAGATGAAGAAAATGATGGAAGCTTCATATAGCTGGACTAAATTTTTAGACTCAAATCATCCAGAGTATCCCAAAGCTGCATAGCTGAACTAAACTGTTAGAATCAAATCATCCCATCCCATCCCAAACCAGACCATAAATTGAATTATTTTTTTGTACCAAATACATTATTCCGAAAGCATATATGACACATCAAACTGAAGAGTGAAAGAGTGAGACCCTCTATAGTAAACCTTAGCTTTAATGCCGTGATAGTCCTCGTGAACAAACAAGGCGACCGACTACGTATACTCTAGATTTCGTAAAATGCGGCGTTTTGTTGATTTCCCCGCCAGAAGTAGAATGATTTTCAGATTGGTGAGAAAACCCGCTATGGTTAACCAATCAATCGTAAGGTCTTTCTAAAAAGGTACTAACACAAGGCTACAGTATGCCAAGTAGTCAGCCTGAGACAATGCCGTTCAACACTTGCTGACAACCAATCTCTCAAACTCTTGTTTGTAGGCAGGACAAGTTGATGGCCGTTTATCTTTTTTCCCCTGCAAGTGAGCACGGAAAAGATGTGCGAGTGAAAGAGAGGAGACGAATTAGAATAAGGAGTCGCTTGGCTTTAATGTTTCGAAATTCTTACTAGAATCTGCCTCCTAAATCCAAAGTGATTGGAATTGAATTTGATGGATCGGTGGAGACTAGCAGAAATACTCTGTTGCTGGTTCGATTTAAACTCTAGAATTGAACACCTTGATGAAATTGTACCACTCTGGCACACTTTGCACACTTTGGAAGGTCACCCAGTACGTACAACCTTGATGGTTCACGATGGTGTGATAATAACTAATATTAGAATATTAGAAAGTAGCTGACTGTACGTAGGACTTCAACCGTCGCATACGGAACATACCTTTTGTGGGTCAGAAGTCTCGGTCATGTGATCAAATCTGAACGGTTTTCAGTTGCCGTGATATACTTTGGAGCTAGGGGATCAAATAATGGACCAAAACTACTATCTCTTGGCATTCTTACCTTGACGTGATATACATATCTACCGTCGGAGCGGAGATGTCTATCACAACCAGGTTCTTGACATGTGATCAAGGATTAAGAATATCTTTTGAACGGCCAAAAAATGAACAATGCACATTCATTAAGGTTATCTAAGAAGAGAAGAGTTCGAGTCAGCAATACATATCTTTACATTTAACTCTGACCCCGACCGACCCGAGTATTCTGAGTGACTTCCCCTCCTTTGATAAGAGTGGTGGCCCTACGTTTGATCATGTTCCATTTGAACCACTTGGATACCTAACAATGGTATGAATTAATCATGAGGTCGTCTGTTAACGCGAGATGAGATGTACATACATTCGTATAATGTGTGGTTTGCTTGCTATGAATGGAAGAGAGATATGTCGGTCGAACGCACTAGAGATAACCATGGACTTGTGAGACAGATATGGGATATGGGAAATTCAAACATCTTAGCAAATAGAATAGATGATGAGAAGTTCGCTACCTCCCTATTCGATGTCTAGAAGGAGTGCGGTATATCCGGAATTGACACGTAACTTTGAAGTTTCAAGTCATACAAAGCCTAAAGATCGTCTTGATAGTGAGAAAGCCTTATCAGTGTAGAAGTGGGTCGATAGAGACCAGTTAGATGTAACGAGGCTACGTCTTTGCTTAGGTAGGTAGGTAGGTAGCTAGGTAGATATGTTGAAAACAATCGAGGAAGGTAAAAAAGTCGGATGCGAAAAAAGAAGGATGATCGGCTGTGATTTGATTGTCCAGTCAATCGTCAATATCTGAATCAACCAAAATTGAATACCACCCTACGTACCGTACCGATAAATCTGTGGCTGAATTGTGGCGGGTATAACTGTTTGGTTACCTCTTAAGATTTGACTCATTTTGTTTTCTGTACGTCTTTAATGCACGATGCTTAATTTATATATTAGATAGCAGGTCGTAGTAGGTAGCCATCGTGCTACACATGAATTGTAGGCGGCAGACTGCAGTAGTTGCTGGAGATGAATTTAGAATTTACTATGATTGGTCTCGATGGTCAGCATATACAGTTACAGTTGACAAAGGGATGTTGTACTCATAAAATTACATCTAGATGCATTTTTCATTAAGACTCTTGTCTTCATCATTCAATCGGAAGGGATCGGACAGATAGCCGGTGACTCGGTCAAGATGAAAGTATATGATATATTTGAAATTCCCCCTTTTGTACCTTATAAAATGAATCATTATATCCTGGATGAAAAAGGCGAGAATCCTTGGAGTTACATGTATCATTATGCAATGACCGCAATTTTTAATATGTGATAACCTTATGTATGGATGTTCCAAGGAGACTAGAGCGAAATACGATCCCTCCATCTACCTACTTGATCTGTTAGGCAATGATGGTAACGGCATGCAGAAAGTGCGGAGATGTAGGATTAATTGTCCAATTATGTTAATATTTACATCATTTTGAAAGAGAAAATGAAAGATTAATTCCAACGATGATTGGTTCAAGAGAGGTGAGTCGACATTAGGTGGAAGTTGTGAAAGGTTTCAATTTCTTATCGGTTAGCCGATGTTTTGTTATCGGAGGAAAAGGTATGGTATGCTATGGTATCTCCAAGTGAGCAACTGAATGCAGCTTCTACTTTTTACCTCCCTAGTAGATGTGTTTATGTATGTACCTTGGTCTCTTGGTTGGTTGGTTATTGGTTATTGATGCTTGGTGCAGTACTAATTCCTGTTACCTTGATTATTACTACACACACATACGCAGAGCAAAGCAAAGCAAAGGAAAGAAAGGCAACACAAACCATCCAAACCTTCACTTAACACAGACCTCCCAAAGACTTTCAACGCTCGACATTCTCTTCTTATTTCATTGTTCAATAATGGAATAAATAAATCAATCCATTTCAAATTATTCTCCTCTTTATCTTATAATCTGTACCTTATCATTCCATTCACTCGGAATGAATTCTCATCAAATCAATTACATGATATAGTAATTCTGAGACTTATCACGAGGCTCCGTTCTACTATCAAAAGTAAATCAAAATCAATTACAGACAGTACCCACCCACCACCTGCATGACTCTTGATCGCCATCTGAGCTTCAACCTCATTGTACCACCATAACTTCTAAACTTCTAAACTTCTCAACCTCCATACAAAATTCACCAAATTTTATAATTTATCCCATCCAAATCATTCTTGCGCAATAATTTCATTAATCAACACTCGAAAGACGTTTGATATTCACCAACTTAACGAAAGATCTTGACTCGATTCATTGTCCAACCTTACGCCTCACTGAGAGCCTACTCGTAAAGATGTTTGTTGCTTGAATCCAGTACCCACTTCAAGCACCTTCCCCCCAACAACGCCTTCTTCCCTACCAGGACCTTGGAGGATACCGATACGGACCTCCACAATCTTGGACGACAACCATCCTCAAGAGATAAAACTCTAGAACCCTCGAAATCATCATATTACTGTACTACGATGGATGCCCAAGTTATGTGGTATCTTGAAACCGCTTTATTTATCATCTAGAACTACGATTGTTGAAGTGTGAAACCTGCGTACGAGCATTATCTTTCTGCAAATACCAGCGCATCTTGCATCTGCTGAAGGCGACAGAGTGCTACCGTTCAACATCTACGTCAGCAATTATCATATAATGCATCAGTATCCTCGGTCATCACCCATAACGGCCTCACCAGCCTCATCGCCGCGAACAAACCCAACTCGAACAAACAACCCTAGAGAAGAAAGTCGGACGGGCCATTCGAGATCAGTGTCCGATATGCCACATTATCAAGAGGTAGATGATGCTAGTGGAGATGGTGGACCCATGGCTGCTACTGGCCCAAGTCGAGAAGCGGTCAAGAAGATGGATCAAATCATTCAAGTCAGTGATGCTATCATCCATCATCCATCCTCGACCTGCATTTGAGACAAAGCTAACGTGGATACTCCCTCTAGAATTTCCATACGAAAGCTGCGATCATCGTTCTAGGAGCAAGAGTAGGACTTCCTGTAGTCTTCACCAAAGAAGGAACCAAGAAAGTCAACAAATGGGTATGTTCTGATGCCATTCTTTCAACTGGATGCGGTCATAACTAACTCTTCCCTCCAATAGTTTCAAATCGAAACCGATGATACCGATGCATATCGAGATGAGCTTCATACTTGGCGAATGTGCGGCGGCTTCCAGAATCGACCACCGCCACTGATAATAGAAACATATCTCGATACTTCACACTTAACGAGCAGTCAGAGATTGGTTATCGTGGATGATCTGGGGAAGCGATGGGATGCTTTGGATGCTTTAAGTAATTCTTGTGGTTCGAATGATGGACGTAGCGAAGTCATACTAGAACGTTGGAAAATTGAGCTCAGAGATATTCCGGGGGAGCAGCCTTATGATTTTGGGTCTACATTACCCACGATCTACAAAAAGTGCATTGTCTTCTTCCGCTCATTATATTCAACAGCAAAACTTGTGCCAGCTTGGAAATTCAAGAAGAGCCTAGGGAAGAATGGATCACCAACAAACTCATTAATTATCAATTGCCGTATTACAACCGGTGATACTCAACCACGTCGAATCGATGGCTTAAAGCAACCCATACTTGATCATAGTGGCCCAGTCACCTCAACTTACGTTCTTGGAGCTACTGATACTCCAGCTGGTCAAATCTTTGCAGAAGTAACATATCGAAATGATTGTAACTTTCGTGTTGATGATTCCGAATCTATTCTCAGTTCGAGATTTATGGGCGCAGATGAACATTTTTTCACGCCTTCCTTGGCCGCCAAAGGAGATTTAAGTCGACGAAGGTCAACAAAGCAAACGGAAATTGGGTCACTTCCAGCACACAAGCATCTGACAGATGATTCTGGGCCGGTCCAAACATATGGAAGTTTATCAACATTCCATGGAAATGCCCCACCAAGAGGCTCATCCCCAATGTCCGCCTTGAGGGCGCAAAGACCCATCGGATCAGACACAAGTTCTCCACCTGTAGGATCTCTACCATACTCACGACCATCACTCACATCGAAAGGTTCTTTGAAGTCATTCGAAGGTATGGCACTGGCGAGAAGAACATCCTTGTCCTTTCAGCCATTTAAGGCTGGCTCTCTATCTTCCTCCCCTAGTCGTGCTACTTATGCTGGTGAAACTCTACCTGCATCTCCAGGATCTCTACCTAGAGCATCAGGGATTAGTGCACTTGCGCAAGCAAGAAATCGTTCTTCTCTCACAGCTGGTATGCCAGCGACTTTGAGAGGTGGTCCCGTGACTTCAGATAATGTTGTTCCAACATCTGTCTCAAGCTCACCAAAACCTGCCCCAATCGCTCGATACAGCAGCAGCTTCACACACCGTCGCAGCAGACCATCTTATGGAGGAGCTAGCAAGTTAGTTGATGATGATCAAGGTAGCAGTGGCAAACAGAGTGTTTCATCTTCTGTGCAGCCAGGTTCTGGTATTCTTGCAGAAGCTGGAGCAGGAGGAAGTTCCGGATCTTTACAAACTGATGATGACAATATATCTGATTTCTTGAAACTTCTGGATAGTAAGAAGACTTTACAAAGCTTTGAGCCTTCCGGAGAAGCATCGAAAAAAAGAGCCACTGCACAATTATCCAAATTTCAATCAATGCGGGACTCACATAATGCTCTGACCGATTCTATGGCTTCCTCAAGTATGCTTCAAAGATCTTCAAGCTCTTCAAGTCGACAATTGTCTAGTGTACCTCCCATGGTTGCTGCCACCTCGATCTCAGCAGCATCCTCCCCAGGTAAACCCATCTCGCCACACACTCCTCACACTCCAGCCATACCTTCACGATTAAGTGCAAATTCAATAGCTGAGTATGACCAACCACGAAGAGTGACTCGACGAAGCAGGACCACAGAGGCAAGGTTAGAAGATGTCCAAGATAATGATCACTCTAATGATGCTGGTACAAATGCCATCGATATTCCTACCTCTCCACGACCTTATTATCCCCACGCTCGAAGATCAAGTTCCGTCGCTCAGCAACACCGAGCACTAGCAATTGACGATGATTTGGGCGATCTTCCATTTGGGGTACATAGAAGTATTAGCTTAGGAGCCGATGATCGAGAACCACCAAGCCTAAGTACCCTTTTGAATATAGGACAAGCCTCCGATGATGTGGAATCACCAACTGGACAATCACCATCACTACTTCAACCAGCTCCTCGCATCTCCGAAGGATCTACTGCCATGTCTCGTCAAACATCCTCATCTTTGGAAGCTCATGATTCGGAAGTTCCTCAGCTTTCTCGATTTAGTGGCCCAGGATCTGCAAATTCACCATATCGACCACGTATCGGTAAAACTGGTGGACGTGGAGTTACTCCACCGCAGACAGGTTCTTTTTCTAGTCTTCTAGTAGATAGGGGAAGTGCGAGTGGCAGCGAAAGAGCCGGTGGTGGAAGATATAGCTTCAGTAGAGGTATCGGAGCATATGAAGCAGATGATGAGCCACTTCTCTTCGATATGAGTGAAATTGGGCGAGATATTTCCCGAAGAAGCATTGACGAACCCAGAGGCGGATATGAGGCAAGTAGAGGAGGTGACTCTGGCTCAAGCAGTCGTAGAGGTAGCCGTTGGGGCAGGTAATATATTCCAACATACGAAACGAGTACTGAGACAGGATTCCAATTACGTTTCGATAATTGATGCATTACACGTCATTTACGATTATAAGATATGCTGTACAGTTTGGAGATACATAGCGAATTGCGCGTCGATTTATTTTTATTGCCATCGGACGGAGTCAAGGTTCAATTCTTTCATCACAATGTTTTTGCCGAGTGCTTCTTTCTGGGATGGCAAATGGGACATTGATTTCCTTTATTCTGGCGCATCTCATCTTGTAATTATTTAAGCTGATGCTGATGCTTCAAGGAAAGGGGAGGTTCGGTCATAAATTGAAAGGGCAGTTTATTTCGGATGGGTTTGGATTTGATACCTTGGTGTTATTAAGATTTGATGGATAGGGAGGGAGGGAGGGAATGGATAAGGAGTGTGTGTGTGTGTAAGGCGAATGAAATACATACATCAATATTAAATATCCATATACAATATCTATATTATGAAGAAACTCTACTCATTCACGTTTTTTAAACAATTAAGAGGTATTAATATTAAATGGATGGTGAGTGGTGTTTCTAGAGTTATCAATGCTGTTTGAATGTTTCCCAATGCTCGCGCACCGGTTCCAGTTCCCCCATAAGCTTCAAAGTGGAAATATAATTCAATCACAATCGAGTTAAATTTCTAAGTACGTAGTACATACATTTCCGAAGCTCCGAGGTTCCCTTCGGCTCGGCATACAGAGAGAGTAGATTTACATGGGTAGCTAGGTAAGCTAAGCTAAGCTCTCCCCGCATATGTATCGTATCGTCTGAAAGTGTGTGTAACATATTCTACGGATGGGAATGTTTGAGATAGGTATGGAACATTGGAAAGAAAAGGAAAGGGTTTAAATTCTGGATATATAGACTGGGTATACATATATATGGTGTGTTTTGGGGGACATTGGAGGATATTGAGTATATAATTAATAAATAATTTGTATGTACGAGTAGGTGGGAAGAAAGTATTTCCAGTGACTCTATTGGTTGGGTTGTGGGTTTACCCCGCCAATTTTATGCTGGGATGGGATTCAAGGAATGTGTTGTGCTTGTGGTTCTGGCCGCATGAGTAGGATGAGCTAGCTAGGTAGGTGTGACAACGAGATGGTTTGGATGGAGTACTGATGGTTTGAAATCAATTGCTTTTTACTTTGTACTTTGTTTTTGGGGATAGTTAAGTTGAGAAGAGAAGAGATATTTGTGCTGATTGATTGATTGATTGATACCTTGAAGCAATTAACCTAAGACTTACAACATTACATTGCTTTACGGAACCAATTCAACATTACCTTGTCGTTGCATTCATTATAGCTTCAGTTAGGATCTCATTAGCATTCTAGATTTGAACATCGAGAGTCCTATATGAATTACAGATATTTACCAATACTTGGATAATCTACAACGAAAGCTACAGGAATATCTTCGATATGTCTGCTATACGGATTGCTCCAACTGTAAGTATTGGTCTCAGTTTACCTTTCCGTTCTATACCGGCGATGCCTATCAACAAGCAGATATTCAATCACACGACAGTGATAGATTGGCTACCATGCCTACCCAACCGACATCTATTCCCATATTTCCTAACCACTGACTCCTATCTAAAACAAAACTAACAACCTCAACTAGAAAGCCGCTCGGGCAATGAACCTCCTCCGCACAATCCAATACACCCACCCACCTACCTGTCCCTGCCACGGCAACCCCTCCCACCACCACCACCACAAGCCCAGCTCCAATCTCCTCAGCCACGCCAAAAGAAACCTTCAAAGAAACTATGCTACCCCAATTGATACCACCCGACAAAAAGAATATGCGTTTGAAATGGCAGCGAGTAGTATTAGATTTGGAGCTGGGGTGACCAAGGAAGTGGGTATGGATTTTAAGAATTTGGGCTCCAAGAGGGTGCTGGTGGTTACGGATCAGGTGGTTAAGGATTTGGAGGCTATGAGGCAGGTTGTCGAGGGTTTGAATAGAGAGGGTATTGAGTTTAGGGTTTTTGATGCTTGTAGGGTTGAACCGAAGGATACTTCGTAAGTTTTTGGGGGTGTTGTTTTGATGTTTTTGTGATTTATCGGGTTTTTGTCTCGTATCTTTTGCTGCAAGTGAGGATGTGGTCTTCAAGTGAAGGACTGCAAGAGTGATATGCTTGGTGGTATTTTCGATGTTTCACGTACTCAAGATCAAGATCAAGACAATCCCTGACAAATAAAACAGCGTCAAAGAAGCAATTGAGTTTTCCAAAACCTATCAACCAGATGCAATTTTAGCAGTTGGTGGTGGTTCTGTCATCGACACTGCCAAGCTCATGAACCTCTATACCTGCTATCCAGATGCCGATTTTATGGATTTCGTCAACGCTCCTCTCGGAAAAGGTAGACCCATAGATAAATCCCTCCTACCACTCATTGCCGTCCCCACAACAGCAGGAACTGGCTCCGAAACAACCGGCACCGCAATCTTCGACCTCGTCTCTCACAAAGCCAAAACGGGTATCGCGCATCGAAACCTCAAACCGCTCCTCGGAATATGCGATCCCCTCAATACACGCACCATGCCTTCAGCCGTGCACGCAAGTTCGGGTTTGGATGTTCTCTGTCATAGTTTGGAAAGTTGGACAGCAATTCCATATTTTGAGAGGACGCCGCGTCCTAAGAATCCGATTGAGAGACCGGCGTATCAGGGGGCGAATCCTATTAGTGACATTTTTTCACTGCAGGCGTTGAGGAGTACGGCGAAGTATTTGCCGAGGGCGACGAAAGATCCTGAGGATCATGAGGCGCAGAGTGAGATGTTGCTTGCGGCTACTTTAGCTGGGGTTGGGTTTGGTAATGCGGGAGTGCATTTGTGTCATGGTTTGTGGACTCTCTTTTTTCTTGCTTATCTTTGATTCGTTGTTCCGTGTTGGAAGCTGGTGACCAAGTGCATTGTGTCCATCGGCTTGGACTGCAGCCCGAAGATGAAGGACCCTTGAAGACTTGGAATAATTTTTAAGTCTGAAATATCTGGAATTCAACTGCAACCTACACTGTTAGACGCATTAGGTTATTTGCGAGCTGTATTCAGCGTTTTCGAACCCAGATGAATCAGCAGAGTCACTTTCTGGTTTGAGTCATGTGCTAACATACATAGGAATGTCCTATCCAATTTCTGGTCAGAACCCAGGATATACACACCCAGGATACGTGACCAAAACTCCAATCATCCCACACGGTGTATCAGTTGCCGTTTCTGCACCCGCCGTATTCCGCTTCACCGGTGCATCTAACCCCGAACGACATCTCGCAGCAGCCGAATGCTTCGGTGTTGATATCTCCAATGTCAAGAAAGAAAGTGCAGGTGCAGTTTTAGCAGAAGCTTTAGAGAAATTCTTGGAAGAATTGGGTGATCAACCAAAGGGTCTTAAGGATTTGGGTTTTAAGAAGGAACATATTGATGGTTTGGTTGAGGGTACGATTCCTCAGAAGAGAGTCCTGATGTTGGCACCGAATTTGGCGGAGGAAATTGGTGAGGAGAGGGAACAGTTGAGAGCGCTTTTTGAGGATGCCATGGGGAATTGATGTGTGACTTTTTGGGGGGAGGAGGGGGAGGAAATTTGTATTTTATTAGGAGATGCCATTTTTGTATTCGTGTGTACCTAGGTATTGAATGTATTCTCTTTTCTTTGTATAATTTGATCAATTGATTGATTGATACTTAAATTTTCCCTATGGGTTTTAATCTGAAGTAATAATAAGATCTTGGTAGGTAGGTATCAGGTATGCGTGCTGCTTTGAAGGAGGTTTTATATTCATTCATTCATTTTCTTGATCTCTTAAGGTTAATTTTTTAACCCTCTTTTAGCTTATTATTCACTTTTCTTTCTTACTTTTTCACTCCCTCATTTTCCCGCACAAATCAAATAAAATATTATAATTCCAAGGTTTTTAAAAAAAAACTTTGTTAATCTCAATCTTATACGAGTAAATCATTATTGATATAATTAATACTAGACACTGGACACAGTTGGTTACGGACTTACTTTATAGATTCGTTTATCTACCTGGTATCTTAAAAGAAACTTTTTCTCTCGTATGTTCTTTGAGTTGATTTGATTTGAGTTGGATTGGATTGAACTCTTGATTGGAAATTTAATCTACTTGGGTTTATTTTATTGGGGGGAGGATTTCTGGTTGAGTTGAGTTGAGTTGTTTATTGGGGTTTTTGCGGGGTTTTGAAGGAAGTGGGAGGTTCGGGGTGGCGTTTTGAGGGGATTCAGAGAGAGTTGGATTTGAGAGGAGAGGAGAGAAGAAGTGCTGTTTTTTAAAGGAAAGGAAGATTGGAATATTGAATTGGATTGGATTGGATTGAAAGGTTGAGAGATCGAGAGAATCAGAAGTGTTCCTGAGTTAAGTTTAGGTATTCAAGAAGGGAATTGGATTGGATTGGACTTTTTCGCTGTCTTTCCTCATCCTCAATCTTATTTCATCTTATTTCATCTGATCTGAATCTGTTCAGTTCAAAGCAAATCAAACCGAAAAGCCAACTCTTTCATCCAACTATCCAACCATCCATCAATTCACCATCCCAAAAATAAACACCACTCAACTCATCGAAAATCCTCACCTTTTAAATCTCAATCACCAGCTCCAACTCCAATTCAATCACAGTAACAACAATTATGCCTCATCATCTAACCTCCCTCTTTAAATCCGCTGCGGGGATTGCAAATGGTGTTTTGGGAAATTCGGTGGGGAGTAGAAGGCGAAATGGGAATGGGAATGAGAAGCAGGATTTACTGAAGAGGGAGAAGGGAGAAAATGAGAGAGAAGAAAAACTTCGGACTGAAGATTTGGGTTTGGGAGGAGTTGCTAGGGATGAGGGGGGAATTGTTGGTGGGGATTTGGTTGAAGGGGACGACGGGGTGGAGGGTAGGGAGATGAGTGGAATGAGCGGAAGAAGTGGGACGTGCAAACATTGTAAGTCGATTGTTACGTCAGGCTCAACAGCTACAGATAGAAAGGATAATCTTCTTCCTTTGACGCCGTGTTTGAGAGCTGTGGATGGATCGGATGTGGAGGTTAGTCCTACGGATGAATTGGGTGGGTTTGGTGGGGAAGGTGGGAGTGGAAGTGTAGATGAGGAAGATGAGGGTGGCGGTATTAAGAATACTGGGGCAAGTGGGTTAGAGACCGGAGGAAAGAGCCACAAAGACAAAGACATCACTCCTACTTCTATCCCACTCCCAATATCGAGTACGACCTCAAGCATAAACACGATATCTGAAATACAATATACAGCTACTAGAAATCGTTCCTCTACTATTCCGCGCAAACAGATTGTTACTAATATAAGAGGTTGTCTTGAGTGGAAGACTGAGTATGGGGGATATGAGGGTATGGAATGTGGAGGGAAAGGAGAAGGAAGGGGAAATGTGGAAAGAGGGGAGAGATTGAGAAGTTTCGGGAGTGCGAAGAGTAAAGCTATTGGTGAGAGGAAGGAGGAGAGAAATGCGAGATTGGAGAGAGAGAGGATGGAAAGGAGTAGGAGGGATCTGTAAGTTTTCGTTCTTTCCTGTCTTCCCGCCTTTAAGGTTTCTTATTGTTTTTATCTAAAACTATCTCCCTTTTCATATCCTCCACACGTTCCACCCAGCTCATCCTCATCAAGATCACACAACTAACCACCTCCTTCCCACAGCCGCCACGAAAATCCCCTCTATTCCCATCCCGTCCAACCCAATACAATCTCGCAGGGAACACCACCCACCACAAATCCCCTCTACGCCAACACCTCCAGCCCATCAATCAACTCCTCAAACTCCAAATCTCGCGCTTTTCGCCACTCGTATACGGTACCTATTCATGGATTGAATCTTATGGGTAAAGGAGTTGAGGGGTCTACTGATGTGGAGGGTATATCTGGAGGCATGGAGAATATATGCACTGGAAATAGTGTAAGTGGTGTAAGTGGAATGGGAAGAGGTACTGCGAGGGATAGATATAGCGGGAATAGTAATACATCAGTTTCTGGTTCTGGATCGGGGGCGATGGGAATGGGATCGCGAAGGGGAAGTTTTCTGAGGAGAGCAAGTGTGAGTTTTAAGGGGTTGGGTGCGGGAATGGGGTTTATGAGGAGTTCGAGTGGAGGAGGTATTGCGGTGGGTGGAACCGGGGAGGGAATGCAAGTATTGGGTGTAAATTCTGAAAAAGTCGATTCGAATACTATACCTGCCGAGTTTCTGAGAGGTGTAGGTGGATATGCGGGTGATGGGATGGGTATATGTGTGGGGAGGGAGAAATCTGAGATGGGTATGTATGCTTATTTCCCCTTTTCTCGCTGTTTGTTTCTTTCTATCTTGGAATTTTGATTTTTGATTTGTATATAATAGTGGATATGGATATGGATATCATACTATAGCTAACAGTTAAACGGATAAAAATAAATAGACACAGAAAAAAGACATAGTTATCGCCATTCACTTATTTTACCGAAATTTGAATGGGAGGAGGAATCTGTGGGTGGGAAGGAGGTTTGAGTTGTTTGTATGGTTTGGTGGGGAGTGGGTTTTAGTGTGGATGTACGATGAATGGATGGATTATGGATGGATGAATGGATGGGGTTTGAAAAGGCTGTGCTGGCTATATATGTGAGCTGGATGGGATAATGGTGATAGATTGGTTGTGGTGAGAGATGGATGGATGGGTAATGGTATGGTGATGGATGATGGATGATTTTATTGGACATTCATGGATGTGCTGGATGTGCTGGATGTGGAGTGAAGAGGAGAAGATGCTTGAGATTACTTAGTAGTGGGTAGATATAGATGGGAGTGTGGTATTAAATTGAACTGGGAGTAGGGGTGGGTGTTATGGATACATGCTATGGATGGATATATGAACTGAAAGAAGGAATGGGATAAAAATGAAGGAATTAATGGATAAATGATAGAAATTCAGGAACTGATGATAATTAAGTGGTTATTTAGCTAGTTTAGTTAGTTAGTTACTAAGTAGTTAAATGGATTGAGAAAGGAAGTAGAAATAATAGAAAACTTGGAAACTAAAATAAGAAATGAAAAGTTGTCTTTATTGAGGTACTTTTTTCTTAGGTGTGGATTTTCGGGATTAATACTTCAAGAAGAATAGGAATATAAATGTGAAAATAATATTAAATAGAAATATATTTAACAAAGTGAAATTAAGAATAAAATTCTATCAAAATATCATTTTATATAATTATTATTTCTTTTATGTGAGTAGGAAATTAATATTAATAGATATGTTATTTTCAATAACAAATTTATCGCACTAATCTTATAAAATCTTCACCATGAATGGCATAATCACCTAAATAACCTAATACTGGGAATATAAAGGTAATAGACATATTCCGTACAATAACTTACTAGGTAACTTATACCTCTAGATACCAACATATACCAGTCCTGTAATTTATATAAATGGGATTCCTTTCATTATCTTATGCATAAGCCCCTCTTTCCATAAACATGAAAGAGCAAAACACTTTGTAGCTGGAAGGCGCACAAACAGTCATGTATGTAAGTTTAATCTAAACTAGAAGGTCTATACCTGATCGTGGTTCTAGACGGCGATAGCGAAGGCTCTTTCCTTTTCAAAAAGGTTTCATGATTGGCCATTCGGATGACTTCGAGTAGGCTGTCTTGTTTTGAATATTTGGTATGCAACGCGGTCCTTGTTATCATATATTTGATATTTCTTCATAGATGCTCAACGTTGCTTTAAATTCTTAATCTCCTCTACAACAAACTCCGAAACCACGTTCGAAACCATGTTCGAAACCACGTTTAAAACACTATTGAACCACGTCGAAAGTTACATGAACCTTTAAATAAGAGACAACAAAAAAAAAGCAACAATAGCTGTGGGTCGATCGATCAAATCTAATCATTGTCTTCCCTACCATGTACGAAAACTTCTCCAATATAACAAAAACCCGGAAAGATATGTACAAGAGTCCCAAAACACGACTCATAGCATCGAGGTTTACGGCAGAGGGAAACGGGGTTGAGGCGCCTGTCGTCAAGTTACACGTGGACATTGAGAACATGCCAACTGTGAGGCAGAAGATATGGACAGACAAAGTTATGGCTGGGAATACTTCAGTATCAGAATCTACACTTTTTAAGATGTACAAGCTGTTTCCGAATACATTTGCGTTGAAATGAGAAGAAGAGGAGGAGAAGGTCTGAAAGACATGATGATATTGATAGAACTCTGAGCGTGTAAATGGCGATATGGGCATTATGGAACACATTTGCCGACTGGCTCAAAGATTCTTCCAAAATATGCCTTTTACAGTTCAGCCTGGGGAACAAGCTTTATAAAGGAAACCCCAGACAGTCACTATAACTATTGAGATGAATCAATCAGCCAATTAATGTAGGACAGTAATGCACTAGTTATATGGCGACAAGATTAGGACTATGAAGTGAGTTTCTTCTAAACTCGATGGTTATATATAAATAAATCTCTACCGCACAATAAGAGTCTAATTCTTGAACTGTGAAAGAATTGGCTTTCTGATGATGAACATTTGATAACATAAAATATTTCAAAGTGGAATTATATAAAAAGCTGTGATTTGCTCAACTTTAAAGTAATGTAAGCGAACGTTCTTTCCCGTCACTCCCTAGGTCTTTCCATCTCTTCTCTCTCTTCCCACCTTTGACAATAAAGAAAATGCCAACTACTTCTCCTACACTTCTACCCGTTGAACATGATCATTCCACATATTTTGAAAGAATAATTACCATATCATACTTATGATAGCGAGCCCTAGTGAAACTTTTAATTCCTATATAATATAAGAGAAAGGAGCGAAAAATTCACAATTCTGCTTGAAAATTATCGAGGAGGTTTGAGTCTGGAAGTTCAGCGGGGACAAACAGCGTGATATTTTGGAGGGAGAAAAAAAGGGAGACTGTGTTATTCGTGGGAGGTCATCTTCCTCTCAACTCTACGATCAAAAGCGTTCCAAGGGTGCGAAGCCATACTCCTAGTCAGTCTCAAGTCCATTCTCCTCAAAAATAGCACACATCTCGCAGTGCCGAACCTCGGCCGGCTACTGAGATTCAGGAAAATCCTTTTAACTTTATCTGAGCTCTCGATACCCGAAAAGACAAACAACAAGCCCCATGACCTTCCACAAGGAACAATCCTTGTAAAGAGATAACGAAACAAAAGCAAGTACGGTTAAGATGCTTTCAAAAAAACCAGGATCAAAGCTTGCACGCTCAGTCAGCGCAGTAGAGTTTACTATCTACGCTACATGTCAACTAGCTCATATCGTGGCCAGAGACAATACTTATCTCGTACTAGGAGCACCAGAAGAACGTCGAGCTTTGTATATCCTCTCCAAAGACATTTGCCCAGTCTGCGATGGCAAGGAGGGCGAGTCTGCTCTTAGCGATCCGGAGAAAACGCTCCCTGCACGCCATCTCTTCGTTAAGGAGAAGATAAATGATTTGATAAAATCACTTGATGACATATCAAAGAATTCTCCCAATGATAATAAAAGGCTAGAATTTTTGGATGATATTTGTCATACGAGTCAGAAATAGCCCTCTTGAAAAGAATCATGGACGGGAAAAATGATGAAGACTATAGAGGAAGCAACCATTTGGCTTACCACTGCGAATTTTCCTTTGCCTATGACATGTACAGGAAGGACCGAGACAAGATTACAGACAATAAGTCTGATGCTAGATCAGAAAATGGTGACATATCCATTTCAAAAAGAATACCTCAGGAAAAAAAAGCAAACCATCATAGTGACACCAAATGGGCGAGGCAATGCGGTCTGTATATTGGGAGATGTTGGAAGAACGGAGAAATACTTGAAGGTATTGATAAAAGACCTGAATCTTACTTTGAATCCAAGCCAATCCGTGATATACCGGGTACCCTCATAGTTGAGCCAGGAAGAAGTTGGACAGGAATTAAGTTTAAGAAAAATCGTTGCAGCTTGGTTCAGAAGCAGTAGTTGAATTTTGTATGATTTTGCGGTTGGCATTTATAACAGAAAGCTTGCTGGATTATTGTACATGATGAGAAAGCTATGGAAGGTCTAGAGCTTCTAAGGGGGATGTATCCGAGCAAGACTTGATTTTTATCATGGTTCCCTATACTCGCATTTCTTCATTCTAGACTTCAAATTGAATGGAGAGCAGCCGGATCACACCCCAAGTTTCAATTAAGTCAAACGATGATATAGATAGATCATAGCGTATATATTATTCCATCCGAATTGTGCAACGAATAACTAGCTCTTGATACTTTGATTGTACCGAAAGTTGAAGCATTGAACGTCCAACTTTTTCTAGATGTGAGGTTCTTCTAAGCTGGCATGATAGGATTTGCTAAATAAGTTAGGGAAATCTCGATATGTAATTATTTCCTCATCACTTAGTATCTTTTCTGGTAATATAAGTCTGGTACCCTACTTCTGGACCACCCCTCTTTCGGACCACCTTTTTACACCAAAAATTACCATTTTCAATTATTAGTAATTCAACAATTAATGAATGAAATCAATTGAAAATTTAATTATAATATTTTCATATAGATATAAACAAATTCTGGGAATTTCAGATTTTTCACGATTTTATTAATCGAGATTTTGAAGATTGAAATTTCAATTTTCGATTTGTATAGGATTTATATATAAATTCGAAAAACACAAAAATTTGAAATAACTTTTCAACACAAATTATTAAAAATAAACTATGAATTTTTTTAAAATCTTTAAATCAAATGTAATATAATAAATCAAAATTTTGAATTTCAAATTATATAGAAAAACTTTTATTTATATTTCTAAATTTTACAGGGATTAAAAATTACACTATTTTGAATAAAGGGATTTTTGTAAATTATTTTTCACAATAAATTAATTTTTTTGATTAATTTTGATTCAAAAAGTTTAAAAAAATTTTTAGTATATTTTTAATAATTTTTGTTGAAAAGTTATTATAGATTTTAATAATTTTCCAAATTTGTATGTAAACCCTATACAAATCAAAAAGTTTGAGGTTATAAATCTCGGTGAGTTTAATTTCAAAAAACCTAAAATTTTCAGAATTGAATTATAGTTATATAATAAATCTTTGATCCAAATTTCATTGAATTTCATCAATTTATTGTAAAGTTATTAATAGGTGAAAATCATGATTTTTGGTGTAAAAAGGTGGTCCAAAAGAGGGGTGGTCCAAAAAGGGGGTACTAGACTTATGACTATTTAGTATGTCGGAGAGCAGCTCAGCATCGAAGTATTGTTGCTTAAACTTATTAGGTGCTCTAAGGGCAATTTCGCGTGGTGAAATTCCTTTTGTTTTCCCTTCATCGGAGCGTTATTGGGTATCATCTTTCGTCAGGTTCTTTTTAGGTATCCCCATATCAATTCCGCAAACCAATAACGTATCGCGATTGCCCACTGTAGTGCAGGTGATCGACTTAAAAGTAAACGACATCATACTCTTCAGACTAGAGAGTCATCTGAGCCTTATCTCTATTCAACTCAGTATATTTCCACCTCACAATACCTATGGAAATTCCAGACTACAGTGGTGAAATAAGAGATTTCTGACCAGACACATCTATTTGAAGCATTGAATTTATCGGTCTCTTTGGAATTATTCGAACTGTAAGCAAATATTGAAAATTCTACATCTAGTCTTTTAGTACGGAATATTAACACCCCATACAGTAAGCATATTCAGTAAACTCAATTAAACAGTTGTTTCCTAAGCTCATCAGTACATTCTCCTTGTATAGATGTTGAATCTAGGCTGTAGTAGTGGAGTGGGTCGCAACATCCTTTAAGCGAGCACAGGGGTTCTCAAAAGGGGTAACGATATTTCAAGAGAACTCATTCGAGAAAGCCATATCGTGCGAGTACGGTCAGATTCTAATGTTCTATTGCTTAGAATTAGGCTTGTTTCGAATAGCAAATATTGGATAAATGATGGTTTAGATTATATAATCGTAATTATACAGCGCACTATTGTTAATACCTAAATCATCATCATCCATTACAGTAAGTAAGTAAGTAGTATGGGATCAATAATAGCGGTTAGCTTAATAAATTCCTTTTTACAGCGATAAGTTGTAATCAAGACTCCTGACTTGAGCTGTAGAAGCCACTACATACACTTATTCTTGAGTTTAGAGATGACCCGTTTTATTTAAGGGTCGGATCAGGCAGGACTCCGGAAGGAAGGAATCGCATGCCTTCGCACGATTCAATGATCTAGACCTCAAAAGTCTTAAAACGGTTGGAGACCTTGAAATTTATCACATGAAGTATCTTAGTTATAATAGGAGCCGTGGTTCTTTTTCTTTGAACGAAAAGTACTGACTATGATTGGTCTAAACTTAACCATGAAAAGCTCTTGACTACTGAGAGTACATTAGTATGAATCAAAAAGAGAGCCGATGGGTGGTTACAAGAAGATATTGAAATGCAAAAGGCTGCGAATAGCATGGGTGATATGACTGTTAGCTACCAAGAAGGTTGAATCCTCCTGTGTTGAAATACTGGCTTAACAAAAATGTAGTCTATACACTCGGATAGAACGGCAGAATCAGAATCATAATCAGAATGAGATTGATGAGTTGTAACGAATAATGGTAGAGTTGATGCTTGATATAATGACAACTATGCAATTTACCAACGAATGTTATCCTCAAGAAATATATCACTCGACTATAGATCTAAAGCCCCGCACTAGCATACCAACTCCGAGCCTTCAATATTTAAAAAGACTAAAAATAAGCTACAGACCTTCAAGTATATGATGATAATCTACACAAAAGTTTTCCGTCAAATAAATATAACTTTTTAATAACATCACCTCACATTCCACAATAAATGGCGTGAGAACAGCGGAAGCTAAGCGAAGGAGGTTGAAGTCCCAGGTTAGGTAGAGGGAAATCTAGAGGTGACCGAGGGAAGCGAGTAGCTGTCGAGAATGTTAACATAGAGTAATATCAAGTAGAACTTTAGAATGTGTATCTAAGACGTCTATCTTATTATCCAATCAATGCCTTGGTTCTATTATATCTTAGACCTTTTCTACATCTCTTCCCATTTCATCATCTCACTCTTCTTCTCTATCTTTTTCCTTCTAAGTATATATTGTCTCACTATACCTACAACTAGATACCCATAAGACCTTAATAAAAGCAACATTTTCTTTCCTACATGAAACCTAGCTCTCTCTCAAGTCATAGATAATTAATTAATCCCGCAATACACACCTAAAAGGGCACTAATGCATAAAATTCCCATCAACCACAATCGACAAATTAAACATCCCAGCCTCAAAATTCTAGAAATATCTAGCTTCACTACCTACCTACCTAGATACCTAGATATCTCCCTATATATGACCTTTTCAACCGAGTGAATTAAAATAGGATAATAGTGAATACGAAACTCGCACCAAAAAAGTGACAAGTTAGCACATGATCTTTCAGATTCAAATCAAACCCAAACACAACTTCAACGTCGTTGACCTTTTCCTTCAACAATAAATTTTAAATTAATCACCATCAAATACCTACCCACACGAAATCAAGAAATGACATCGACAGGTTGAATGGAATAATAATAAACCTTCCTCCTCCATTCCTTCCTATCCTATCTCCATCTCCCATCCATTCCTTCCTACATCTTCCTCATCCTCACCCTCATCCTCCTCCTCAAATCACCATGCCACCAAAACCAACACGCTTCCCACCCCACCCACCTCACCCTCCCTATCCCCACGCAAAAAACCCACAATCTCCCACCCCTCACAGACTCCGATCTACAAACCGCCAAAAGCGAATTCCCAGAAGAACCCCTCGCATCGCGCGCTCTTGAAAAATACGCCCGGGAACACTGGATTCAAGGACGTTATTTCTGGAATAATGGGGTTCGATATATTTGTGGTTCTGGTATGTTTATTTTCTACTACGCTATGTATATGATTATGATTATGATTATGATTTTTTAGTGGACGTACTGTACTGTACTGTGTTAATTCTTTTCTCTTTGTGTTTGTGTTTATGCAGATATCGAGTACTCTACTGCTGTAATTCCTAGATATGAGAGGAAATACGGAGGAGAGAGTAATAAACGAACATATCATGTTGCGAGAGATATCCCGACGCTAGATACCATTGATCGACCAAAGAAGAAGGGAATTCGTGATGCGGTTAAGCATCGAAGTGAAGGTGGTTGGTTCTTACCTAGGGAACATCGTCATCATTTTTTGAATTTTCCTCAAGGTGTGTTGTGTTGATTTTTATCTATTCCCGTGAAATTATCTATTGGGTTTCTTGAGACCAGAAAGAGCATCAGATTGAATTGATTGATTCTCTAGCTAAGCAGTTAAGCTGCGAGTATATATTCAAAAATGAAGGAATAAGGTTAGGTATTCAGCCTTCGGAATTAAAGTGCTTTGAAATCAAAATATTGAAAGCAAACAAACAGTATACCAAAAACGAAAGAATGAATTAAAAGTTGAGTTTTGTTTGCTCCTTATATGCATCATGCAATATATATGCATATGCTGCCAAGATCCTAGGAGGTCAACATTATCTGATACTTACTAATACCTCGACTCTAGAAATCATTGATATGATTTTCCTTTGCGTGTTAACAGTCAAAAACCATACAATCACACCGGACGTCACAAAATCAAACTGGGTACGAGCATATAAATCTCACCACACCTATTCTCTAGATGGAGAAAAGAGTCTCAAATCCGAACGCAGCTTCAACACAATCATCACACAGACTCGGCAAGATCATCAAGGAAAATACTTTGAGCTTCGAAAAGTATATCGTCCCAGAATAGACGCAACATTATTACGAGTGTGCAAAAACTTCAATCACAATGGAACTTCAATGCTGTATTCGGAAAATATATTTCAGTTTGCAACTATGGATTGGAGTGAAACTGGTAGTCCTAGATATTGGTTTGACCCCAGGGAATATGACAGTAACGGGCGGTTTACGAGAAGCCACATTCGTTTTCTGGTTCATGGCTGGTTGTATGAAGTACCCACAGTGGCAAGAAACGGAAGATGGCCGTCTAGGGGCAGAGGGGCCGATAAGGTCCTAGTTGCAGAAGTCATTCGAATAATCGAAACTCTGGGAGTCCCGAAATTGGGGGATTGTGGACTCCCGTCATTTACCACGATCACTTTTACCGTTTTATTCATGCTATTGGGAAGGAAAAGGCCGGAATGCTCAAGACTTTACATTTCAGTGGCAGAGTGATACTACACGATTATTTGGAAGAAGAAAATAAATGTAAAGTTTTCTGCAACAAGGACCTCATCGATACCCTTCGATATTATATTCCAATTATCAACAAGTACTGCACGGGATTAACAAGACTGGTTATTGAAGTAGAGGAAGATCCTTTGGCAACAGATTTGACAGTCCTCGCTCTAGGTCTTAAGGGCTCGCTCGAAAGTTTGTTTCAAAGAAGTATTTTGTCCCTTCTTGAAGGACAACTTCGAAAGTTACAAACGGTGAAGGCTCTGGAGGTTTTTCAAATCTTCGAGGTTAAGGATGACATACCTGCAGAGTCCACGGCTACAAGTTCTAAATCCAAAAGACATATGAGAAGAGAGAAGCTCCATTTGGCAGAACCGGCGATTGCATGGTTTAAGGAGAGAGCGCAGGGATTAGAGAATGTCGAAAGAAACGGAGGATGTATGGATGAAATATGAGAGGTGCAGATATTGGATGATCAAGGAGATTTTTAAAATACGTTGTGGGGAAATGGCTCAAAGAATGATAAGATGGACTCTGAAAAGAGTGTTTTGTGGGATGGGCAACCTGTTATGACTGGATGAAATGAAGACATCAAAATGCAAGCATAGGTCAAATAAATGAGAATTAAATGAAACCATAAGATGTCATTATCGATGACGTGAACCTGTTTGTACATGTACATGTATACATCAGATCAATGATATCACTAATCTCATAATCATTGAAGATGTGAATGAAGTTCTTGTTCTGAATTAGCAGCAGCTTAAAGAGGATCGAAAAGTGGATCGATGGTGGTGCTCCACTCGTGATATCACGTGCGTTTAGAGATAGCGAGAGTTCGCGTGAATGGAAATGATTTCTTGCGACGGGTTGGAGTCGCTGCTGTATGGCGTGCGGTTTATTGTGATGGATAGATAGTAAGTACCCTTGTTGAATGTACGCGGCTAGCAGGATGAATTGATTGGTGTCGTGATGTGACTAGGTGGATCAACTAGCAGACTTTAAACGGTTGAATGTATCCGAAATTACAACAGCATCATCCAAAACCTTCATCACAAATATCCACAAATACCACCAACAAACGCAAAAACCAAAAATCTTCTTCACAACCCAGCCCAAGGCCAAATATGCAATGAAAAAAGTTTCAAAAAAAAAAAACTGGTCAGACATCCATCAACGCCCACCCCAATCCAACGACCGAAGCCAATCAAAAAGGGGTCGAGATCATCACCACTTTCTATACATCATTTCTTGTTACCAAAAAACAACATTACTCCTCTCTCCCCCTTCCCCCAAAAGAGAGAAAGAAAAAGAGAAATAAAACGAAAGCAAAAGGCTTCACTCTAGGACATTGAGGAACGACTCATCTTCCCAGTTGGAGTCTGTGGCTCTTGTAGAGAACACAGAAGAAGGACGTTTACTAAAGAAATGATTCTTTGAAGTATTGTCGATATTTTTTTTCCCTGAGGGTCTGGGGGATGGGGGGTTTTATACAGGTTTGGGTGTGGTCTGTGCTAGATTTTTTCGTAGGGGTTTTTAGGGCAAATGGTGCAAACTGCTTTTTTAGGGTGGAAAATTTGGTGAATGGTGGGTGGGTACAGTAGTCTTGTTTTGTGGTTGTACTTCGGAGATGAATTTTTTTGGTTTGGTTTGCTTGTGCGGGTTTTTGTGCTCCTTTGTATTATTTTTATGTTATTTTTCATGCTGAGGTGATTGTTGTTTATGTAATGTATTATTTATTAACGTGGTTTATCAGCATGTGCACCATATCAGCATGTGCACCACTTTTACCTCAATTATTATCTTTCCACTTCAATACGCGATTTATCAACAATCTATAATGTAATCGAATAATAAAGAAGCTCAAATACTCTTAGTTATCGAAGCTATTCGAAAAGATAAAAAATTAAGCATTCGGAAGGCTGCAAAGCTATATAATATATCGCATACAACACTTATCCGCAGAATGAATGGTTTAATCCCTCGTACGGAATTTCGACCAAAAAGCCATAATTTGATTGATTTGGAAGAGGAAGTACTTATTCAATATATACTCAATATAGATGAGAAAGGATTTAGTCCTCGAATAAGTGATATGGAAGATATGGCGAATTATATACTCGAAACGCAGGGTGTGAAGAAGGTTGGAAAGCTTTAGGCTCATCGCTTTGTGAAACGATATACAGAATTAAAGATATGTTTTAATTGCGTTTATGATTTTCAAAGAGCTCTTTGCGAAGATTCAGAGCTTATTGAAAGATGGTTTCGATTGATATCGAATATGCAGGCCAAATATAGTATTCTGGACTGCGATTTCTACAACTTCGATAAAACAGGTTTTATGATGGGACAAATATCATCATATATAGTAGTTACTAAAGCTGATCGATATGGAAGAAACAAAGCTATACAATCAGGCAATCGGGAATAGGCTACAGCGATTATTTGTGTTGATGAAGAAAGTCACAATATACCTCCGTTTTTGATAGTAAAAGACGAATACCACCTCTCAAATTGGTATACCGAAAACGATTTACTATACGATTGGCTTATTAAACCTACTATCAATGGATGGACAGATAATGAGACAGATCTTGAATAGATTAAGCACTTCAACAAACATACTGAAAGTAGGAAAGTGAGTAGATATCGAATACTAGTGCTTGATGGACATGAAAGTCATAAATCATCAGCATTCTAGGAATACTGCAAAGAACACAATATTATATTACTTAGTTTACCACCTCACTCTTCGCATTTAACTCAATTACTTGATATCGATTGTTTTGGTCCTTTAAAACATTTATATAATCGACAAATCGAGAACTTTATCAAGGTGTATATCACTCATATTACCAAAACCGAGTTCTTTCAAGCCTTTAAAGCTGTATATATCAAAGCAATATCTATATCAAATAGTAAAGCTGGGTTCCGCGAAGCTGGGCTAATCCCATTTAATCCGGAAATTGTACTTTCAAAGCTAGATATTCGAATAAGAACTCCATCAAATAGATCAATATCAGCCGATCCTGATATATAACAATCTCAAACACCTTACAATCCAATTGAAGCTTTCTCTCAATCTACTTTAGTGAAAAGTTGTATTGCTCAATATCAAGGGAGCTCACCTACTCCAATATTTGAAACAATTGCAGTTTTAGCTAAGGGTACAAAGCTCCTAGCTTATACAAATACGCTTTTAACTGCTGAGATTCATAATCTCTATAAAGCAAATAAAGCATTTAGTAAACATTGAAGAGTTAAAAAAGCTTTAATACGAAAAGGAGGAGCACTTTCAGTAGGGAATGGACATGATATATTAAAGCAAGAGAATGTAGATGATCAGATACGATATAACGAATATACAAATGATGATTCTTCAACAAGAAGGCAAGCTACTATACGACGATGTAGCAAATACGGTAGTACTTCACATAATGCACGAACTTGTCAATTAGATCCAGCATTAATTGATCCTTAGATTGTATATAATTTAATTATATTTTATAATGTTGTTGTAATTTTATTTTAATTGAAAGATAATAATTGAGGTAAAAGTGGTGCACATACTGATAAACCACGTTACTAGAAACTCGTGTCGATATTACTGCATCACATGAGGACGACATCTGAACGAGTAGAATGAGTACTATGAATTACCAGTTACCAATTCTTACCATAGATAGATAGTGCCGCGAGTAGATAATGTATATTTTTATTTCTTTCTATCGATATTTTTGTATGTAATATATATATTGTAATATTTATATAACATACTGGTCTATAAGATATATCAACTCATTGCCAAAGTTAATTACTAAACGAGGTCAAAAATAACAAGATGGAGTTATCTGTTTATTATCGATTGATTACCATTTATTTCTGTAGGGTCGAGAGAGGGATAATTTGAAGTTCCTAAATTATAATTAAACCTAATATTGAGAAGTTGAATGTTAAGTACTTGAGGTAAGAATAGTTATTCATAGGGGTATGGATATATGGATGGGGAAAGTGGTATTCCATAGGTATATCCTATACTATACTATACTATACTATGCAATACTATACTCAAAATCATCACATCACATTACAACACCTCAATTAAAATTCTAATATGCAGACATTTCAACCGGGGAATCCAGAAAGAGAACAAGTATCGTGGAATTGTAACCGGAAAGTTGAAAGATGGTGGTCAAATCCGAATTATAACATTGGAGATGACCATCCACCAGATCCGACCAAAATTGAGTCAAGGAAATCCAAACTAATATATGAAAAAGTATCAACCACCGCCAAATGAATTATTAAAGCCAAAAAACTGTATTGAAAATCGACATCCTGGTAACACTATTTGATCCCCTACATTGAAAGACTAAGATATGTATTAGACCTAAAAGTAAAAGCAAGAATCCTGTTGCTAACTCACAACATAAATTCGTATAAATGGAAAGCTTTGTCCTCTCATTGAATTTTTGATAGTGACTCGGTTGTTGATCGATTATGCAATCATGAAAAGGATAATTTTCCGTCAGTGAAGCTTTCGCGTAACTCTTCTCGATGTTGATCAATCCTTGTCTAGACCAGGCAAAGTACCATTTCGTAGATCCTCCTCAAGCCGCTGAATCTTGGCCTTGGTAACAATTCTCTTCAAACCATCGAAAGACGGCTCGTGATATAACGCGTAAGAAATTCCACCATCAAATTCCCGTACTCCGTCGAGAAGAAGGTCGAGATTCGAGTTTGGAAGCAGTGGCTCTTCCCAATGTCCAGGCATATTCACAGAGAACTTTCCATCCTCTATGAAAGTTTTGTCGACTTTTGAGATGCATCGACCTGCCCCAATGGAATCGCAACGTGGTAGGCCATTTTCACATAAAAAGTTTGGGTCGAGATTTGAGAATTCGGGCAGAGTCGTAGTAGTTATGTTGAGTGAAAGATTGTTGTGTTGACCTTCATGCATAATCTAATACTGTATGCTCTTGCAACAAAAACTTATATGTCCTCTGAACTTACTTTGTACGTTCGCGTCTTGACTGGTGACATATGGACTGAGATCAATCCCTGTGTCAACGACCATTTTTGACCATCGTTGAAAAACAGCAATAGTGATTTCAGTACTCCAACGGTAGGATTCGATGGCTGTTTCAACAGCGCGCATGTATATGTCAACGATATCGTGCCGACTAGAGTGCCATTTCTCACCGGTAATGACATGAGGTCTTCGGGATATTTGCTTTAAAACCTGAATGAGTTTGTACTCGCAAAGGATATCCCTAAAGAGGCAATGTCCAGAAAACCAATGATAGTTTAGAGAATCCAACCAATTGTCCAAGAGATGCATCAATAGGATATCTTGCCATTGAGTATATTCATTGTCCACCGCTGGATTCCCATCTTGAAATAACTCAGGAGTAAACCGGGGTACCAAAAAAGTCGACGAGCTCGATTTTCTTAGTATGCAGGATACTGAACACCGCCGTGTAGAAAAAATCCACTCTGATTGTGCACGGTTTAACCTGGTATATATATCGCTACACACTAATATCATCGCAAATATTGCGTTGGATGGCTCTTGGTCCATATGAGTGCCAAGGATCATAACCACCAATTTCGCACATCAAGATGAATGATTCCGATTGTTTCGCGAACAATGCATCATCTATAGGCAAGCTATTATACGTAAGTATAATACAGTTTCTGGGTATGCTATACTGAAAACCCACAATCGTCCCGTAGGTATACGTCAGCCCCACGAGCAGGAAGGATTTGGCAAAGCTTTGGATGTGACGCAGCTTTCTATAAAATAATAAGTAATTTCTGAGAAAGTCGCGGATTTTTTCGAACTCTCACGTGTAGAAGAGACATCCCATCTTCGTCCACATCATAAATAGATGCTTCGACACGATCAAGCAACCTTTTCACTGCTCCTGCGTCGCCTTTCCTACAGAGTATAAAAATCTCTGAACTATATGGTCGTCGTCGAATCACATCAAGCATGTAATTATCAAAAGTGTCTGTTGTCATTACTCTAAGACCTTTCCGGGAGATTGTGAATCCTACGAGGAACTCAACTATGTAAGTTCTCGTAGTTGTCAAGTTATCTGCATCATCCGAGGAATCGTCATCATCATATCGGTGAGTGGTAGAAGTGGTTCTGGAACCGAAAGTGCCAAGGAAGAAGTTCGTCCTGTATTGTTTGATAGACTTAGAAACGCTGTTCGTGTAGGTTTTCCTGTGTTCGGGGGAAACAGGGCAATTCTGCATGAGTTACAGTGAGGATTGATTTGTAATCTGATGGGATGAGCTTGTGCTGGTGATAGCTATCGAGGTGATCTTCGTGTCCAGGATATCGAGCTTGCTATTGACTTGATTATGGAAGATCTGTAACCTGACGAGTCAATCAAATGCCCGATTTACTAGCAAGGTCCTCCATTACTGATTTCTGCTCGCCTGCAGCAAGGTCATGATACTTTTTATGCTCTCCAGATTGTCCTTGAACTTTTCTATTTTGCTAGCTTTTAGAGTTACTTGAACTTTTCTCCATTGTGTACCGAGAGTGCTATTATTTCGGGATAGTTTCCGCGTCAATTCCGAAATAAAAATTGAAAGCTGATCAACATCTTCCTTTGCTAGATCCAAAGCCTCCTTAACCATATTTTGAAAATGGATAGGTACGTTACCGGCTTCATGTTCAACTCGAATCGCATGAAAAACGTTAGCCACAAGCCTCAGCTCTCTAGATAGTCGACTAATATCCGCAGGAGCACCTTGGATAGCCTCTAGAACGCAGCCGCTTTCCTTAGTGCATCCGCGAGCTGGACAGCCAAAGTTGCGATGTCGATGACACTTGCTGTGAAAACCGCAGGATCCATGCCGAAGTACGTTTCACTAGGAATGGTGGAATACACACCTGAAAGCAGTGAACGGTAGGTAAAATCGTGTTTTGTTTGCAGAGAAGGAATAAGTCGAGATAAATGTAAATTTGTAGTGATGTGCTGAGTTCAGCACGAGACCAGATAGGCCCCACGCTACCGCTGCACCAATCATCAGAGGGAGGCACTCCTGTAAGGTGAAGTCTGAAGCGTAGCCTTGTCACAATTTTACCGGGGCATACGTGGCGCAAACGCTCAATGGTGTGGGCAATTAAGCCTATTATATTACAGTAAAATGTATATCATCTGGTGCCTTTTAACTCTGCCTCGACTTCCTCTACAACAATCGCCCTGACCTCTTCCCAAGAAGTGCTGGGTACAACTCTGACTCGCTTTTCCTTGTCCTCCAAACCGACAAATTCCTTGGGGAGTACAGTTTCAAAACTAAAACTCTTTTCATCCTCTAATGCGAGATCAACGGCGTTTGCAAACTTAGCAGGATGTGCTGTTGCAAGGGAAATATGATATGCGTTTGGCGAACGGGAAATGGATCGTAGTGAAGCAGCTACACCGATGGCCGAATGTGGATCCAAAACATATGAACCATTAGTATAGAAATCCTTAATTGTGTCGATGGTTTGCTTGTCGCTGACTCTCTCGCTCTCGAAATCTCTGTTCGCAGCCTTGAGGATTTCGTCATGGACATTGAATCCACCCTGCACTTTCAATTGTTTGAGCCAGACTTCGACTTCCTGACCTGCTTGCTTTTTGTTCCATTCATCATCCATACCAGCGGCAGATGCGTATTCGTAGGCCAAAAACCATAGTAATCGCTCAAAGTTACTCGAAACGAGAATGTCCATGGCCGGGCTAAGGGTCTCCTTGACACCATCTTCATGTGCTTTTACTCCATCCTCAGCAAGACCACCTTCAGCTTCGACTCCATGAACAGCTTTTTTCTCGTAGTGTCCTGTCTTCCAGAAGCGGTATAGGATATCATTCTCGTTAGTTGCAATGACAAGCTTTTCAGCTGGTAGACCCATGCGCTTTGCGAAATATCCCGCCAGAATATCACCAAAGTTACCAGTAGGAACGATGAAACGAACTTTGTTTTCGGGTTTATATGCAGGCGACTTTTGGAGAGAGAAGTATGCATGGAAGTAATATGTGGTTTGTGCCAAGATTCTGGCCCAATTGATAGAATTGACAGCCCCTAGGTTCATCGTCTCATTGATCTGCGGATCCGCAAATAAGGCTTTGACGGTGTCCTGAGCACCATTAGATATGTCAAGTATAAAGAGATGTATGACTCACCTGGCAATCATCAAAAGTTCCTTCAACTGCCAAATTGTGTACATTTGCATCCAAGACTGTTGTCATTTGAGCCTCTTGTACAGGGCTTACTCTACCCTTTGGATGTAAAATGAAGACTGAAACATCCTTCTTGCCTCGCAAACCATAGATGGCAGCAGATCCAGTATCACCACTTGTAGCCCCAACCACTGTAAGATGATGTCTATCTTTTCCCTCCTTGCCTTTGTTCCGTCTAACGAGAAAATATTCGAAAAGATTTCCGAGTAACTGTAATGCGACATCCTTAAATGCAAACGTAGGGCCGTGAAACAATTCCAGAAGATATAAATTATCTTTCTCGTTGAGAGGAACAAGGGGTGTAGTTTCTGGGGCGCGAAATGTAGAGTAACTTCGATTTATGATATCTTTTAAGTCTGAGGGTGGTATTTCGGAACGAGAGATGTAAAGGGAAAGTATTTCGAATGCGAGATCAGAGAATGACAGGTCCTTCCATTTTGATTCCCAGTTCTCTGGTAGTGATGGGATTTGTTCAGGAATAAATAGTCCTCCATCGGCAGCGAGACCTTTTAGGACGACATCTTCGAAAGACAATCCGTAGTCGCCTCCTCTAGTAGATAAATACCTTTGTGGAGGAGTATGGTCAGTCATGATGGATAAGTTGTATGGAAAACGAATGTGAATAACTTCAATTGAGACAAATGTTGACTCAAATATGGATGACACGAATAAATTCTCAACATCACTCCGACCTCGGGGACAAATACCTGATGCACCCCGCCATTTAGTTTAGTTGTCCCTTTCACAACCCACTAAATTTATCTTCTAGTGGAAATCTTTCAATGTTTACGAGTAATCGATATCAACATAGAATTTCTTTTCCTAACCATAAATCAAAGACATTTTTTTATTGCCAAATTAAGGGATCTTCCATGACACAATCAAATTCCAATAATACGGTTCACGTTGATGGAAGAACCTCAACTCCAGCGCGTTACATTGCAGAACGATGATATGTTGTCGCCCAGCACTAGGACCCGGGGAGGGGCTACTTTCTCTTCATCAGCCTATTTATCAGGTAGGTTGAATATTGCGTGATTGATGCGTGTCCACAAGTAATATACTTGCCGTTCGAAATCCCCATTGCTTGAAATTCTTCTCATAGCACATTCCTTATCATCATGGCACAAAACATCTACGACCAAGGGGACTTCCTCAAAGCATATGCCCAACTTCCACGTTCCCTTCATGGCTTGGAAAAGGCTCCTGAATTTCAAGTACTTCGCTCTTGGATACCAGACCTTGAAGGATTGAATTTCCTAGATCTTGGATGCGGCATTGGTTGGATGTCTAGATGGGCGCGAGAAAATGGTTCCCAATTTGTTCAGGGTGTAGATGTGTCCAAGAATATGCTATCTCGAGCAAAAGAATACCCAGAAGACACTGCCATTAATTATTGCAAAGCCGACCTGGAAACTCCAGAGCTGCCTCCAAATACGTTTGACGTTGCTTATAGCTCTCTGGCTCTACACTACATCGAGAATCTACCAGCTCTCGTCGATTAAGTTTACAAATCAGTGAAGCCTGGAGGAACATTTATCTTTTCTGTCGAACATCCTATCTGGACTGCTCCACGAAACCCCGACTGGATCAAAGATGCGGAAGGTCATGAGGTCTGGCCATTAGATGGGTATTTATTTGAGGGCCCTCGGACGACAAACTGGTTGGCAGAAGGAGTAGTTAAACAGCACCGTTCGATTGCTACGTATATCATGATGCTTCTTGATGCTGGGTTCATTCTATCTGCAATTGATGAGTGGGGACCGACGCCAGAGCAGCTACAGGAATATCCAGACTGGGCTAGAGCAAGACATCGTCCTCCGTTTCTACTTGTAAAAGCTACAAAGCCGACCAATTAGGGTATTTAGCAGCACAATCTGGAGAAATGGTCGATAGTGTTTATGTGGATCTGTTGGAGTTGTAATGAGGGGCACCGTTCTAGGGCTGGGGTTACAGGGTCATTCACCTATGTAAGCACTAAGTAGCTGTCACACTCTAAGCTAATTCACCCTCGTTCAATCTTAAGATGCATACAGTACATAACATGATTTTTTACGACAATCTCCTGAGCTCAATCGACTTTTGCTCGCCGTCGCGATGTTCAATTCATTTCGCGCAGATTATCATGGCTGGTTAGAATTCAAAGAAAATGCCCTTCCTAGCAATATATTCGGCTACCTACTCGTCCAATACTTTCTACGATATTTCAAATGTGAACCCTTCGATACTGTTTGCTACGATGATCCTAAAGAGATCGCAAAATGCGGAACGCTTGGTCAACGAAGCTTTTTGAAAGAATCATTACAGATGAGAGATGGACCTAGACCTGAAATGGCGAAATGGGTACGGCAACCCTCCAAAATATAAGACTAGATACTAACATACCAACAGATAGTTCCGCATAGACAAGTTGACGAATTCGGAGGAAGAGATATGCATAAGCTCATCGACCAAACCGTTATCGAACTAGCTAGAAGATATCCCAACCACATAGCCCTCGCTACATCTGCCCTCGAAAAACATGGGGACGCTCTCTTAATAGCGGAGAAAGTTTCAACGCCTCATCTTCCAGCAAAGAAAACAAAACGAGAAATCGCACATGTTCATACAGAAGGAAAGAATGTGGATTATTCAATGCACGCAGTCCTCTCGCCCAAGGATTGCAAAGAAGTAATTGAGAAGGGATGGGGTGAAAAAATGACCTTGGCCGGCACATTGAAAATGCCTGCAGAGTATCTGATGATATATACTCCAAGATCAGAATCAGAATTGAAGGTCGTGAGAGATATCTTGGAGGCTGCGATTGGGTTTATGACGGGTGCGGCGAGACCTTTGGAAGAATGATGGCATATAATTTCCTAGTGGATAGGCTATTGGGTCGAGAAAGCCATATGCTCAATTTGATAAAGCCTAATTGCATAAATCTGGTTTATGTCTTTAAATTTGTGATGGTAAACTGAACTCGATTCAATCTGAACCATTCTCTACGATTTTGACTCTCACTATATCCATCAAGAGCAACCCGAGTGGGTAATTTAACCTTTCATCCAGTCAACTCATAAATTCTAAAGATGGGCAAAGGGATTTCACATGTGAGGCTCTCAAATACAAATATGTGTCAAGGATATCTATATATTGCTATTAAATCAACGCCGGATAATCAGATAAATGATAATAGCTATCTACCGAGTTCTTTTTACCTAGACTCACTATCAACCCAACCCATCCGATCCGATCCGATCCTTTCCATTTCTTTCCTTCCAGGCTCGCGCCATTCATATATGTACTGTGTGTTTCATTTCATTCAATCCCGTTCCGTTCCGATCCATCCTGTCCTATCCTTCCTTTTGGTTTCTCTTCAAGATTGAGTTGATCCATCCGACCGTTTAACCGTCATACCAATCATTCAACCATCCAATCATCCAACCAAGCCACGAACCAATGCACACGCTCGCCGTACAAAAGTGCAAATAAAGTACAAAAGAGAAAAAGAGATTACCCTATCCATCCATCCATCATCCATCCGTCATCCATCCATTCATCCATTCCTACAAACTTTTTAAATTCCAACCATCAAATAATCAATTGCCTAAACTGCAAAATCCCGAAACCCCGACACACACTCAATCAACCAACACCCCTCACATATCCAAAGGATAAGGATGATACTTCCCATCATTAGGAAACAGATCATCATTCACACTCCCCCCACTCCCCCCACTCAATCTCGACCCTCTCGTCCCCGCCGCCCCAACATTAACACTAACTGGTACTTCTCCCCTAACATAAGGCACCTCATCATGATCCCTCCTCCCATAACCACTTCCCATCATCATCCCCGGAAAAGCTTGCGGCGCACTAGTATATCCACCCGGCGAAGTTCCATAACTAACACTTGCCCTCCTAGTCCGTCCCGCATTCCCACTGCCCCCAATAGGACTAAGTGGTGTAAAGGGATTTGGTAGTTTAGAAGTTGAAGGAGTTCCCGAGTTACGTTTCTCGCGGGCATGTTCCTCATCTCGGTATCGAGAATTAGGACTCATGGGATTTACATCCCGTTCATCGTCGCGATAGTTTGGAGAAGGTGGTGCATCTCTATAACTAGTTCTTCGTTCCCTCGTCTGATGTTGCCCTCTAAGTCTTTCTTCTTCTCTCTTTCTCGCATCGGCATCCCGTTCTTTCTCCCTTCGTGTCATAGGTGGTGTATTTCTTTCCATCGTTGCAGGATTCCTATCACTTCTCTCTTTCTTCTCCGGTGTGATTTTAATATCAGTTCCTCGAATTCGGATACTATCACTATCTTTCCCTTCTCGTGCATCTTTGGCTCTACTCTTGTCCTTTTTTAATTCCTCAATCGTGCAGAGCAATTGTTCGCGTTCACGACGGAGTTCCCGTTTCTCGCGGTTACTTTCTGTAAGAGTCTCTTCGAGGTCGCGGTTCTTTAATTCGAGGGTTTTGACTCGGTCTTTGAGTGTATTGAGTGCTTCGTTCAAGGCTCGAACATTTTGTCTTTGCTCCGCGCGTTCGGCATCGGTGTAGAAGGATGTGGAGTTTACTTGTGCAGTAGCTGAATTGGAGGAGGATGAACCGACGCCTGAATCAGAGGGATGACGTTGGTGAGAGAAAGATGGTCGACGGGTAGAAGACGCAGGTTTGGATGATGTAGGTGGTGTAGGTGATGGACCACCGTGAACGGAAGATCCTTTGGTAGAAGATGTATAATGAACTTTCTTGACCGGTTTTGAAGACATCGTGAGATATGTTGTGTACTTAGGTACGATTATGTACCAGAGTAACGATTTGTGTAACGGCAATATATACTCCGAATCAGAACAATTGACTCGTACCAATCGTACGTTGTGTTTTCCGATCTGACGATCTCAGAATATGATGCGATGTGATGTGATGTGAGGGTTGGATAAATGAGAGCGGGCAGGAAAATAATTGGATAATAGATTTAAGTATCGACGCAGTGAGAACTAATCTATTCGCTTTTGTGGATATGAAGTATGAGTAAATAGATGAAGAATACCGATTCGACAATTAGTCTTCGCAGATAAAATAGATGATCAGAAATATTGATAGAGAAATCGTATCAAATAAACATAAGGCTGAAGAAGAAACCTTTTCATTCCTCACCGGATATTTAAGAGCTATATATATATTTATTTATATATACGTATAGGTAGGAGAAAAATTCCCCAAGCCATCTCCCTCCATCGCTATATCACCAGTACCATCGCCATAGCCATAGCCATAGCCATTATTTACCTACTTACCTACTTACCTACCTAGCTAACGAAAAACCGAAACACAAGAAGGATCAATAAACATATGACTCTTCTTTCCTCTCAAATTCCGATGTTTAGTTTATATCCTAGTATACCTACCTGCCTAGGTTTCAAAAGAGAGAAAGAAAAAATAAAAAATAAAATAGGTAGGTAGGTAGGTAGGTAGCTTTTCTCTCTAGGACTCGATTTTTGCTTCTTCCAATCATGTTGATCACTGCCTCAATTTATATACTGGGATGTTTTGAACATATAATACTAGACTAGGTAGACTAGACTAGGTATTTTACATTAACCTCCCTCACACCATGAAATATTCCTTTACTTTTCCGGCTTGTAGAACCATCAGGACTAGGACTATCTATCTTATTTTTCTCCGGGATGCATGCAAAAAGATCGCTTGCCAAATGATCTCACCGAGAAAATTATCCTAGTAGCCTTATCCCGTCGTGCATACTTTTGGGCTGATGTGGATAATGTAATGTGGTTTGTCCTGAATTTTTGTTTATTCCTTCCTTCCTGTAAGGTTGGTTACATGTATGAGTGAGTGATGTTTATTAAAATTTCTTACATTTTCTCATATCTATCTAACCTTAATTAAGTAAGCTAAATTAGAAAAATATTTAAATTTTCTCTTACTTCATCTGTCTATCTCATATAAATAGAATACATACATAGCATCTTGAAAGAAATTATTTTTCTAGCCCCCAAGATTTATCCTTACTCTAATAAGTAGGTAATGTAATATTTCAGAAATAGATAGGTAGGTATCTCATCCTCCTCTCATATCCGAAAAAGATTCGTAAACCATCAAATAATGATGACTCAATCTCAACCCCTTTCTTTGAATTTCTACCAGAAAACTTAAACTTCAGCTACCTTCTCACGGCTTCCTCACATGTACATTCCACCCATCCATCATCTAATTGGTGCACAAATCATCAACAAATAAAGCCCTTGTTCTTTCTTCCATCTGTTAAAAAGGGGCAGTGTTAGTTTTAGTTTTACATATGCAGTGTGTTTCTGTAGCCTTATCTACCTACTAGGTATATACATTAACCCTACATTCCCGAATTTGTCTTTCTCGGGATCTTTTGGTTTTCGGTCTCTATCAGCAGTATGTGTGTATGTATACGCCAGGGCAGATCACGATTAAGGATGCGTTGCTTATGGATAAAATGGATAATATCAACTACAACTAGGCTGTGCTTATTCTGTACGTGATTTTGATTTTGATGATTGTTAAGCAGTGAGTAGTGTTTCTAAGCAGATTTTATTGGTTGAGAAGATTGTTGTAGGCTGGAGAATGCCTAGTTTGTGAAGGGAGGTGGAGGCTATTGGCTAGGGATGGGAATTAAGATGTTATTTGTTGTGGCGACGCTACGGTGATTAGGTAACCTTAGTGCTAAAACGTATATGGGAGTTTCCGGGTTCCCATGGGAACCCGAAAACCCTAGCTAACTTAATCAACGGATCAAAAAGAAAGAAAGTTAGAATGATGACATGCGAATTAGAAAATCATATGCACGGTGGTCGGGTGCGGGGTTGACTGCATTGCATGAAGGGGCAAAAAATCTCGATTGAAAGACTAATGACCAGACAATGCATTATTATTATTTTCTTTGTACTCATATACATACACAAACGCACTCTAAACGAATTACTCGCCTCACTCCTTCCATATTTCCATCTTTCTCTCTCCCCTCCTCTCCTCAATCACCAATAACAATCTTCACCCCCGGTTACATGAAAACCCCCGCACATGTCACAATTAACCTATGACTCCTCGAGCTCCTGTGTAAAGCCAAGTAGGTTACAGATTACAAGTTACAGTCACAATACATGCATGTACAAAAGTCCCACCTGCCTATTCTTCACGTGTCAAAATTTTTTAAGCGTGGCTATGGAAAAAGAACTAAAAGAAACTGCCGAGATATTAGGTTACGGTTTTGACGTCAATCTTGCATTTTCGTTTATCATACACTCACTCACTGCATTAAGAATATTCTTATCGCTTTTGAAGAAATCGATAGAGAAATAATTATATCAATATGGATATTTGTTTGTTAGTCAGTTCATTCATTTTGTACTCAGCGGGTTAATAATGTTACATTTCCTAAGGAAATAAATTATCGTACATCTTAGTTTATAGTTTAAGATTTAAATTGAAATACAGAATCAAGATTCGAAAATTAGTTCTTCTGAATTTTCTTCATGTAAGTTGATATTACATATACGGAGTACGCTCAACCCACTTGATGGCATCGTACAATCCATATCCGAAACAAAAGAAGAGATAGATGGTTACCTAACTTTCTTCGAAAAAGTATGTGCTAGCAGAAACGAAGGTATGAGAAGTTACTGACTGACTGGGCTCACGTGAATGATTGCATGGATATTGATGGAGGTTCTGCCTTCGAATTCGGATATGTGCATACCTGCCTGCGGCGTTAGCAGATTGAGGTTAATCTAGTATGCATCTTTGCTTTAAATAAGTCAAAATTAAAGAAGAAGTCAGTATTACAAATGAAATATCTAGCTTCGCAACCTGTCTTGCTCACGGGCCCAGATTGTGTATGCATGCATGTGTATGAGTATTGAATATACAGGCGAATGACCAGAGATTATGGATTTCTGTCTCTTCTCTATCTGCTCTATCTGACATAGCCATCATTCTATTATTTGGGGAAGGGAACCAAAGTACGAGAAGAATCCAAGTAGGAGAAAATTATTAAAGTTAGATAATTATGCAACTATTTCATTATGTGACATTGGAACTATTTCATATTGAAATGAATTAAATTAAAGTAACTATAAACAGACTACAGTTAAACAGCTGAGATATGTGATAGATTGAAAGATTGAAAGATTGAAAATGCAGTGTGAAATTCATCCTGCTCGCTTTTTTTTAATATTTTCTATTCATGGTTAGCGTATGCTGTAGAGGGTAAACATTGGTGTGGGTGTGGTTTCTTATTCGTACATATTGATAGTTGTTAGAAGGTTAGATATCTCTCTTTTTTGTTGTTATATCCAAGTTTTTGATGAAGTGATATGAAACTAAAATCCTGCCCCTCTTCTCATTTTGTAAATCAATGATTCGTAGAAAATCGTCATCTGCTTGACTGCTGACTCTGAACCCATAGATCATGCAATCCCAATCCTCTCAAACCCCCTCAACATGAAATCCCCTCGCAACAAGCCACCTCCTCAAAAACCCCAACTTATTATCCTTTTCCGCCAACCACATATTCCTCTCCACAACCTTTGCATTCATAACTCTAACCAACTCCTGGAGTCTTTCCACCTCTTCAATCTTATCCTCCAACCTCTCTTTAAGTCCCCCTTCACTTAAAATTCCCCTCCCAGTCAACCCCCTCCTCATCATCCTAATCCTCTCTTCCGCCTTCTCCCCCCTAACCTCAGCTTTTTTCCTCTTCCCCTCCAACTTCTCTATCCTCTCCTCCAAAAATTGAATTTCCCTTCTCTTCTTTTCATTCTCCATCGTCACAACTTCCTTATCCGCATTCAATATCCTAATAATTTCTCTCAGTGCACTATTATCATTATTCAATTGCCAATTTCTTGTTTCCACAACAGATAATTCTGTTCTGAGTGATTCGGTAACGGCATTTAGTTCAGCGTTGCGTTCTTCAAGTTCGTTTGCTATTTCGCGGGAAGTGGTACGAGATTGAGAGGGGGAGCGACGCGAACGTGAGGTGGAACGACGGAGGTTGGAGTTTGAGCGAAAGATGATACGTTCGTGACCGTTACGGTCACGTTCGAAGTAGCCTCGAGAGCGGGGACGTTCGTAAGTCATTTTGATGTGGCTTTGTGTATGTGCTGATGAGGTTAAGAAGAAAATTGATGAAGGATAACTTTCGATGGAATGGGTTGGTTGGTTGGTTGAAGATGAAATATTTCAACGGTGATGTGATGGAGATATTCTTCACGGCATTTGTATTGTAAAATTAGGAGAATGATTGTTTGCTATATTGATATGGATAAATATGCAAGTGTGACCTGCAGCTCCAGAAGCACATATGTATGTAGAATCAGAATTTGACAATGCACTGCTGAAATTGTTCAATGAGAAGAGAGAAATCTAGATTATATGTATTGTTGCCTATATACGGAAGGCTTTACGTGTATAACCGCCTGGGCATGAGAAAATTGTAAAGTTTCTATGGTATGGCCCACGGATAGGTAAAGAAAGAGCCGTGCTAAACATTATGTGGCAGGTTGTAAATTTTTGGTCATAATCTTTATCGAAATTTGAAACCGAGAAGAAAATCAACAAGGCTATAGAAATAAATATTGCATTTCGAAATATCGAAGAACTTGTTGCTTCGATGGCCTTCCTTCCCATAGACTGCTAGGACTGGAGTAAAGAAACGTCTCGTCCTCTACTTGACTTCATTTCCCATTTCATCTATGCTTAAAAGAGCCAACGTATCGTACATGTGGCATGTCCAAGCCATTGAATGTCCCAGTCTAAGAGAAACTTCTCGACCAATTTTCAACGAAACATGCAAAAACAGAAGAAAGGAACAAGGTAAAGAAAAAAAGGTTTCACCTGCCTTGTCCTGCCTATTCTCTTTTCAAAATCCTTCCCATTCCATGCATATCCAAACAAGCCTTTCTTTCCCCATACAGCAACCCAACTCTAGTAGTACAAAGATCCCAAAGGTACAAGCCACTCAGCTGTTCATGGATAGATGGTTGGCTTAGAAGATTCTACCCTCCTTCAAATATGCGGGAACTAATGCACCTATCCTATGACCTTTACTCAAACAATAGTTGTCGGAGCATGACGTATCATGTTACGAGCTTCAATGATCAATTTGTGGAGTGGCTGTGCGAACCCCAAATGTAAGGCTGAGGCGTGGTGATTCCATGGAAATTTCAGATGACACTTGGGAAAATGTCTTGCAAAACAATTTGTGAGGAGAAACTTGGCTTTTCATTGATATTTGCTGATGTCAGATTTCTCAGAGCATAATTTCACATTCGGAACTTTCCAAACAAGCCATTTCATGCATATGAAGTCCTCAACACTTCAGCCACGATGGATTTCTCATCACAATATAGAGAAAGTATTCTGTGGCTTGCAAACATGGTTACAAATGCGGCGAAGTCATAGCAGGATCGGTCGCCCAGGATGGACGGCGTGGTCATCAGAAGAAACAGAAAGAAAGGAAAACCGTGGCTTGATGGAGGAAGATTTCTGCAAGGCAGATTTTGGGATAAGGCTGGGTGGTTATGACCTTCAGTTGCAATGATGAAGATAATTGAGGCACCATATGATGACGTTTGCTATGCGTGACATGAGATGTGAGACGCTGTGCTAAATAGAATATTTTTCTTTTGGCGTTTAGTTAGGGATACTGTTCCTAGTGTCGTTGCGTTGGGTACCAATCAACTCGGTCAGACTGCCCGGCTTGAATAAATTGCTTGATGTGAAGAAAGTTGGAGATCTCTTGCCCTAGAAGAAATCGGCGTTGAATAGATGAGGCTATGGGCCAACAGCCAAGTCAACTTGCTTGCTGCATAAGCCACACGTGATCGAAGAATAATTATGCACACATAAAAGTCCTTGCATACATTGCATAAATCCCTCAATGCATCGACAACGCAACGAAATCCAAACCGGATTCTTAAATCTTACATACATAATCCATACGGACTTGCTTTCATTTTTGTTCAAATTTCCAATTCAACATGCCACAATCTCCTCAGGTTCGTATAAAATTTGGCGGTCAAGCGGCTAATTATGCAAAACAAACGCTGAGTATCGGGTGAGATGCAACGCTATGCCATGTCATGCAGGTTATCAAGGACTTTGCCGTATTGTCCTATCGTCGTCTTCTGCATTGCCATTCTTTAGTTGGGTTGGATCTAGCTATAATCAGTCATTTTTTAGACTGGAGAATGCTGATGTAGATCATGAGTTCTTCTTCAACGTACTGCATGCACTTCGCCTTGAGGAGATGTCAGGAATGTTTAGATGATGCCATATTAGTTGGTAGAAATCCTGCATTGATAGCGGTGGATGAAGCTAGGGTATCGTATGAAGGTGGAAATGTGATTGTCATCCATAAAAGAGGGGTCAATTGTATAGTTCTCGTTTAATCCAGTCATATGTGTATGTTTGCCAATGATAATATCGATTGGATAGGGTGCAGTGAAAGGATTGAGTTGATCCGTGAATTCGTGAAAAGTGTTGAAGTCTTAATAAAGCAAAGGCATCCAAATTATGGATGAATATCCTGTGAAACTATCTATTCTTTAGTACATAAATCAAAAAATCATAATCAAATATCTACCTCTAAGTATGAAACTTCTATAACATTCTTAATAGTCCAATCCCAGTCTAAATGGGAGTTTCTGCATCTGCTGCAAAACCACCGTTCAGCCACTACTGATTGATTGATTGATTGATTAAATTAACGTCTACACTGAGTCTATGACTATCTAAGACGGCTAGGAGCTTTGTAGGCTTCTAACAATAGTAAATGGAGGGTGGCTGGCCTTATTCGACCGTAGCTAATATAGGTTGGGGAGATTGAAAGCCTCAATCTTCTAATGTTTGAATGGGGGAAGTGAAAACTAATACTAGGGAACCAAGCCCGCCTCAGCCACTACTGACTAGCTTGGTATAATGATGAATCAACATAAATCCAACCATATACATAGTGAATCTCAAACGTTCCCAAGCATGTATAGCTTCCACATGTGAGCTAAGATAGCTATCATGCCAGCATTGCTCCATTCCAGCAAGCACTTCACTTTATTTCCCCACTTAATTCCCTCCTAACCCGTCTGCCCACGACTTCTTGACAAAACCCCAATAAACCTCCTCACCCCCTTGCCCTCTAAACATCTGCGCATGCTTCCCACCAACCATCTTAACCCTCTCTACTCTATAGCCCTTCTGTTTCCCAATTTCCCCATGCTCCTCTACATCAGTGTACTCAATCACATCATCCTCTTCACTATAAATATATCCCCTCGTCGCTCTCTTACTTACCAATCTCTCATCATTCAACCCCTCCAAAGGCCCTCTCACTAAATCTCTCCAAACCCAATGCGGACAACAATGCACAATGAAGTAAAGTATCGACGCAGTTAGGACAGCCAGGATCGCTAGGGGTATATATAACAACCATGGAAGTTTTGCTCCAGGCACGTGGAGAAGAGCGTGTAAATCTCGCTTAAACCATGGGAGGGAAGGACAGGAGTCATAGATTATGGTGGATATAGGAAGCGGTTTGCCCTTTAAGGAGTAATACAACCCCGTAACTCCATAGAGACGTTTCCCGCCACCGTTACTGATACAGTGGGCTAGTAGTCTCTCACTTCCGTCGGGGGATCCGGAAAATAGGGCATCGATAGCGGGAGCGACATCTTTGCGTCGGCGAGCTTCGGATTGAAGGAGGAACTGTGAGGTTTTCATGGTGCAGAGAACGATACGGGAAGAAGGAAAGAGATTGGTGTAGTAGGTGGTATAGTAGGAGATGTGTTTCGGGGCGGCATTGTTCCAGCTGCAAAGCAAAATAGTGGTCGGATGACCTGGCAGTGGTGTGGTGCTAGCTGTGGTGCTAGGCTCGTAGAGATAGACGCAAGGTGATAGTTTGGTAAAGGCTGAAAGGGGTTTTGGTTTTGTTTGAGCCATCTTGACTTGCACTTGCTATTGCTTTGACTTATTGGTAAGATTACAATTGAAGGTACAGAGAGAAAAGAGAAAATAGAAGAAACCCGGAGGGGTGATTTTTTACTTAGAATTTATATCATCCCGTGAATCTGCCGACTGGTCAATCTAGCTAAAATGGCTGCTGAAGAGACCCTGATCAAGATTGTTCATTGGGTGTTTCGAAAGAGTGCTCATTTCGAACAATCCCGGATTCGTTGGGCGGCGGATTTGTCCCACTTTGGCTACACTTCCGCCGGCTTGAAAGCGGGTCTTTCGTATCATGCCGAGGTCCGTGATTTTGGTTGAGGAAGAATGGTTCTAATTACTCATCCTCGGTCTGCCCTCATCAACATCGCGGACAATAGAAGGACAAACATCACGCCCTCATTTGATTTGTCAAAATGAAGCATGAGGTTAACCCCGGTTAGTAGGTTATTGCGCAGATAGTAATGGTCACATACTTGTGGATGTAAAGCAACAAGTATACGAGGTTCTTCTAAATTGATGTAGACATCAAGTGATGTTGAGTTGGATTCAATGAATCAATTTTTGTAATGGCTAAAGAGGATGAATAGAGCTCAAGTAAGCGCTTACATAATGTGAATGGCTCAATATTATTGGTGCTTGGCATTCGACACACCTTATATACCGTCCTTTGGGGAACATAATAGGGGCAGATGGATAGTCGACGCAGGATAATAAACACTGATTTCCATCCTTTCCCGGTTTTCATTTATGTATTATAGCTTTTGTCTCTTGCAAAATGGCTTCGGAGGTCTGGATTCTTGTATGGTAGTCCAATTACCAGTCTATCATGTAAACGCAGTATTCCTGGTCCAATTTGATCTGAGGCGACATGATGTATCTTTTGGGCTCGAGGCAATCGCCATACACAAACTTTGACGGTACTATCTAAAGTGAAGAAGTATAGCAGAGCCCCGGATGTGAATAATGAACAATCAGCATTGGGGAGCCATGGAGGATCACAATGTCAAAAATATACCACTCTCGGTAACCCTGAGAGACACATTCATAATAGGGTGTCTGCTCTAGTAAAATTTCCCTTCAGTTAGGCTTTAACGCCACTCACACCAACTGGAAAAGATAGCTTTAGTTAGATACTAATATATTTATGCTAGTTGGGATACATTTGTTAACTCATAAAGTTGAGTATGAAAAAATCTAGATACACAAAAACCTTAAGAATCAATTCACTACGAGACCTCCCTGTAGCCACCACAATATTTCCACTCTCCCCGGCATAAATAATGCCCTTCGTGCTTCCAAATCGGTCAAGGAATTTATAGCAATGTCTGGTAATAACCATGGGTGACGTTGCGCATCAGCAGCTTAGACAAAGTTCGAAACACCGCAGAAAAATAGCCTAAAAATAGCTATATATAAGAAATCTCCCCGTCATCTTGCGAATAGTAACTTATTAGCCATTAAGGACTTATTGACAATAAAGACTTTGCCGAAAAGACGATATAGTATCGAAAAGTGATAGCAATCATTATCCCTCATGTCTCACACACAGCTTCACCAATTGACCTTTCAAACCCGAATTTATTGCCTCAATACTCTTGGCTGTAATGATGGCGATCGCGATACACCAGGGCATAGTTGCCGTAGTGTGAATTTGATTGCAATTTATTTGCAGTTACCACTTCTTAATATCACAATCCTTTTATACTTGTAGAAGAAGATTCCAGCCCATTTTACCCAGCCCAACCCTCTCCGTATGGAACCAGATAAATTCACCACTCACCACTGCTTTTCCGCCCCGCACTCGCGTATCCCACACACCCGCTTCACATATATAAATATCCATGATATACCGTATCAAAACATTAAACAAATCCAATAATGCGACGGAGAGGAAAGTCGTAGTTGATGAGTATCGAAAAATCACCTACACCAAGTAAGCATTATAGAATCGTAAAATCAGTTGATTCGCCGCGCACAAAAAGCAGGAAGAGTACCTGGAATCTCGTACAGAATGGTGTCCAGAATGATGTCAGGTTTTAGACGACAGCACAGAAGAATATGGACAGCAATTATACGGGCGAACAATAACACATTTCAGTATTCAGACGATACCTTTTATCATCTAGTCCCTCTACAACAATCTACACTCCTGTTAGTCATGCAAGCACCCATCTTCGCGCAGTTCCAACGATACCATTTTCATTACACTATCCACTTATTAAGCATGGCCTGTTTTCTGTTAAATTTACCACATCCTAGAGGGAAGTTGAGGACTATTATATATACGAAAGCCAAGACGGTTGTTTATATATCACCAGACCCGGAGACGAGTAGAAAGTGTGAGGGTGAATAGTGTATGTCGTGAGGAAATGCATAAGATAGGAGGTACTGGATTCGAGATACCTAGAACTCTGCCTACTTTTAAACAAATGCCTGATTGAGGGAGAACAGTTCAAGGAAGCACAATCACCCACATATGAAGGCCCAACATTCTTAGAGAACTTGCCGGTAAAGCATAAGACTTCCACATATCATCCACATATCATCCACATATCATCCACATAAATATATGAGAGAAAGTTAAAATTGTAATTATCTCAAGGACCTGCTACGTAACCCTGATTTAAACAGGACATCAACACCTTGCAGTCGCTCAAGCGCATTATGGGTCAAATGATACCGCCTATGAAGGGACTGATACTTCCTTATCTTCTCCTTACATATGAATTTTGGCTCATACTTGCAATCATGCTCCTTCTCCACATACTTCTTCGCCTTTACGCTTGTGCCAAAAATTGGACAATTTGGGAATGGGCGCATTAGCTATCTCTTATTGACTGTCCTTGGGCTTGTGTAGTCGTTGGAAAGGCATTTGAAGGCTATCCTAGACATCGCAATGAATTCCCATATTTCCGAGAATGTCCTATGTGTCTCCCTTGGCTGGTGAGTTGCCCAAAATCTGCTTTCGAATGAAATGTTGAAATGTCTTTCGCGATCACTATCTCTTCACTTTGGAGCTGGTCCTGTGGGGGCAACAGCAATTGGAGAAGGCTTTGGGGAATCCGCAGCCGGAGCATCTGCGCGACCTCTCCCACCACCGTTTCTACCACCCCTCCTGCCTATAGCTCCACCTCTACCACCACGAGAAGCCGGACTAGCAGGTGGAGGAGCAGGAGCTCTAGGAGCTGGGCCAGCACGTGGTAATTGATTTCCCTTTCGTTGCATAACGTGAACAGTTCCCTGTGCGACGGAAACGGGGTTTGCAGCCATTGCTTTCTTTAGACCTTCATGATCTTCAAAATCTGCATATGCGAAGCCTTTCTTTTTATCTATCTCAACCATGGAAACTTTACCAAATTTTTCCAATGCTTCCTTTAACAATAATTCAGTTACCCCTTGAGATGGGTTGGCATGTTTTATGAAAGCTTGTCGGGCACCTTTAGGTGGAACATCCACTTGAGCCTTTGATCCTCGATTAGGAGTGGCTTGTTGAGGTTGCACCGCGGCTGGAGCTGGAGCTGCAGGGGGATTGACTTTCGGAGGCGCTTTCGGAGGCGCTTTCGGTGGAGCTTGAGGTGTAGATGAAGATTGAGAAGTCGCGGTACTTGGTTGTTGTTCAGGTCGTTGTTGAGTGGTGAACTTTCGTAGTAGGACCATTGGTGTAGTTGGGGCCGAAGCAGTGGTTGTCGGCCCCTTGGTAGCAGAAGATTCAGTAGTATTCTTTTGGTTACCTCTTCTAGATCTTCGGCTACCTGATTGAGCACTAGGCTGGGCTGGAGGTACTTTGGGACCAGTGGGTGTTGTAGGAGTAGATGGAGAAGATGCGGTATTACTAGGAGTAGACGTGGACTTTTCAGAAGCCTCAGCTTTTACCGCACTAGCTGTATCACGTTTGATACGGCGGTGAGCCTGGGAGGGACTAAGTCCGAGATCACGGTGTAGCATGCGAACATGAGCAGCAACAACGGCTTGCCTTTCATTAGCAGGAATTTTAGAAGTATCAAGCTTGGGTACGTTCTTCTCGGTACTTGTTGAAGTAGCCGCAGAGGAGGACGTTGCAGCTACTTTTTTGGCAGCTTCTCTGTTCAAAATCCTGACAGCCTCTTGCGTGGCCGCGACTTTGTCGGTCTTAGGATCTTTGTTGGACTTTCTACTATCATCTGTCGAACCTGATCCTTCCTTCGCTTTGGACTTCGGAGTTTCTTGTTTCTTCGCTGCCTTTGCTGCCGATTCCTTCGTCTTGTTGGCCTTCTTGTCCTTCAAGAATTGAACCAATGGTGTCACAGTAACTTTCTCGGGCTTTCCTGTTGGAGGATCTTCGCCATCTGCGCCGATTTCTTTTGTAGTAACTGGATTAGCCAATCCTTCCAAAAATGCCATGAATTCTGGATCCTGATCGATTGTTCCTGCCCGAGCATCTGTACGACGTTTAAGACCTGCAGGGACTCTACTGTAAGGCGCAAATTCAACGGAGGGTGGTCCAATGAGACACGAATCTGTATATGTATTCTTTGCATCTTCAAAACTGGATTTTCGCACGACTTCTGAAAATGGTAAGAGGTGATCACCACTTGTTAAGTGTAAATATGCTCGAGAAGGTCGGGATGGCTTGGAAGGACTGTTTTGATCTGTAAGCCCTGCAGGCACATACTTTGCGAAAGTACATACTCTTTAGAATCTTTCCCCAATTTGTATTGAAACCAATCAACTTTTCCTTGCCCTACTTTCCATTCATCACCAAGAACAGAAAAGAACTCCACCTCCGTCAATCCTGGAGCTAGTCTACGGACGATAAGCTTCAACTTGGAACTTGCTGGCTTGCTAGCAGTTTGCTTGGAAGTACTACCCGATGTCTGTGTAGCTGTAACGGAGAGAACACCGTTTGTTTGATTGCGAGATCCTGCGGTAGTAGCCATCTTGAATGTCAGCTCTGAAAATCAATGGACTTGAGGTCGACTTTCTCCTAAGTATTGCGCCAAATGTCTACCAAACTGGGTAATCAATATCCACGCTCCTCAAATTGGGAGAGCTTGCGAGTTATTAACGATCACATAGATATAGAAAGAATACGACAAAGATTTATAGAGGAATCATCCACCGTGCTATTGTTTTGTTTGTGTAAGTAAGAAACCGCTTTATTTTATGTGATTGTTGATTGATGATGATAGGAATTAAGGTCAGACGTGGGGCATTCACCAAAGTCCACTGGGTCGGGATATCTAAACACCGAGAATACGGTGACTTTTCACACAATTTCTACCATGATCTTCGGTTAATACTGCGATATCTGGAATAGTGTGGTATTATTCAAAGTACAGTCTTAGGTGAAGCAGTTGATGTGCGTTCTATGAGGAGGATTACGAATAATCACTCTCACGCTTACCACAATTCCGAAGCAGAATACGACTGCTCTGAAGAGCATCCAACAGGCCGATTGCGAAAACCGCAGAATCACAGTTGTTGAAAAGCCATCAGATTCAACAAAGTGTACCTGCAGCCTCGAGACCATTTAGAAGACTAGGAAGAACTTAAAGAGGATTTAGAAGACCCTTAGTCCTTCAAAGCCGAGAAACTTCACGCCACGATACAGTATCTTTCGTTTAAGGAAGAAAAAAGGATAAAGTCATCGCCCTCGCCCTTATCACAATACTCAAAATGAGTTCCACAGTACCCCGCCCTGGCGCCGCGAAACTAGGACCTCGTTCTGGTCTTGAGGAATGGTTGGCAGAGGCAAAGCAATGCCATTATTTACCAGAATGGGCAATGAAACAGCTTTGTGAAATGGTAAAGGAGTGTTTAATGGAAGGTAATGTTTTTGAATCCCCCGCTGATGTTATATCGTACTGATTCTTCCTTCGACAGAGTCAAATATACAACCTGTCGCAACACCCGTCACTATATGTGGTGATATTCATGGTCAATTTTACGATTTACTCGAGCTTTTCCGTATCGCTGGTGGTATGCCAGGAGAGACAAATGTTCAAGCCCCCACCACTGTTATTAACACAGATGCGCTCGAACCGCCTACGCAAATTACAGATCCAAAATTGAAGAAGAAGATAAGAAGCAGTGATAGTGGTATGGAGAGCGCAAGTGGAGGAGATGATGATGACGATGATGAACCTCGAGGACGTCCACGTACTGCAGGAGGATCAAATCGTAGTACAAGCTCTGGAGCTGACTCTGGTATCAATATCAACAACAATCAAGTCTCTGGAAATGGGAACCAAAATTTTATCTTCCTAGGTGATTTTGTCGACAGAGGGTATTTTAGTTTGGAAACTTTCACTTTATTGATGTGCTTGAAAGCTACGTAAGTAAAATCTTACGTTCTGTGAGTCCCGTTGCTAATAGTCCTAGATATCCTGATAAAATTACTCTCGTCCGTGGAAACCATGAATCTCGTCAAATCACACAAGTATATGGTTTTTACGAAGAATGTCAACAAAAATACGGAAATGCCTCAGTTTGGAAATCTTGCTGTCAAGTTTTTGATTTCCTTGTCCTTGCAGCCGTAGTTGATGGAGAGGTCCTTTGCGTTCATGGTGGTTTGAGTCCAGAAATTAGAACTGTCGATCAAATCAGAGTTGTTGCACGTGCACAAGAAATTCCCCATGAGGGAGCTTTTTGTGATTTGGTTTGGAGTGATCCCGAGGATGTTGATACTTGGGCTGTTTCTCCTCGTGGAGCTGGATGGCTGTTTGGAGATAAAGTTGCTAATGAGTTTAATCATGTTAATGGTCTTAAACTTATTGCTCGCGCCCATCAACTTGTTAACGAGGGATATAAGGTATGTTAATTTATTGCCCTGGCTGAATTTTCTAACAATTTATAGTATCATTTTGCACAAAAGTCTGTTGTTACTGTCTGGTCAGCTCCCAACTACTGTTATCGATGTGGCAATGTCGCTTCAATTATGAACGTTGGCGAAGATCTTAATCCTAAATTTAGTATTTTCAGCGCAGTACCAGAGGATCAACGTGCAGTTCCAGCTGGTAGAAGAGGTGCTGGTGATTACTTCCTTTAATTATACCACACATACGTTCTTTACTGTTGATACATTCTCCATATTTCAAGAGATGTATACTGGATATCTACCTAGGCGTTTGATTTTAAAGGTCGGCATTTTCGAAAGGCGTCTGTTTGGTAAATTACCCCTGTACAACAATAGTTGAATCTGGTTCTGTCTTTTTAATTTAAATCGAGGTGATATTTGGCTTGGTTGGGCTGGATCTGGCTACATCAGATGGGAATGGTGTGAAATGAAAGGTATTTATGACTCTTAGATCTTATGAGTGATGAGAGATGGATTAAGATATACATGGCATGGTATACGAAAGAGCAGTATAAAAAGATATGATGTGGAATTTTAGTCGTTGCATTTTGATGATATGATGATTTCTACGGGTGTGAACTTGATGATATCCATGATTTTATATAATATGCCGAATACAAGGCTTGCAGATGACTAAATGATATGCTGAAGCTTGAAGAGGTATTGACCTCCAATTAAGAATCGAGAAAATCCGGGGAAATGGATTGGTTGCATTATTATTTGGTAGGTATCCTAGTCTTACTCTTTACCCCGCTCAATTCCATATGCTTGACGTTTGATTTGTAGCTTATTTTGTGACTCGATTGATTGATTGATGAATGACTCTTTTATATTATGTTTTCTTGCATTCTTCTCTCAATAGCTTTGTAATCTTAGTAGGGCTATATTATCTTGTTGAGAAATTGATTTTGAAATTCTTTGTCTCTCTGTTGGTTTTTGGATTTATTTTTCTGGGTGATAGTTATATCATCGGAATTCTTTTGGCGATATTTATATCTATATCCATCTATACATATTCATCTCCTCCTTGATATCGATCTGCTATCTACTATCTACTATCCTCAAACACGGTATACCATCTCTCTATCTACATATCTCTCTACCAACCCCCAAAATCAACAGATCAACCAAAAAAGAAAAGAAAATAAAAATGGTTCAATATTTCCCCTCCATCAACCCAGAATTCGCGGATTGGGCAATAGCTCAACCGGTTTTTTTTACGGCTTCCGCACCGAGACTGGGGAGACATGTTAATGTTAGTCCGAAAGGGTTGTTGTGAGTTTTCTCCTTCCATGAGGGTTTTATTTTCGGGGGAGTTTTTCAAGTCTGGAGGGAGAGGAGGATAATGGGTGTTTGTGGAAGTGGAAAGGCAGTTTTGGGGGAATGAGGAGGAGAGCGCAGGGCGGAAGCGGAGGGGTGGAAGGAGGAGAAGAAGAAATGTTTATTTATTTATTTATTCATTTATTAATGATGTGATGAGTTTAGGGAAGCGACATTTACGATTTTGGGACCGAATAGTTGTGCTTAGTGAGTTTTTTGTTTTTTTTTGTTTTTTTTGGTGGTTGTCTTTTTGATTATACTAGTATATTAGATGGGTTTGTTTGGATCAGAGTAGGAAGTTTTGGGAAAGATGTTTCGGGTTTGTGGTGGGAGGATGTGTGATTCTAGATGTTGGATTCTGATGATATGTGGGATGGTTGTGATTTTGTCTGAGGCTTGGGATTTATATTACAGTGCTTTACAATGTTCTCGCGCGCGTTGCTTCTACTTCTATTTTATAGACGTGATGATTTATGGAATGATAGTTCTGACACTTCTTCAGTATTGATGCAACGGGTTCTGGTATCGAGACAATAAGTCATATTTATGGTTCGTTATTCATTTCTCTTCCTCTCTCCGTCCTCTCTTTTCTATAATGACAAACCTACCTACACCACTACACTCCTCCTCCATCTTCTTCTTTTCATTTAACTTCTCCTCGTCTACCCTCTCCTCGTCTACCCTCTCCTCGTCCACCCTCTCCTCGTCTACCCTCTCCATCCTCACTAACACCATCTCAAGAAAATGGACGCGTAACAATAATGTTCTGTTCATTCACCTCCACTCCTCGCATCATGCGTTTCTTTTGCACAGGTCATGTAATTGAATGGAATACACCTCAATTCTCCTCTCTTCTATCCAAGATGGGAAAGACAAAAGTAGATGGTGCTAGAGCTATTATTTTATTAGATGTGTGGAAGGTATGTTATCTTTCCTCCGGCAAACTCGTGAAATATCGCAACAATTCCATCATGCCATTTGTTCTTGACTTCAAAAACAACTGGATTAGCAGAAAAAACGAGAAGAAGAAAAAAAGAGAATCATAGCAATTAATTAACCAAACTCCCTCCCCTACAGGTTCAAACATCCTGCGGCTACGGCGTCCCTATCCTCACACCCCTCAGCACACAAATAGAAAATCCCTCGCAAGGACCCTGGACCAACCGTCAAACCCTGGGCCATTGGGCTAGTCAAAAAGTAGCGAAGTCGGAAATGCAAGATTATCAAGTTCTTAATAATAGTTATTCACTCGATGCACTTCCGGGGTTGAAAAGTGCGAGGAATCAGAGGTTTAGGGGGAATGTGGTGAGGGTGAGAGGTGATGAGGTGGTGTTTTGGGGGAAGGGGTTTGTGAGGGGGGAGTGGAGGGGTTTGGTGGTGGGATTATTGATGGGTTTTTTGGTGGGGGTTTGGATGTGTGGTATTCTGGGGGAGGGTTTGGGAGGTGTAGTTAGTAGGATTGGAGAGGTTAGAGATATGATGGGGAATTTGACGGGGAGGAATCATTTGGATGTTGAACTTTGAGAGAGAGGGGAAGGAATTATTTCAGTATTATTCCTTATTTGCCTTGTGTTCCCATCTTTTTCAATAATCAAGAGTCAAGAGGTACCAATACACAATTCCCAAATTGTAAAAGAAGTACAAATACATGTACCTAGCAGTAATCACTAAACCCATTAAAACCTCCAATCCAAATCCAAAATCAATAAATACTAGGTAACTAAAAAGGCTTAACTTTACTACATATCTACTTACTACCTAGGTACTTACCTAGTATATAGATAGATAAATCCTACCTATCTACTTGTAAGGTTACCTAATATCCCGCTACCACTACTACTACCACTACCGCAACCAACACCCGCAAACTGAAAATGTAACCATCCAGATACGCGTCACCAACAAATATTTTCCCCCTGATTTCTGAACTTCTTACTCTCACTCAACCTAAACTCTTCATCCAATCTTTCCCCAGCTTCCATTTTATACCTACTGTTCTATACTTCCACTCCTCTATTCTATACATACTCTACATTTGTACTACATACATACATACATACATACATACATACATACATACATACATACATACATACATACATACATACATACATACATACATACCTAGGTACACAACATTATAATTACACCTGTACCTCATGACCAAACATACAAGGTATGGATAGACATGGTAAGTTGTAAGTTTGTAACTTTCATTTCCGGACCTTCCCTTAGCTCCTTTATGTGTCTGGGGTTGTGGCGTTGCTAAGCTTTTGCCAAGGTTAGATGAGATGTGGATGTGATGGATGGATGGATGGGTAGTTTACTTTGTTTTGGGTTAGGCTGTTGGGTTTGCATTAGGGGTTTTGCGGATTGAGGGTTGGGGGGTTTTGAGGATGGTATGGATGAGTGATTGAATGATGGGGGTATATGAGAGTTCTTCATGCTCATCTACTACTACTAAAATACAGTAGTCGAGTTACTTACTATATAAATCACACTACGTCCGTATACTCCGTATAGCATCAACAACCAGGATAAAAATAGGAGTTAATACGGGCGTAGAATACGAAATATTCTCCAGGACCCGGCTTTTAGATACTTTTTAGTCTTGGCCTTGGTTCAAGGTACATATACTTTTCAGGAACTAAGTAGCACGGAGTAGTTTTTCATCCCAAAATCCATCACAATCCAATTTAATTGGTTTCGCATATCGGAAAATATAGTGCTGCTTTATACAAATTCTCGTATCTCTAGATATTTCAATAAAGTTACAATCACATGTAAGTGGATAGATAAAAAGCAGCGTGTGATCGACGCTTGATTAACATTTGATTGATGATGGTGAAGAAGGTTTTTCGGTAGCCACCGAGAAATGCCAATGAGAAGAGCCGGTGGGTGGGTGGCAAGTTTGGGAGATTGCTTTGCTTTACTTTTTCTTTTTTTGCGAAAGCGGGAATTAAAGGTTACTACCTACTTTTTGTTATCGGACATTTCTATTCTATTCTTCCATGTTTTTGATTGTTCTTCTCGTATTCTTCCAATCATTTGACTTGTAGGTAATTCAAGCATTAACAATGCCGCTCTTCCCTCTTCCGCCCTTGACCTCTCATGTAATTCCCGTAAATCTTTTATGGATTAGTCGGATAAGATTGGTAAGTGTACCTTTTTAGTTAATGATCCTCAATGCATGTGCATGTATGTACTGTAACTAGTGTAACCTTCCTTACTCTTCAAATTATACCACTCATCAGATACTGCATATCATCGGGATTCTTTTGTTCCTGGTGGCTCAGGGTTTATCCTACCGAGTAAAGCCTCGTATTCTCTATCAATACCCGTAAAAATCCCGCGGGTCCTCCAAGGACGCATTTCCTAAATGAGATGGGCAATTGAATGGTTTGTGTTGTGGGGAGCTTTGCCTTAAGATTATCGTCTTTTCCTTTTCCTTTTGTTTTGATCTTTTGATTCTTCTCTCCTTCTGTTCCTTATCCCTTTTCAGTCGATTAGAAGATCATTGCGACTGCTTTACGTCTTTAATACAACTCAGTCACTCGTTCTGTTTGTATTATACGCAGCGTACTTGTTTTTTTGAGTAGCTCCTCTTACTCAGTACATTCGTTTGTCACGCATTCGTTTACCCTCGATATTTCTTACAGAACATCTTCATCATGAAGTACTCACTCATTCCATTCGTTCCTATTTTCGCGGGTTTATCCCAAGCAGCTTCTAGTGATGATTGGGCTTCAAGATCAATCTATCAAATCATCACAGATAGATATCATCGTTCATCTACTTCAGATGCCCCTTGTAATATCACGAATTATTGTGGAGGTACATGGAATGGTATCACGGAGAATTTGGATTATATTCAGGATATGGGATTTACAGCTATTCAAATTAGTCCAGTCAATTTGAATATTAACAGTACCACGATTTACGGACAAGCTTTTCATGGATATTGGCAAACTGTAGGTGCTCTCCTGCAACTTTCTACTTGCATTCAATTGGCTTGAGGAAATGGCATTGAAATGTTCTAACACTCACTACAGTCCCTCTACGATCTCAATCCAAATTTCGGATCAGCAGATGATTTAAAGAAATTGAGTGCAGAACTCCACAAGAGAGATATGTATCTCCTAGTCGATGTTGTTGCTAGTGAGATGGCAGTTGACATTGGAAATCATAACATGACAGCAGATACGAAAATTGATTACTCTGTCTTTGCTCCAGCTCCATTCAACGATGAGGCATCTTATAATCCATATTGTCCAATTATCGACTGGCAAAACAAGACAGAATATCAAAACTGCTGGCTAGGTTACACCGGTGTTGCAACTCCTGATATTAAAACTCAAAATGCAACTGTCGCTGCCGCACTTGGATCCTGGATTAAAGAACTCGTCGCGAATTACTCTATTGATGGAATTCGTGTTGATGGCGCTAAACAAATTACTTACGATTTCTTCCAACCATTTGTTGAAGCTTCTGGTATATTTCCTTTGGGTGAAGTAGAGGATGGTGATCCAGCCTTCACTTGCAATTATCAACAATATACTGAGGGATTGGAAAATTATCCAATCTATTACACCATCATTCAAGCTTTCACTGCAGGAAACATGGCAGGATTGGTGTCTATGATTGACAGTATGAGAACTGCTTGCACGTCTACACAATATCTTGCAAACTTCATTGAGAATCAAGATCAACCACGTTTTGCATCATACAATGATGATGAGACTGTAGGGTTTCCTCTTCTGAATTAAAATTTGTTTTATCTGAATACTAACAATATCAATAGCTCGCAGCAAATGCTATGGCCTTTAGTATTCTCGCTGATGGTATTCCAAAATACTACTACGGACAAGAACAACATCTCACTGGTAACTACTCCCCATACAATCGTCAAGCTCTTTGGGAAAACAACCCCAGCACAACATCCAACCTTTACACTTTAACAACCACCCTCAACACCATTCGAAACCATGCCATCTCAGTAAACTCCGACTACATCAGCAACAACTCCGTTCTCTTATACACCGACGGCTCTACCTACGCAGCTAGAAAAGGAGCCAACGGCGCTCACATCGTCTCCGTCCTCAGCAACCAAGGCTCAAACGGAGGAGCCTACACCTTAAACATTGACAAAGCCGCCGACCCCGGAACCAATTTAACCGAAATCGTCACCTGTACCAGCTACCTTACAAGTAGCAAAGGAACTGTCGCTTTGAAGATGGATAAGGGAGCACCTAGAGTTCTCTTCCCCACGGCTAAAATGGATGGTACGGGTATTTGTGGATTTGCAAAGGATAAGAGTGCGGGAACGGGAACGGGATCGGCGTCCGGTTCGTCGAGTGCCACGGGTTCCGCGACGGGTTCGGCGGCTAGTGCGACGAGTTCGAAGAAGGGTGCTGCGGTGGGATTGAGAGTTGGTGTTAGTGGGTGGGTTCTTGGGGGTTTGGGTTTGATGGGTTGGGTTTTGTTGTAGGTGGTTGATGGTCGTTTGATGGTGGGTTGGTGAAGTGGGGATGGAGTTTGTTTGGTGGTTGCTGGTAATAATAAGAATACTTTATTTCTCATGTGTAGATATCTATTGGTTGCTTTCGATAGAGTATGTGTTGGTCGAATGGATTGGATTGGAATGTCATGATTGATTGATTGATTAATTGATTGATTAATTGATTGATTAATTGATTGATTGACTAGATGTAAGAGTAGAGTTTAAAGTAAGAAAAAATAAGTGAAGTCAGATTAGGAAAATAAAAAGAAGAAGATAAAAACCCGGCTTTAATTTATTGGTTTAGGGGAATAAATGTATTGTATTGTATTGTATTGTATTGTATTGTATTGTATTGTATTGTATTGTATTGTATTGTATTGTATTGTATTGTATTGTATTGTATTGTATTGTATTGTATTGTATTGTATTGTATTGTAGTATTCTATTTGGTATTTAACCTTGTATTTAGTTTTGTATTTTTGTAAGGAGAGCCTATGTGTATATAGGTATAGGTATAGGTATAGTGTTACGAGGTTTGCCGTCTAGATCATGTGGAAGTGCTCTAGGCTCTCGAGGTGGTTTATAACTAGGCGTCAAGCAGGGACTTAAAGTAATGACAATAATGCAATTCGTAACTAGTAGTAGAGTATACTAAATGATTGATCTTGAGCACGAAGCTCTATACAAAGGAAATCCATCTTGATTATATAGACCTTCGTGCCTCCTTAAAAACCGATGGCTATAAGCCTGACAATTCGATCACCACAAAGCCAATCTCGATTTGTCGGTTTCTTGATCATGTGATTAAGGACGTGACCTATGTTACTGTCCAACGTAACACATTATTATATTTCAATCAAAACTTTATATTTTACTTTCTTTATTAATAATCTTATATTTATTTTTATTAAAAATCAATTAAAAATATTTATTTTTAATTTTAAAAATCATTTTATTAATTTAAATCCATTATTATATAAGATCTGTGTTACGACGGGTAACATATTTCCGTATCACATGACTAATCACAGGATCAGAGCGATCATGTGACCGGCTCTAATCAATCTAGTTAAAGCCACTAGAGCCAGAACACGAAGGTCTATATATGTCACGATTCACCATTAGGATTATGGTGTTACGATGGTAGCAAACTGATTAATTAGGAGAGCTTAGGCCTTGTGCAAACACGATCAGATTTCATCGAATTAGTATGTGATCTTGGTCACCTGAAGATCGTATGCGCAAGCACCATCAGAAATCACGTGATAAGGAGTCTTGAGGAGCCAGAAAGCTCCTAGGGGCTCCCTTTATCGTTCATTATATAATCAGACTAGTTTCATAGTTTAGGAGCTTCGTGCTCAATTTAGTTGTCAATTAGTTTACCTACATTCTACTTGATCTAGTAACGAATTCACTTTCAAGTGAATACCAATGATAAAGCCTTAACCTGTGACGCCTCACACCTTCGGGTCACGTGGCATGCCCCGTTTGTATTTAATCACAAGAAAACTCGCTACTCTTGTTTTCCTTCTTCTTTTCTCCTTAGCTTAGTATTTTCTAATACAAGATACTCTACCCAGTATTCTTGAGTGTGACATAACCCATAACTACCAACCGATGAACCTTAGGCAGCCGCTGCCTTTAGTACAGTATCGTTACACATTATTTGTTATTATTTAAGTCCCTGCTTAACGCCTAATTATAAATTATCTCAAGAGTCTAAAGCACTTTTACATAATCTATTAAAAGGAATAACTTTATATAAAGAATAATAAAAAACTAATAAGGTAGAATTAAGACTATATTAGTTTAATATATTAATTATTTATTATTTAAGTTTTAGTGAAGTGTGAAACTCTTCTATAGAAAGCTTCTTAATCTAGTCCTAATAGGACTAATACTCTATGCACATGTTACACAGAAACCATTCACTTTAACATTATATTATATTATATTATATTATATTATATTATATTATATTATATTATATTATATTATATTATATTATATTATATTATATTATATTATATTATATTATATTATATTATATTATATTATATTATATTATATTATATTATATTATATTATATTATATTATATTATATTATATTATATTATATTATATTATATTATATTATATTATATTATATTATATTATATTATATTATATTATATTATATTATATTATATTATTCGATGGTAAAATCTCGAGTTTTCTATCATAGATCACTATTCCATACTTTTAAATCTCTCAATATCAGATAAATGAAAACTTCCCCCGCTACATTCTATAGGAAATATAAACTAATTCTAGCATTCTACTTTTGGAATTACCCCGCTTTTGGATCCCAATCTCTCTTTTTATCATAAACGCAATCATATTTTCTTAGATTCTTTTTCATAGTGCATTCACTCTTTGAATGAACTAAAGTCACAAAAGCATGAACAAATCATCCTACTCATCAGATCAAAAATACAATTCACTCTAAGCCCCTCAGCTGCCCCGCACATAGCAGACCCCGGCACAAGCTTTAGCTCAGCCCTCTTCCTATTATAAAAAGGCCCCTTGGGAGAGGAGGGGAGACCTTGCTCTACACCCCATCAGTTGTTGTGGGCCTTTCTGCTCATCCTCAGCTGTTTGCCAATTGGAGAACACAAGTGAAAACTGTCAGTTACTCGTTGGATTCATTAGGTATATTTGATATCATCCAGGCTCAAAATTTTGCGACGACATTCAATTTTTGTTGTTGTTTGGGATTTTATTGTCGTTTGTAATGATTTCTATTATAGGATGATGTAAGATGCTAGTGTAGATAGCTTCTGGTTGTGGATAATATATGTATGTGAGGAAAATGTTTTAAGGGAAAGAAGTTCTGATGCTTGTAAACTTGAACGTATAGTATGAAGAGAAAAAGCTGTAGCGGGGCGATGAGTGGCTCTTTATAGATACGGAGCATATCCAGTTCCTGGGACCTAGAGATTTATGGTCACGTATCCTGGTAATACATTTTTGACAGTTCATGCAATTTCCCTCGTCATTTACTACTCACCGGCACATCTCTCCCTACTTCCATTCGCAATAAATTATATCCACTTCTTCCAACCCCGGGACTTCGTGCTCATCCATAAAATACGCGATTCCCATCCACCTGGGAATAGCACAAACTATTTAAGAGATAGACTTGAGAAAAGAAGTCAAGGGTCCAGTCTGGAGATACTGGGCGTGGTGTCTGACATAAGTCCAAGTTCTGCAGGGGAGTGTGTAAATCTATGGTTGTGTATGGATCCAAGAGATGAGCAGCTTGTTTGTAGATTATATGCGTTGATACTGAAATAAGGGATGAGGGATAATGTGATGGTAGTGACAAGATTATCAGATTATGAGATATTCTCGGACAAGGGATAGTGGATTGCTTTTATCTTCGTATTTGGAGCTTACTGTCACATACTGTTCTCACTACAAATCCTATTATCAAAAATATCCTAACAGAAGGATCTAGATTCCAGAATTCTATCAACTTGAGTCATCAACTAGGTGCCGACATAACAAATGAGAGTTGGACTCGGGACAACACCCTTATTCTGCTTCCCAGCAAGTGTTCACTTCTATTCAAAAAAAGAATTTACAGCTATAAAAAATCTCTCTTTTATACACGGCATCTCTCTTCCAGGCTTAAATGAACAATAAACAAATATCTTTACAGATAGAGGTATCCACACGAAACTCCCCACTCTCGAATCAGTACACTAGGTAGTTAAATACCGATCCAAACTCATTTAGTTCCTATGAAAAGACTCCCACTGATCCTGTAAAGAAACAAAGGAACCTTGAAAACATGCGTAGCGAACGAGCAGGAGCAAAAGCAAATCCATTGGAGTTGCAGTCTTTGGAAATTGAGAATCAAGAGTCGAGTCAGATATGAAAGAATTTTGATTGTTGATTATGTGTTAGGTTCTTGATTGTTATTTATAGATATGAATTGGCTCTTTATTGTTATCAGTAATTTAGTTATAGTTGATTATAACAGTGTTCGAGACACAAAGGTATAGAACTAGGCGGGAGTAATGCGAAAGACGTATATATTGAAAACCATAGTCCTACCGTAGCGATGATCATGAGACTCCCCATGATTTTCATTGATTTCGATGTAAGTCATTGATGAACAACCTTGAGGCTTCCGAGGTAGATCTTTATAGCCTCAGAAAGTACACTGCACTTTCAGTAGGCAAGAATTCACTCTCATACTTTGCATATTCACGCAGCAAAAGGTTATTTCTCCCGCGTTAGGAAGTCAGAAATGTTCAAAATCCTAGCTTACTAATCTTATATTGTACAGCATTGTACAGCTCATTTCGAACTTTGAGTTCTTTTTTTGCCTTTATAAATAATACGCCCAAATCAATCTACAATTGTATAGTTTCTTTCAATGTAAACTGATTCGAAAAAGAAATTGGTAAATTAATTGAAGCCCCATCGCTTGGTGAAATCTTTAGATTGACTGGAATCTTGAAAGTGGATTTCATATTTCTTGAGATGATGAGAAGAAAATGAACAGGTTTGTGGAGATGGATTGGGAGCATGATGATGAAGGAGCCTTACGAATGATGATAAAAGAGAAGCGGTGATGATAATTGTAATTACAATAGTAACAATCAAAAACCACAGAATTCATCATCAACCCTCATAAAACCACCACCTCAAGAAATGAAATATATGCCACAAGCAGTATAAAAAAAAGCGAACTCAAAACGATAACGGTGATTCACTCGCGTACGATAATTTGTACTATACATCTACACAGAGCATCTGAAGGCGTTCCACAGTAGTTTTGCATGAATAATCGAGTGAAGGGAAAGAGGTTGTGTTGAGTGGGATTAATAGTTCGTGCTCTCCGGAGGTTGATGGAAAGATGGATTGATGCCTAGGTAGAGTGGCTGAATGAAAAGTGAATTAGGTGATTTCTTTGAATCCGTAGATGATTCTTATTCTGTGCGGGCCCCACTTGAGGTAGAAGGATGTATTGTACGGCTTAAATGTGAATGTTTAGGAGTGAGCCTATTACAAACACAACAGTGGAGAGAGCTAAAGAGTTTGTAAGTTATTTTGTTCATTAGGTAACCAAAGATGGGCCATTATTTCCATCCACCATCTACGTTTCGCTGATCCTTATTATCGTATGACCCAAGTAACCAACTGGTCTATGTATACCCAGATTATCTATTTGACCCCCGCACATATACAACCCCGTCCCTTCCTTACATCCTCCTAGGAATCATCCCAACCTGCACTCCCTTCGCACTACAAGCAGTAAGCGCAAACTGTTCCTTCCACTCCGTCCCATCCCTATCCAGAATTCTGTCAAACTCCTGCAACAACCTGATAATCGTATAACTTGCTTCCGCCAAAGCAAACTGCTGACCAACACAAATTCGAGGTCCTCCGTTAAATGGAAGATATCCCCAACCAGGCCGTAAACCTTCTTCGGGGGCCCAACGCTCTGGGCGGAATTCCTCGGCATCGGGTCCGAAAATATCAGTTCGACGGTGCATACTGTAGGTTGACCATGCGACGGCGGAACCTTTGGGGATAAATATGGGGGATGTGCGATCTGGACCTCCACCAACAGGAAGAACGGTGTCTCGGCGAGAGAAGCGGGCATTGGATGGAACCACAGGGTAGAGGCGGAGTGCTTTGAGACCGGTTGTTAGGCTGGCCATGATAGATGAACTGAGAGATAGACACTTACATTCGTTCAAAACATATTTTATATATTTCATACCTTTCATTGTCTCATAGTCCGGTCTTTCCCCATGTAATTCATCGACCTCTGCCTTCAACTTCTCCCAAATATCTGGTCTGCGAGCGAGAATATGGAACGTGTTGCTGAGTAAACTTGCGGTTGTATCTCGTCCAGCGAGTAAAATATTCAGTAATTCATCTCGAAGTTGTTTAGGATCTCTCGATGCTTTGACCATTTCCGTAAGAAAAACATATCTTCCTGGCCCATGACCTTCAACAGCCTTTTCTTCTTTCGCATCAATCTTAGATAGAGCTTCGTAAACTATTTTGTCGACAAAGGAGTGCACAGTTTTGCACGCTTCATCGAACTCGGAATCGCACATCCAATTTGATAATTTACCCATTGTAAATCGCACTTCCAGTTTGATTTGGCCGAGATCAAAAGCTGCGCCAAACTTTTGTTGTTCTGAGCCTTCGATACTGGTAAGTGAATGTACTGATTTTCCAAATAAAAACTCAGTAGCTGTATCAAGAGTCAATTTGAAGAATAATGACTGAAGATCGAATGTGGATCCATCTCGAGGTATTTGTGAGAGGAGAACTTGAATGTGTTTCTCAAAGATGTTAAGATCTGCCACTTGGGATTTGTTGAAATTTGGTCTAACCAATGCCTATAGTATATTAGTATTTTAATTATCTGGATAGAAACTTCCAGATCATACTCTTGAATGTTCCCACTGTGCCCCATCTATACAGGGAGTCAGTTCAAATTCCTAAAATGTGATCATTACATGACGAACCAGTAGTAAAAATCCCGTCGCCAAGTAGGGGTGAGAAAGCACCCCGCCTTGCCCCTAAATCATAATCTTTGAAATTGACTGCAAGTAAGGTCTTGAGATTCTCTGGCTCGATTGTATTGAAAAAATCAAATCCCATCATTGACAATACATAAGTATTCCCATTTTCCTTGTACCTATCATAACCTGCTTTCAACCTTCTCTTCTCCTTCGCACTTTTGACTTGAAATTTGTACATGTCCCATCCTATAATGCGTTCACGTTGAGGGAGTTTGTGAACTGGCTTGCAACAATGTGCTTTCTGAAATCTTCTGGCGGACACATGGTTCGTGATTTTGTGGACAAGGAAAGCCGCGACGATGAGAATGAAGGAGAGGCCATAGTAGGCCATTTCATAAGGAATCCGAGGAGAAGTTACGAAGGTGGGATCGGGCTTGAGATGGAAAAGAAATAGATAGCGGGTTCCCGATATTTAAATGAAGAATCAGAATCAGTAGCTTGGGCAGAACATTAAGATAAGCGTTTGAGGGGGCTGACTTGTTAGAACAGCTGAAATTGCGGGGGCTGATTATGATTGGATTTTATTGTACGGTTTCGTACCTAAGAACCATACATTTTCAACACAGCCTTGAAGAGGAAGGCAAGAATTGAATGAATTGTATATCCAATAAAGATTTGATGTCAATTTTCTCATTTCCTGTTTGATTGACCCACAAGACGTTTTCTTTCAATATGCCTGAATGCCGATTCGTTCAAGAACGAGAGGTAACCATGATCATATACGGAGTAGTATGATATAGATCATGGGTCGAAGTAATCCTAGTTTTGGTGGAAATGGTCCACAAGCGGCGAATCGTTAACCTTCATGGCTCGACCCATAGAAGGATTTGAAGAATGGATTATGGTAACATTGAAGAATTCCAAACTAATCGCACGGAAATTATTTTGTGTATCAGATCTCATCAATCATCCTATTTGGCTTACCTGAATCTCTATTGTACGACCATGTTCAACATCTCCCATGCACATTTCATTCCTGATCTTCCTATCGGGAACTATGGGATATCGTTTCATCCCATTTTGATTTTGTAGCAAAGAATCCCATCTCCGGCGTCACTGCATTGGTCCATGGGTATGCCTCCGTCATTCTCCGTAGTGGGAATTCCATGCACTGTTCATAAGCTGGCGCCATCGAATTTATTCCCATCTCTGCTGTTGTAAGATCTCTGTCGTTTGTTTGGTCAAGTTACGAGGTTATACAAAATTACCTCGGTTGCTGACTAACTAGTTTTGAATTTCTTATTCATGAAATTTGCATTTCATTTACTTCGGCTCCCTGACAAGAAAAAAGAACGATGTGAACAATATCTGAAATCTGCTTGGTTGTTTGTACGAGAAATTGCATTTTTACAACCTCCACACGGAGTAGATATACGTTTCTAGACCGCATAATCCCTTAATACTGATATATCCATTTGCCCGCATGTCTTTCCTATCACTGCGTAGAGGTCAATTATGCGACTGGATACAGTACGAGCTCTTAATGGTTTGTTGGTGGCGATGAGGGTTTCTTCAGCAGTGTTGTATACAACTTCATCCCCCTTTGACGAATGATATGAGAGTTTTCATAATATCTGATTTTTCCATATTTTTTGAGAGATCTTAATTCGATTTATTACGCCAGAAATGTTGCACTTGCAATTTGCCTCTGTGGATTGATTCGATTCAGCACCGACCGAGTAGACTTCCAAGGCTTGTTTCCCCTTTCTTGTTGGCCTCCCAAAATTCCGAACTTCAATCATCACAGGAAAACCTGGGTTCCTGCTGAGAATGCGATCCTCTTCAGCATATTATCTTCCGGGCAAGGTTCGAGAGCGGTCGAACTTTTTGCATGTGGGAAATTGAGGCAAAGTTGCTTCTTATATATGCAAACTTTTCTTTTTTTTAAACTATCTGCAGTGTCCTATTTGGGCGGTTTTCAGCCTTCCATTTCTAGTGTATCATAATCACAAGGTCTGGGTCGTTGTCAGTAGCATATCAAATGGAGGACAAAAATTGATGCATTGGGATTTCCAAAATGCATCGCTTACCTTCATTATGGAGATACTGTCGGCTCCATTCCTTTCTAGATGCTCCTGGATTTCTGATTACATTCTCGGATAATTGCTCAATCGGGTTTCAAAAACGGTCAATTACTCGGGAGATCTCTCGAGACATTTCGAATCACGGCTGATGTTCATTGTACGATACTGAGAGGACCGGATTTACAGGTACGACAGGTGAGCCGAGACCATCAATATGGCTAAGACACGCAAGCGTGGAATGGAATGCACACTTTGACAAAGTAGGGAGTAGAAGGGATTGAAACGCAATCGCGAAATTTAAGATGGGATACAAAGATGCAATGACTCTTCTCTGACTGTCCTTCGAGTCACAGAACTGTCAGAGATAGCATCAAGCTGCGTTCATTCTTGAGATGTTATTGTCTTCTTTCATTGTGCGACTTGAAATGCAGCAGGTCGACGATTAAGGAAGGACATGCTTTAATGAAGATTTGAGTCAAGGGATTACAGTTCACAACATCATAACCAATCAGACAACGTTTTAATATTAAGCTAGTGGAGAACTTTTAGCGCTTACGCTGCTTACATAACACAATCATCGTCTACAAAGACCCAACCTCATTCTCCCATTTCTTGATTTCCTTTCTGTTCAACAACGCAAACAATTATCTTTCGATAATACAGAAATATCACCCACGGGTCGCAAGGGCCCGTAGAAAACTATACAACAATGTCGGTCACCGCTACTACAACAGCAGGAGCCGGACGTCAATCCACCTTCAAATACTTCCAACCACAGCATACCGACAACTAGTTCTACGAGTAGTTTTCATGATATTCAAAGTCCTCTTCACTGGGATCAGAATTCTACTCAATTATTCCATGATTACAGTTTCGGTTTCGGTGTAAATGCACATTGTCCTGTTTCTTCGGCACCAGATTCATTGTTTTCCTTTGATGCATTTGCACTTCCAGTTTCACAAGCACCTTTCCAGAATTCCCCTGATTGGTGGTTGCCAGAAACCGATTCTTGCCAATTTCTTACATGGAATGATCCGTCAATGAGAGAGGATATCTCACTTGAGTCTTCTTTCTCCATCGCTGCTGGTACTTCTCTTGGTAATGACAATTTCCTGGGTCAATCGGATGTTGGATCCGTTGACAATTCGTCTCAATCCCATTCATTTCTCGATAATCAAACTCATCGAGGCAAGTCTTCAATCCATATTTCTTATTATTTATTTTCATATACTAACATGCCCTCCTCTAGCAATATCCACTGATCAATCTTCCCCTCCTTCTCCCAATCCTAAATCAACAACTTCACAAACTCACTCATCTCCCCCCTCACCTCCCTCTCCCAGTACACAAACTCCAAAAGGCTCTTCAACCACCATGTCACGAGTCGAAAAACGTAAATTAAATACGATGGCCGCTCGTCGATATCGACAAAAACGCGTTGATCAAATGAGTAGCCTCGAAGCTGCCCTCAGAGAAGTCGAACGTGAGCGAGATGCTTTGAAAGTACGTGTTGCAAAGTTGGAAGGCGAGACGGATATTTTGAAATCATTGTTGAGTAAGAAGGATTAAGATAGGATGGGTGGATTTGTTTCGTTGGTGTTGCATCCGGTGGTTTGGTTATCGATCCTTGAATTGAATTGTCATTTACCATTTACATTGCAATTATGATGAGTTTAATGTGAAAGGCATAAGTGAGACTTTCAGACGATGTCGGTTCGATAGTTCATTGACCAGCAGAAGTGGCCACTCATATCGGCAAAAAAAGGTTGTAATCTTGGTCTCGAGTGTAGTGTTTGGAATAGTTTTGGAGTACTTACATCTCGTTTTCATATATTGCTCCGTTTCATTTCAATGCGAAAATTCATGTTCTCAAATTATTCTGATATAATTAGCATTACCATCGCGTTATCTATCTCTATATACTATTCATACTATCCATATTACATTCTCTCGAGCTGGAAATATCTCTATGGGAAATTTCCCATCACTATTCCTCAACATGAGTCGAAATGAATATGCGCTCGCCGATACGATGTACATGATCCACATCATATGTTCAATTCTAAATTCCTCATGCTAATCCCTTATTCACGAGGATATCTATTTCACAAAAGAATTTGTACTCGAGGGGAGATAGGTTGTGTTATCCTATCCAAAATGTCTACTCTTAAATAATTTATCATCCTCATCCCCATCGTCGCCTCACCCATCTTCCCAATTCCTTCATACCTATCCACAGAGATCCAACTCATACCCATCCCACATTCTTCGCTCACACACACACTCCCCTTACAATTTTCCACTCATTTCCCTTTTCCTTTCCTCTCATTTCCCCTTCTCCATCCCAATCCCCCGATACTACACACACCGCACCATCCACAAAAATCTCACAATCTGATTGGTGTAATCTAGCTGCAGTGTGGGTGATACATAAAGAGCCATTATGAGTCATAATTGCTCATTGTCACGTGGTTGTCTAAAAATAAGGTGGATGGATGGTCTGAGCGTTGTGGGGTCGGGAGTGAGATTGCCAAATTTGGGGGGTTTTGTGATGATTTGATGGGTGAGCGGGCGAGTGGTGCGAGTATGGAGGAATGGTGGGGATGTGAAATTTATTGACGAGTGAGGGGTTAGGGGGTGTATTCCTGGGGGTTGAAGTATGCGCTACAAAGGTTCGAGATTAAGTGCAAGCGCAACCAAATGGATGGTTGATCGCAATCGGTAATGGATTGACTCAATGAGAATGAATTCAAGAGTTAGATAAGTAGTCTCATAGAATAATCCTAGGAGTAAACAACTCGTGATAGAATGTGGCGATTACATCCGAGGCTTTATCATTTGCATACATGAATAGGAGAAGCGATAGGGAAATCAGGGGTATTTTTCTTTTTGAGAAGTCTTAAAGCGGGGGTTTGTATCTCGATTTTGTTTGAATTCTTATTGTTGTTAAATTCATTTCGTTTTCAGAACTCTTATTTATTTATTTATTTAGTTAGTTAGTAGTATCATTGATCGTTAAATATTTTATACCCCATTATTCTGTTCATCTCAGAACATTCCATCCTCATTTCACCATCCATTTCCGAACATTCAACCCATCATTATCTCATTCATCCCCAAACACTCGGGCTGAGTGTCTCATCTACAGCAAAACAATAGAGCCCTATTGTCTCAATCAATTTTGCATATAAATCCTTATTATCACACAATGTCCAGAACATAGAACTAGTTACGTTCTCACTTGAACAATGAAGTTCCGTTCTTGCACTCATCTTTGCAGCTCCATTATCCTATTCATAGTCGAGAAAGTAAACTCTTATTTAAAAGTAGCGTTAGATTTTATCGCTTAAATATTCAGGGGTTGTATAGTATAGCTCGATTATGCTACAATGATCGATGTTGGGCATATTTCAGAGATCAAGGGGAGGTTTTCTTCATAGGGTAATCGCCCTTCTATATCTGTAAAGAGTGAGGTATATACTCTATACATATATACTGAGCATGGGTTAGCTCGCGGGTATGAGAACGTGAAGTTATGCCTTACTTAAGACTCCGTATATAGGATGATTACATGAGATGGTACAAGAGATGATTATACAAGATTGTCATAGCACGAGGTGATTATTTGAGATGACCATCTGGGACGATATCATAGGATTGTCACATGATATTCGAGAATGGTAATAAATTGATGAAAATGATAATCCTATGTATTATTTGTTTAATCTCTACCAGTCATAGAGATTTGAGGACATGTATGGATATACTTGTCAACTTTTAGTGTTGGATTTGTTATTTGCTCGTTATCTAAGGGTTTTTCATAGGCATGTGAGCAATACGTATGAGGATATATATTCATCAAGAATTAATATCAAAATCACGAATCTCTGTATCACTGTCTACCAATGAATCGCCTATGCATACCCTTTCCTCCACCGAAATGATAAGATTATGTATCATTCATGCATTCCTAACAGTCACCAATGGATATGAGGAACACATATGGATATGTTCATCAAACCTTAATGCCGAAATTATAAACCTCTGACTCTGTCTATGAATAAATTACCCATCTCTACCGTTTCATTCATTGAATTGATCTTACTATGTATCGTTCCTAAATTTTCTAATAGTCAGTAGTAGGAATATGAGGAACACATATGAATATGCTCATCAAGAATTAAAAACGAAATGAAAAATCTCTGACTGTGTGCAAGAAGAGAACGCCTATATAAGAGATTCCCTTCCCCCTTCATTCCCCTTTTCTTTCCTTCTCTTCATCATCACAAAAACCTCGAATCAAAAGCATAACATCGAGATAGTATTTTCAACCATTTCACCAACACAGTGTCAAGATGGCAAGTTCGCTATCCACTGCACTTCACGCTTAAACAATTACATCAACTATCCCGAGGCACTATTTGGGCATGTGTGTTCTATACACAGTTAGCTGCATTTGTTAATATCGAATAGGTGTCAACGAGCAAGAGATATTGACAAGCAAACTACCGAATCTTGGTTTCATTGAGACCACCACTTCAAGACACATCTGTCGACTGTCAAAGAGCCAATTCCCATAACTCGGCGACCAACCAGCTAGCGGAGGAATGTCGAATCAAAACATTAAGCATCAAGGAAAGATGGAGGGCCTTACGAGAAGACAGAAGTTACTACAAGTTCGAATAGATTTGAAGGATAAAGAAGCAGAAGGCACATGGGACGCATGGGATATGAAAAGCAAACGGGAGGAAACAGATGAAGCCCTCAAAGCCTGGAAGCTCCAACAAGAGGAAGATGTTGATAAAGGCGAAGTATCAGATAGGAACCGGGAACAAGCTGAGGCCGTCAATGGAAAATGGGCTTATCGTAGAAAAGAAAGCGACAAGTTCAATAGACTCGCGAAAAAATGGACACGAAGCTGGAGAGGTAGAAAGGGGCGATAGAAAGGAACGCAGAATGGAAATACTCGAAAAGTGTTGGAATGCGGAGGTAGAAGAGAAAGCGGAAGGACACAAAAAGCTTGAAGATCAGGATCCTGAAAACGGTAATCTGGTTAAGGTGAATCGTGCTATCCTTGAAGATCACAAAATACACTGTATGCCGAACAGGCGTTGCCCTACACGTGCAAGAAGGGCAAAATGCCAGGACTGCATCAATGATAATAACGAGGGAATTTTTATTCCATAGATTCTCTCGAATCAGGATCTAAGGACATTAAACTTCATGTTATTGGAATTACAGATCCCATGAGGGGATAGATATTTGGAAATTATATGCGTTGATATTCAATCTGGGACTGAGAATGATTACCGAAATTCCGTGACATGAAAGTGATTATATGACGAATAAACCATAAATGTTACAGCCTAACTAGAAAAAAAAAAAAGAAATATGGTTTTAGAATTTATATGAAGCGTGGGAGGTTCAAAAAGTGAGCTTCTTCTACCATAATTGATATGAGTACGCCATTGGTTTCTTTATTTTACTCCTTACATGATCACAAATCTGTGTTGACTCATATTTTCTTGCTTGTTCACATCGAGATCGCAGTAACTAACTTCGATCTACACACGTAGATCGATTCAACTTTAGGTACCTCTTATGATTATTCATATTCACCCGATTCTACATATCAGAAGCCTAACCACTTAACCCCTCTCACCCAACCCCCCCTTTTTTGTCGCCGAGCACTTAAGCTCAGACGCTCCAACGTGAAACTCAAAACTCCAGAAATCTTAACAACAAGGGAAGAGATATCCATAAATATATTCTAACTTAATAGTTTTTTCTACATAGAAAACGCAAAGACATCTCGATGACCGCAGTCAACACCAACCCGACAAAATCTTTCAAATAACAAAAACAGCTCCATACAGTGCACTATAGCCGACAGACTCCAGGTTATTCCAGCGTCTTGAATTATTGAAATCAAGTTCTCAATGCAGGTCTCGCAATTCCCAGTATACATGCGTGAGAGGAGATCGAGAGCGAGCCTCTAGGGGTAAAGGAAAGAGACGAGCCAAAAAGAATCAGTGACGCAGAAGGAAATGGGGAGAAAAGAAAGGATTAAACAAACCGCGAGATATGAGAGACGCATGCATACATGGTGTATGATAGGGAAGCGGGGAGTAATACTCTAAAATGACGAATGAAAGGCGACAGACGAAAAATGAAAGAAGATAGGCGAAAATAGGCGAGGATAGACGAAGATATCACACGATCACTCTAGAACAGAATCGTAGTGCAAGCAGTGAAGCGGAGCAGTGAATATACTACATGATCACACCATGACAGAAGAGCGGCACGTTCAGTTTTGGAACTTTAAGAAATGAGAATCTGAAAAGCTAAAATCGAAGTTTCATTCAAAGCAAAGCAAACGAGTATTGAAGCAGAAGCACAAAAAAAAGGGGTTTAGAACTAGAGAAGGACTTTGAGTTGGGATGAAATGAGGAGGAGAATTGTTGCTTACAAGAATCGACAGGAATGTAATAAGGATGGGAAGGAATAAGACGGGGAAGGAATGAAGAGTTTGTGGTTTTGGGATTGGTCTTGTAATTGGTTGATGGATGAATGGACGGTGTATGTGTATATATTTGGGAGGGAGAGAGGCAGAATGGTGCAGAGGGGAAGAGGTGGGGGAGGTGGGGAGGAGGATCGATGTGCGACAAATGCTAAGATACATATTGAGAAACGTATGCCATTTAGAAGCCTACTAAGGCGTGGAGGGTCATGTGCGAGGATTGTCAGTATGATTCTAGACTTGAATTACTGGCAAAGGAGGAAGAGAAGTGTCGACTTAGGGCTGCTTGTTAAGGAAGATGGAAAGACGTAGGTTTATTGAGGTTTTGGGAAGCTGGAACTACGGAAAGTCGGAGATTATTGTGTATGTTAATTTGATAGTGGGGCGGAACTTCTTCATAAGTCTGGTTTTCAAGAATATAAGTTCTCTAGGTAAGGTCGCTTGACCTCACCTCGTGCCTTCCTCTACTCTTTCCAATCCTCTTCCTACCATTTTCGCTCCTTCTTTCTACTTCCATCATATATGTATATCTCTGAATCCCATCCTCACTCATAAACATAAAAATATCCAACATCAAACATCAAATAATCTACATAACAAGAAACATTTCTACACTCTCGTTTTACATCACTTTTCAAATAATATTTGCAAACTTTTCGATAAATTCTTAAGCATCCACATATCAGTACCAAGAAAGTCTACACGACCTATCCTTAACCCTCTGCCGAACGCTATTAGACGTTCTTCTTTCCGCCCAGCTCAAATCGAGTCTCCTTGAACACTTTTAAGCAACCAAACCACTAGCACAAGGCAGGCCACGCCAACACAATCCGAAAACAGACAAAGCACTTCTTCGAATCAAGATACCATTCCTTGACTACTGCAAACTAATCATGGTCTATCATAAACGTAGCAAGTCTAGTGGTAATGCTCAGCAGCCCAATGTAGGGTCGAATTCGAAATCTGCGGAAGAAGAGGGTCTATCCTCTTTTGCATCTGAATTAACCCGAAGGTTAGATGAACTTATCACAGAGAGCGATGAAGAAGACTTAGAAGAGGATGACTCAGAGAAACGTGAACTCAGACGCCAGAGACGTATGAAAGTACGAGAGGGAATGGAAACAACGCGAGGAGCATGGGATACGGAAAGAGATGAATTGGCGATGTACGCAGACGCTCTACAATATACGGAAGCTGCCAGAGTTTGGATTCAGGAGAGAAAAAAGGAGGAACTGAGGACCGAAAAGGAGGAAGGTAAGAGTTTGGATAAGACATCAGCGGCGAGCAAAGAGAGGAAGGAAAAAGAATTGAAGGAGCTGGGGAATACCTTTGTGAAGAAGATCACGAAAATACAGAGCCGCAAATTGATCAGAAAAACTCTCCGTGAGGAATTAGAGGCTTACGCAATGGTAAAGGCAGCCAATTCCAAACGGGTGAGAGACGCTAAAGCGGAAGTGGATGAAACGAAGCTGAAAGAAATTGCAATAAAATTTAAAATGATGCGATTATGGCAGAATGAGGTGGAAAGATGGGGAGAGGAGCTTGAGATTCCAACCCTTGCACATAAATCCAAGCACTCGCCGGCTGATTTCTCAGCTGATGACGCAGAGTATCTGAGAACTTCTCTAGAAAACCTCAGGACACATCGAGACTGGTGTATGAACGGTCCGCGTTTGGGAGAATATTGGTTCTATAATGGTGGCCGGCAGTATGAGTGTGATGATTGCAAAGATGACATCACATACAAAGAATCGTTGCAAAATGGGTTGCAAGAACCGTCGCAAGCTGAGCCCGATGTTTAGGATGGAATGCGGATCATGAAAGCGTGTGGATATTTGATATACTCTTAATACTTCAATAGCGTCCTCAGAAAACAACCTAATAAGCGAAATAAATATAAGGTTAAGCGTAATTTTCAACTATTATTAATCTGCATCCAGCAAATGACTAATTTTCAACTTTGAAACGAAACAATACACCTTCCAAACCCTCTGCTTTTCAAAGCGACCTCACCTCGCTACCTCTACCAAGAGAAAACTTCTTAATATTCGAACCCCAAAGCCATTCATTGCAGAGGTACAAAGATAGCAAGGAGCATGATACATCCATCTATTTAAGAAAAGGATGAGTATATTTTTTTTCATTCAAATTATTAATGAAGGAGCGTGTTTTTGAGTGTATGACAGACATTTTGTTACCTATTTATTACATACATGTCTGTCTGTTCTGTGCCTACTTTGGTACCGCGCCTATTCATTCATTCACCCTTCCATTCATGCACCCACCTATGATAAAATGTGATGACTAGAATATGCATATCCAAATCTAATTGGAATAGTAATGGTGATTAATTGAATGTGACATGAGTGCAGATGTGATTCCAGAGCAAGGCGTCTTGTTGTGCCTCGAAGAATTAGAATGTTTTCGGAAAGGACGGTGACATATTCGTTTCCCATCCCTCTGAGAAACCACCCACGGCAAAACCAACCAAATTCCTAGTATAAATCCCATTGATCCAATTTCACATTCCCATTTCATAATGACGCTAAATTCGAAGGTGTTTCAAGTAATGACTTTGTATCTCGTGTATCTTGAATTGATTAGGAGGCTTCCCCCTCCTCGTTTGCTACAGGTTCGACGATCTGAGGTGCGGCTTCGTTGCTACTACTTGTTGCTGCTCCGCCATACAAGTTGGCCAATCTCTCAGCTTCTTTCTTCTCGCGTAAAGCCTCGGTCTCTCGTCGCATTTTCTCCATGTTCCATGCATCATCATTATCATCATCACCATCATCCTCATCTCCGCTCGCCTCCCAATCTCCCTTCTCGAACATAGCACGACCAGTAGCTTCCTTGGCAAGTCTAGCTTGTTCTTCACCAGCCTTCTTATCCATACGTTCAGCTTTCCACTTTGCAAAAGTCTCAGGAGTGACTGGTGTTAATGTGCCTGTAAGCTTATGTCGTTCTGACTCAAGAAAATCTTCCAATGTAAGTGTCTTGAGAGGCGATTTATCCATGAGGGCCTTTTCCGCTGCACGCTGTTCTTTGGTTTTGAGGACGAATCTGTATTATTGTTAGAAAAGCGTAGATGATTAAATTAATTGTTGTAACATACCCTGGTGGCAATTTATGCTGGTACATACACTTGTCTCCTCCATTCGGACAAGTCCAAAACCAACCATATTTTCCCTCTTCCACAGCATCGATGAAGAATTTGCAAACTTTCTCTGTTGTAGTCTTTTGATTTCCTTTCTTCGATAATACAACGGAGCGCAATTTCTCTTCGTCCCAGTCGTCTGAAGTCTCTTCTTTTCTCTTCTCTGCTTCTGCTTCTCGTGGATCCTGCGCAAGATCGATTTTTGTTGTTTTCCGCTCAATATTCAGGTCGTGTGAGAATTTACACTTCCTACCTTTTTCACAATGACCCTTCTTGTAAAATTGACACAGAACCGTCTTGGGGTCTACACCAAATGGGACTTTCTGGACCTGTACAGGCTTGAATAACTCAGCGGCCTCCTTCTTCGCCGCCTCGGAAGCTGCCTTTTCTCTCTCTTTCTGTTCTTTCTCGGCCTGTTTTTTCTTTTCATCAGGAGTACCTCCAGCTTTAAATGAAGTTTGCATGCGCTCGATTTGCTTTTGCGCTTGGGCTCCCTTCTTATTCTTCATACCGAAAGTTTTATCTGCCACGCTTACAGGTGCCTTCTTAGGCTGATCCTGCTGGCCCTTTCCCTTCTTTGGCGGCATCTTGTCGAATTTTTGATGAAGGCTATGTGAATTGTATGGATGATTGATTTAGTCGATATTGAAATCCGGTAGATAAAGGTTCAATGGAAGGGTATCGACAAACGGAAAAGACTGTGCTTGTATTTCCTTAATGTGTGACAAAAGAAATGTTCGTTTTTACACTGGTGATGAAATCAGATCAAAATCATCATACTAGGTAAGCAAGGATTTGATTGATCTCGGTGGGGTGGAAATTCAATGGCCACTTTAGCGAATGAGCTAGTCGGGGTTTGAAGCTTTGACTTGACTTTGGCTCCATCAAGCTGGCCTTACAGGAATGCCGCGAAGCTATTGCGACAAGATCTTTGGACTTTTAGAATCAACTACCTATCAACGGCTTACATTCGGGTACAATTGATGTAGATATCGAAACTTCGTGGTATGTTACTTTACACTTCCTTGTTCATTTGTTAAAAAGAATCAAATTCTAACAGTTCTTTAAGTCTACCTAATTCATCAAGTCTTTCAAACACCTTACGTGGCCTCCTTCAAGACTTTCCTTTGAATTGATCGAATTCCAAAATCACAACCAGAGTAGCAATCATACAAGATGATCTCTGACGATGAACTCTACCGCCTCGCCATCTTCCTTGGCTCAGCCGCAATGCTTCTAATCGTCCTTTACCACATTCTCGAAGTCAACTCTGCAGAAGAGCCCAAATCAGACAACAAAGTTAGCTCAACTTCCACATCTCAAGACAGCAAAGCAAACGTGGCAAATAGATGATTGGAGAGACGAATCTGGATTGATAGGATGATGGCTTTTACCACCCAGCGGGAGAGCTACGGTCATAGAAGCCTTGGCCGGAAAAGCCAATACTGTACGACAAATTTCGACAACTTCCTGGGCGTTTGTAATATCTGGAGTTTAAAGGTGGATTTTTTGATGGATGTTACTAGAAAGCTATGCGAAAAATATTTGGGCGCCCTTCTTCATGCCAATGTCCTTACCAAAGCCAACATATTGAATTCACCCGATTGTTGTGCTGCGCTATGATCTTGCGCTTTGTATCATATGAATGTCGTATTTGAGTTGAGGAAGGGCAAGATGATTGAGAATTTGGTTGATTGAACAAGATACCCACAGTTATCCATCTGAATAGTGATTTGAGAATGTCAGAATATGTATCAGGATAGCATGGAAATCCGACATGATTCATGACCAAGTTCCGCTCAATGTGATATTACATTCATCATGATATGTGATGAATACGTAGTACCAACTTACACTGTAGTTTCCTACCTATCTACGTATCCACCTAGAGGTATTAAATTACTCTATTGTCCCTAAACTGAGTATCAGAGCGCATGATTTATTAATAGTGAATCAAACTCAAATTTAGGAATTTAGAAGTCATGAGAAGTCATCCGAAGCTCCAAATAGAAAGAACTCGCCAGCTCACATATTGTCAGCTACGGTAATTCGCTAAACCTAAATAGGTTAGAATGTCATGTGTTGAATGAAATGATGACTCAGATTTAGCTTAGTGTCAAATAATGTCGCGAACCAAACTCAGCCTCCTTCCTTCCAACTCCTTTCAAAACCATAAAACCATTCAGGAACAAACAAATATCTCCAACTCTTTCGACATAATCCATCAACAACCCGAACTTCAACCACTTTCCATTTAATAGATTTCCCTCTACAAACTCTTGAAATAAATTACCTTCATTAATTTGCGACTTCATCCAACTTCGATAATCGCAAGCACTTTTGCCAACAATACTATCAGGCGCGTCCTCAGCCAAAGCCTGATTCCTCTTGGAACGCATTACAGCGCATCAGAAATTAAAGTCAGCTAGCCTCTCTCCCATCCATATCATCTTCGAAAGCGCTTGATCCATCTATACCCGGTCAACACTTTCTTGTTTTATTTGAACCTAACGTTGCGAGCCATATTCAGCCAACTTCTCGCTTTCAAACAAAACTTTACAATGTCTTCTGATAAACTTGGCCAATCTCTTGACGAGATTCTCGCAACTCAAAGAGCCTCAGGTGCAGGTCGAGGTGGTCGCGGCGGTCGTCGTGGTGGTCGTCCTTCAGGTGGTCGTAACGCCACCGCAGCTCCAGTTGGAGGCGTATCAAAGAGCAAGAAGCCAGTTAAGGGTTCAGTAAAGCCTGCTCCAACCGGTCCTTCTGGCGGAAATGCCCCATCTCGTATTGTGGTCAGCAACCTGGTATGTTTGCCTTGTCTTTCCATCTCCCTCGAGGATCAACCTGCTAATTATTTTTATCTCAGCCATATGATGTGACTGAACAGCAGATTAAGGTATGTTGCCGATGAGGTCTTTATGGCCTTCAGGAACTTTTATCGATCTTTTTACACGCCTCTTCTTGATTCGTCGGAGTGGTCGAGGCCTTTGTTTACATGAGGGATCTTTCCCTAATTCCCATCAATAAGTCTTTCTTCATACCTTTGCTCGCAAATTGCTTGATGCATTGGTAGGATTGAAGTAAGGCTCGTCAGATTGCATAAGACCAATGATTCTTTAGGTTGCCTGGCAAGCTCCTGATTTCGAACTTGGCGCAGACGAATGATGGCGTATTTTATGACTGGCATGCCATTGCATGGCAACAATAAAACGGAGACTTGCCAGAGAAAGGCATGATTGAAAGATTCAGCGAGCGCAGTGGTTGAGCAAGCACAGTACAGCACAGCACATTAATCTTTCCTTTTTTTCGAACTTGAGAATACCGGAAATTTGCGCTTTATCCATTGCGAGACACATGCACCTCTCTTATGTACACAAGTTACGGGTTTCACGAGTTACTGGGTTTACCATCCTCTGACGAGTTACATCACAACACTTTCGGCACATGGAGGGGCATTGATTGATACCACAGTCAACATTACCGACTGACGATGTTGATTCATTCATCATTCGGTCCTTTGAATTGTTCGATTTCCTGGTGCAAGCACGCATACTGACATCACCACTAACGCTGACCGCTCGCTCGCTCGCTGTTTCTTATGAGGGTGTCGGAACGAAGATGCTTTTGAAAATTGCGAATAACTTTCTTTCTATGTGGACTGCCGACTTCGAAGAGCACCATCATTTTCAATTACTAATATCCTGTGTTATCAACGATTAGGAATACTTTCACGAAGCAAAATTGCACACCAAATCCGTTCAATTAGTATACGGTCCAAATGGAGCTAGCCGCGGTGAGGCCAACATCACCTTCCATCGTCCAGGTGATGCTGCTGCAGCTGTATCAAAACTTAATGGTGTCAAGGTTGACAATAGATCATTGAGGGTAAGGTCCATTGTTCGCCAGTATTATATACGGATATTTGCTCACTACGAATAGGTTCAACTGCTTGTTGACGCCCAGGCTGCTGCTGCTTTCGAGGAGAAGGCCGCGAAGAGACTCATGGACCGCATTTCGAGCACACCAAAACCACAACCAAAGTCCGCAGTGCCCAACAAGGCAAATGGCAAGGATCAAGGATCCAAGAGAGGTGGAAAGAGAGGTTCCCGTGGCTCTATCGCTCGCCCCGCCAAGAAGACTGCCGAAGAGCTCGATTTGGAGATGGCAGATTATTGGGAGAGTGGAAATGCCGCAGGTGGAGAGACTGGTGGTGACAACCAAGCTGCGAATTCTACAGTTCAACCAGCCGCTAACGGAGATGCAAACATGGATGACGAAATCTTGGTATGTACAACGTCAGTTACATAATCTTGCAAGTTTGCTAATCTATTCTTAGTAAAATCGTTCTCGCCAGCCCTGTAAGAATATTTACGGGGGAAGAAGCAACTGTATTGAAAATACTTCCGCATCCTGCTCCAACTACCTACTTTACGCTTATGTTGATTGTATTACTGCTGCTTCCTCACGCTTTCTTTCTGTGATTTACTGGCTGGGGTTTCTTTTCTACAGTGGGAGTGGTCAGGGCATGGGAGTAGAGAAATGGCAATGAGTTTCCGCAAATAATGGTTTAACGATGAGAGTGAGGGTCGCTCCTATTGAAATTGTATTCGAGCACTAGCGTTACAGAAATGGATATTTCTTCACTCATCCTTGCTTCCATACTTTTTGCAATTTACGTGTAATCCATTCCCATAACTTAGATCAATACAAAGATTGTATATTTGACTACATTTTTACTATTTCTTTTCCTTAAATTGAATGTGGGCATGCCGTGAAGCGAAGCAGGTGTGAGAAAAAAGTATGAATCCGAATGAATCATGGATGAACAAATATGCCCTCGGCAGTTGCAGGCTCCACGCACAATCTGATCCATCCGCATAGGAAGTGAAATCGTGTATGGACTTATAATACATTAACCCTTAGTCTGAGCTACTCTCCCCAAATGCTTGCATTCATCAAGCTAGCTTGTCTATCAATGGGGATTTCGGCGTCAAAGTCGTCGATCTTTGGAAGTAGTCAATCAGTTGAAGTATACTTGGATATTTATATCATACTTGTATGGGCTTGTGTTTATTTTTTTGAGTTGGGGGAGGGGCTAGATGGTGGATTGGGGTTGGATCGTGAGTAGGGAGTGAATCGCGTGTAGGGATTGAGGGTATTCGGTACGATAAATATGTGCTCACACTCAGTTAGCAGATACCTGTATTAGAATCACAGAAATAGTCGTTAATCATCTATGAGTAGATCACATAGATAAATCATACTACAACACTCTATTTCTATTATTCACTCTCGAAGGATAAATAAGAATACTTGTTCAGACATCGATCTCTATGCATTAATACCTCTTGCTCAAATGATTCCCCTACACCCTTCTTTCCTTCCTTCACTCAACGCTTTTGGAGATAAATCATTCAGATTCACATCAAATACATACACATACCAAATATCCCCGTCAAGCAGACCGAACTTGTTCGCTAGCTTACTCCTAGATATCGAGTCATATTGTTCCATTTCATCGATCCAACCTAAGCTCGGACAATATTATAACTCGATTGTACGATACCTTTCTAATATCTGTCCCTTGGTCTATATTCCCGTGGACGTTAAGCGTCATTTGTAAGTAACATTCCAATGTTCAAACTCCCATCTGTTCTTATCATGACAGAGACAGAGATATTGATAAAATATAATAGATACAAGATACGGCCCGAAATATATCGAGAGTAGAAAGCTAATTCTACTTGAATAGTAGTACTCCGGATCGAAACGTTTACGTCGAGTGTCACCCATAAGAGCTCTTGGTACAATTTAAGGTACTAGATTCGACTGGTCATGCCATACGAGCTAGAGGGGATCTGGCAACCAGCCCATTATCAGCCAGACGGGCCTTGTCTCTTGAACCCCTATCAAGAAAGAGTTGACTTGGAAAGATAGTTATCAACTAGAACTTCAAAAGACTTAGAGAGATACAAGTTGGAGAAGGAGGAAGAGGACAATGAAGATAAGAGTAATAAATATAGTAACATGTGAAAAAGAGAGTCTAGAAAGGGAGGTGCCAGACCGGGGATGCAGAATAAAAAGGCGCGAGGAAGCTCGCGAGGAGATTTGTAAAGAACGGGCACACCATGGGATCAAGAGAGGAAGATGTTTGATTTAGCGAGATGTGCATGGGATTGCGAAGAGAAGCGTCAGGCGAAACAAGAACGTGAGGATGAGAAGAGGTGGAATAGAAAGTTGAAGTCCGTAACTTCAAAGGAGATTGAGGAATCCATGAAAACGGAGCATGAGGCCGAGAAAAGGATTAAGGAAGACGAGAAATGCAAGGGGAAGTTGGGGAGATGGCATAAGTTTGATGCAATGTTCGAGGAAGAGGCAGATCGTTGGACTGAGGAGTTGACAAGAGCCGCTGGCCCCGCTCCCGAAGGTTATCCGTATGTTCAAATCGAGCTCGGTGGTGATCATAGACGTTTTTGCATGCCCGGGAGTTATACCTTTGCTAGTAGGAGCATAGACTGTCAGGATTGCAAAGATGACGAAGAGATGGCAAGGAAAATGGAAAGATCTAAGAAAAGGTAAGAAATGAAGTGGAGATGAATAGTTGGAGGAACTTGTATTCCCACCGACTTTGATGCTGGATAAACTGGTAGTTGTTGATTATTTTGATATATTCTTAATTTAACTTGGGTTTCCCTTAGGGAGACTGGAGGCACGTCTTCTAAGAATAGAGCGTGACTTTCAAATCATAACCTTCAGTTTTCTCTTGCTATCCGTAAACTAAAACGTCTATAACAATCACTGAGCGATGTGGTTGGGTGGTCGTCTGGTTGTCTAGCAGATGCGTCAACGTCCGTGCACCGACAGCCGGCACTAGCCTTGAGCTCACTCCAGCAGCCTTGTGTTCACCGAAAGCTATACACTCAACTCCTACAATCCGCTATGAGTGTGATTAATTGTTGATATGGCTTTAACTTCTGTAAGTTCAATTATATTATTTAATTTGGATTTTACTGACAATTTTAGTGGAAAACGTTCGATTTCTTCGAGGTCAGCCAAGTTAAACCGCCAGATGATGAGAGTAAATCTATCTTCGAGAACAATGAAATTAGCTGCGTATGCTCCGGTTCTGAGAATATCTTCGTTGGAAGTTATGATGGCACTGTGCGAATCTTGTCCTCAAGTTTTAAGATTCTGCGAACGTTCCTGGCACACGATATTGGGTCAATAACACACATGAAACAAGTGGAAGGCACATCTTTGCTGGTTACAATAGCTGTGGGTGGTAATGTATCGTGACACAACATCAGAGACTGATGTATTCTAGGAAGATTTATCACACGAACCGGTTCTGAAAGTATGGGCATTGGACAAACCTGTGAAGAAGACTGGTTTACCAACATGTCAATCGACCTTAGTAATTCAAAATGGGCGGAAACAGTTTCCTGTCAGTGGCATATCTACGGATTCTAGATACTGGCTAATGCATACCAGATATCTGCGTTTACCGCAATGGATGATCTTTCACAATTGGCCGTTGGATTTGGGAATGGAGCAGTGACCGTAATAAGGGGAGATTTGATCCATGATAGGGGAGCTAAGCAAAGAACAGTACATGAATCCGAAGAACCGATTACTGGACTCGCATTTCGCGAAGAAGAGCGACTCATTAATTTGTACATCGCCACAACTTCACGACTTGTGAAGCTTGTGATATCAGGAAGAGCTGGTCAATCAGCTAGACCTGTTGAAGATTCTGGATGTGGTGTGGGTTGTATGACGGTCGATAAAAAGAACAGTGATATATTGGTAGTCCGAGATGATGCTATCTATTACTATAGAGTCGACGGCCGAAATTCATGTTATGGTTACGATGGTTCGAAAAGCCTGGTAGCAGTTTATGGAGATTATGTTGCGATAGTCTCCCCCCCCGCTACATCAATCACGACAAAATCCAGTACCCTTCGGCGATTTGGTGGGGCCCATGCAGATGATCTATTCAACACGTCGACATTTACCTTATTGGATACTGATCTGAAATTTGTGGCCCACTCCGAATCGTTAGTTTCGCACGTTAAAGACTTATTCATCATTTGGGGTGATTTATTTACATTGACACTGGATGGGAAAGTTAGTAGTCCCAGTCGATGTATTGATTGGAGCTGACAATATATTAGATACATCGTTATCATGAGAAACCATTACAACAGAGACTTGAGACTCTGTACCAAAGGAATCTTTACGTTCACGCAATCAATTTGGCTCAAAAGGCTGGTATGGATTCCAAGCAGCAAAATATAATTTTTCGAAAATCAGGAGACTTTTTATATCAAAAGGGGGACTATGATGGTGCCATGCAACAATATCTAAAGGCAATTGATAGTACGGAGCCATCACAGGTTATTCGAAAAGTATGTTCGTGCCTATGATTTTTGTTAGGCTACGGCTAACACTCTTAGTACCTTGATACTCAACGTATCCACAATTTGATCGAATATCTCGAGGAGCTTCATGAACATCACAAAGCAACAGCTGATCATACTACTTTATTGTTGAACTGTTACGCTAAATTAAAAGATATTGATAAACTGGAGAAGTTCATCAAATCTCCAGGCGATCTTAAATTTGACCTTGACACCGCTATTACCATGTGCAGACAAGGTGGTTACTATGAACAAGCCGCATACCTTGCAACCAAGCATGGTGAACATGAGTTAGTAGTGGACATATTAATAGAAGACTCGAAAAGATACCCAGAGGCTTTGCAATACATATGGCGGTTAAACCCTGATTCCGTAAGATTGTTTTCGCAATGGTTACGAAAATATGCTGACTTTTCAAAAGGCCTATCCAATTCTTATGAAATATGCCAGAGTTCTTTTGGGACATTGTCCAAAGGATACAACACAGATCTTCATTGACTACTATACAGGACATTACAGGCCAATGAAAGACGTTGTTATAACATCAGAAGCACCGGTACAACATGCTGGATATGCTGCTGGTGCCGCAGGTGTTGCCGTCAATGCTGTTGCGAATATGAGAGATTTAATCCCACTTCCTTTTATGAATACGTCTACTATCACTTCACCCGCAACAATAGGCAATGTTAATTCTATACCAGCTGATGGTCAGGTGCTTGAAGTTGTCGAGCCACCACCACCAGCTTACAGTCCACCACAACCAAGGACTGCCTTTTCTTCTTTCGTGGATCATCCTGAGGAATTCATTGTATTCTTAGAGGCATGTCTTAAAGATCCGGGTTTGAAGGAACGTGATAAGATTGACCTTTACACAACTCTATTTGAGATGTACCTGCATAAATCAAATCAAAAGAATGGACGCAATCGAGAAGAATGGGAAAGTAAAGCAAAGAAACTTATTGAGGGTGAAGATATCCCAATTGACATTTCGAATGTACTTTTACTTTCCCATCTCTCTGATTTTAAGGATGGTACCACTCTCGTTCGTGAACAAGCTGGTTTACGTTTCGATATTTTTCGATCATACACTGCTGCAAAGGACACTGCTGGTGCAATTAAAGCTTTACGCAAATATGGTCCTGAAGAGCCACAATTATATCCAGCAGCTCTAGCATATTTTACATCAGATCCAAGAATTCTGGAAGAAGCAGGAGATGAATTGGATGCAGTATTAGAAAAGATTGATACTGATGGACTCATGGCTCCACTGCAAGTGATTCAAACCCTCAGCACTAATGCAGTAGCTACCATGGGTATGATCAAAACCTACCTTCAACAAACAATTCAACGCGAACGCAAAGAAATTGCCACCAATCGTCGCGTCATCAATTCTTATCGCACAGACACTCAAACTAAACGACAAGAAATCGCTGAACTCTCCACCAAACCTCAAACCTTTAATGCAACTCGCTGTTCTTTTTGTGGTATGCAATTAGATCTTCCCACAGTTCATTTCTTGTGTAAGCATAGTTTCCATCAAAGATGTCTAAAGAATGATGATGAAGGCAACGTGGAAGGAGATTGTCCAACGTGTAAAAAGGAAAATGATACAATCAAAGCTATTAGGAGAGGACAGGATGAGACTGCAGAAAGACACGATTTGTTTTTGGATATGCTGGGGAGGAGTAGGGATAAATTTGGGACAGTAGCGGAGTTTTTTGGAAGGGGTGTTATGGAGGTTCCGGGTGTGGAATGAGGAGGGAGGACAGGGGTGGGGTTTATGTGGTTAGATAGCATAGGCTAGGTTGATATTAATGTGGAAGTTGAAAATGTTTCTTGTGTGTCTTGTTATGTGTGTTTATATGTCTGGCTGTACTTTTTACTTGGAAACTTAGAGGTGATAGGATATCTTTAGTTTTTAATGGTATCACCTATGAATTCTACACTAATAGCCTTAAAGCCACAAGTATCAATTACCTAGTAGATATTAACGCAGACCTGGTCTTTAGATATCAGTATTGTATAGAATATAAACTCAATCAACATTCTTAATCTAGGTAGATAGGCAGGTGAGTGAATTTGAAGCTCATTATTATTATTATTTTTTTCTTTTTTTTTTCCCCTTGAATTTTATCTTTTGAGTTATTTTATATTAGAATTCTCTTATTAGATGAAAAATCGTTCCAGGAGCGGGGAATTTAGGAATTAGAGAGGAGAGAGGGAAAGGAGGAGAGAATTGGGATTGTTACATGTGGTTTGTTAGTTGGTTTTAGTGTATAGTTTAAGGTGAAGGAAAGGAAAGAGAAGAAGGGGTGGGTGGGTTAGTGTGATAGTGATGGGGCTGGGGATTTGGCTGAGGATGAGGATGAGGAGATTTTGATCAGATTTTTACATTTAGATTGTTTAATAATTAATCACATTAAAATCAATCTCTTTATTATAATTAAATTCCCACCTGGAGCAACTACAATGACTTACACAAGTTAGACTTTGAATATCATGAGACTAAATTTCTCACTCATTCAGGTGAATCTAGGTAATTACCATAATCTATATTAGAAAACCGAAGTTTGATTTCTTCTCTTTTACACAGCAGCATTAATTTTGAGGCCAAGAAGGTTCGAGATATTTTTACATAAAACCAAATCAGCTCCCATACCAGCTATCACAAAATTAAACACAGTCTTTTCATGCTTTTCAATACTAGGATAAATTATCCTGTAAAAAAGAAAATACAAGTACACAACATAACTCACCAAGCTCTCTACATCGCAGATTTGAAAATCCTGGTTTAGGAAAATCATTCACACATAGGTCCCGCACTTAGGAAAAGTGAAGTGACCTCTTGTCTATGAATTGTTGCTTATGGATTTTGATGTTTGAATTCAGATTTGAGGGATGATGCCTGAGATTTGGAATTATAGATGTGCAACAAAACTCATTCAAGGAATCTTAATGGTAGGAATCCAAAAGACCGCCGCAACGCTATTTGAAAATTGCTGAAACTAACAATCGACAGCTTTTATGCTAATACGTAGAGAAGAGGTGAAGAATGAGTCTTGTAGGGATGAAGCCTGTGATATGGCATCGTAGATGTGCAACATAGCTATCGAAACTAGGAGAAGAGGAACATTTTCTCATATCCTGCGGCTAGTTAGTTATGAATCACCATGATAAATTCCAAAACCGGAACAGAAACTTGGGTAGATGTGTAACATGAGTTTGCAGGATACTCTGATTTGTAGATTTTTGATGATTTATTAAGGTTTAAAACCAGAAGAACAGCGGCACTTTCTTCCGCAATTAAAACACATATAATACTCAATTATTGAATTTAATCCAGAATCACAAATAACCCTGGAGCAGATATGCAACAAAAACTTCTAAAAGGCCCTGAATGATTCGTTTGGAACAAGCCGGCTTGTTCGAGTCATTCGTAGTTGACGAACTAGGAAAACCGGAACATGTTCTCACATTACTCGGCTCATCAGACTTTCGTTCTTTCAAGATCTGTCCACAACCAGCAAGATACTGAAGTGGATGTGCAACATAAATCTTTCCAAAGACTCTAGGTAGTAGATTACCGGGTGGCTGTCAATTAAGAGAACAGAGACATTTTCAGGATGTATAACAAATAATAAAAATGTCCGAGTAGATATGCACTTGAAATATTTCAAATGTATTGTACATATCCGAAAAATCAGTCTAGGATAGTTATTTATAGTTACTGTGACAAATATATCAGGTTATTCTATTTCAGGCCAAGCAGCTCATAAATTTTGCTCACTTCAAGAGATCAACGTGGAAGTAGAAACCTAGTTATCAAACACAAATACTCTCAAGGACTCTAAATGGAAGGAACCAAAAAATCATCCCATAACTACAGAAACAGTAGTAGTTGCCCCAGCATGCGGCTCAAAAATGTCAATTTGTCATAATATATTCCACAAACAGCAAAAATATTCGTAGATCTGCAGCAGGTCAAGGTTTCTGACTGATGAACTACTGTTGATCAGCTCAAAATGGTAAAGGCTATGAACTTGTCAGTTTTAGAGATCGGCATGATTCACACTCTGGTCAAAAACCTTATTTACAGATTCCGAACTAGGGAATCGGATCATTAACCGAATAATTTTGAGCCCCAGCCTCGCTTACAGAATATTGTCTTGTTAGGATGTGGCTTGCAATATTGAATTATAGACATGCAACGGAGGTTTCTAGAGTCTTTGAATGGTTGAAATTAAAACGCCGATGACAAACCGCTTCATAGTAGTTGGATCTAGGAAGACGGATCATGAATGGAGTTACCAGGCGGATAATTTGACCCTTTAGCCCTATTCTAGGGATGGGTGCTTGATACAAATAGAGCTAGATTAAAAGAAAGCAAAATAAGAATTAGATTCGTTATTCTAAGCTTTATTTTTGGGGGGGGGGGTATCATTCATCAGGAATAATGAATAAAATCCATTCATATTCCTTGATAGTCACTTCGATAAAGCTATTCGTTTCCCATTCGTTTACTACATGCTTCGATTAAACCTCGTTCCTCCCTAGAAAAAATTATTCTAAAAAATATAAATAATAAAGAGAGCTAGATTATTATGCCTTGTAGAATTATAAATATCAAATCCCTATTCATGCACACAGAAAGTACCGAACTCCTTCGTAAACAGCGTTGAGTTTTTAGGAGAGAACTTTAACTTGGCCGATGAAATCTACTACTTTCCTTCGTTCCACTTTTATTTCTATGGAAATTTGAGTAAAATGCTAGCATACACTTATATTTCTATAATCTATTCTACAACCTTACTGTATTGGGTATAGATATATAAGGCCTATACTCCGTTCATAAAAAAATGGTCCCTTAGGAAGGTGTTTTGTCCTTTCTGCCCGCACGAGTACCTTACTTACTATAAAAGTCCTCACTTGTAAGGGTGTGGCTTGTATGTTGGAAATCAGATGCGCAACATTATTTATCTAGAGAGTATGAGTGGCTGATTCAACAGGCTGATTCTCACAGCTGGAACTAAAGAACCGTAATATAAAATGGACTCTCTGACTATTAATCTTTTACACTTAAGTTGTCTGTCGAGCTGAGGCTTGTAAGGATGAGGCTTGTATAATGAATTGTAGATATGCAACATTATTCATCTGAAAATTATGAGTGGCCGATTTCGAGAGACTGATCGTCGCTATTGAAGGTAAAGAGCTGTACTGTGAACCGGATACTGTGATTCTTGATCTACTGTACTTAGATTGCCAGTAAGTTTAAGACTTGTAAGGGTGAGGCTTGTAAAATGGAACTGTAGATATGCAACAAAAGTCTCATGAAGCATATGAGTGGACGATTTCTAAAGTCCCAGTTCGAGACTAATTCGTGGATATTCTGGCTCTAGAGATATAGGATGAAGCGGATGCTCTATATTTTACTTCACCACACTTAAGTTGTCTGTAAAATTGAGGCTTGTAAGGGTATGCTTGTAATATACAATTGTAGATGAGCAACAAAGGTATTCTATGAGATTCTCAATGGTTGAATTCCGGAGGCCGGAAAGAAATTAGTCTGTGGCTACTAGAGTTAAGAAGTTAAGCGATGAACCGGATTATAAAGATGATAGGCCGAATGATTAAATCTGAGCTTATGGCTCATGAATCGCGATCTTCTTAGGATGAGGCCTGTAATATTGGGATGTAGTTATGCAACAGAAGTCATTCTGAAGATTTTGAGTGGCTGAATTCAAAGGCTCGTCCGATATTATTTTATGGATATTTATGAGGGCTATGAAATAGTATCATGAAACGGATTATTACCCTTCAACTTTTGGCTCAAACATTGTGCACTTGTCAGGATACAGCTTCTAGTATGAAATGTAGATATGCAACATAAATAAGTTATTTTAAGGATTACAAGGAAGTGGCTGAATGCAAAGACCAGTGAGATACTAGTCCACGGGATCGATTAAGGAATAGTATTATAAAGTGGAGTATTATTCTTCAACTGTTGATTCAAATTTCATATACTTGTCAGGATACAGCTTGTAATATTCATATACAGATATGCAAAAAAGTCATTTGATGATTGTGAATGCTTGAATTCCATAGGCCAGTGACATACTAGTTCATGGCTACCAAAACTAAAAGAGCCGGATTATGAATCAGGTGTCCGCTTCTAAGCTTATAACTCGCATATTGAAATATTTTTGGATGAAGCCTGGAAAATGAGAATGTAGATATGCAACATAATTATTTGAAGATTGTAAATGGTTGAAATCCAATGGCATACCAGAAGCCATTGAGTGATGGCTGGAGCTAGAGAACTGCAGTATAAACCGGATCCTCGACTCCTGAGCTTTTGGATCTTATGATGGAACGCTTCAGGGTATACCCTGTAATATGAAAATGTAGATGTGCAACTTAAGTTATTTGAAGATTGTGAATGGTTGAAATTCAAAGGCAGATCAAAAGGCGTTGGATGGCTAGTTAAAACTAGAGAACTGTAGTATAGACCAGATCCTAAACTTTTGAATGCAGGGCTCGTGAACTTAAACTTGTAGGGCCACAGCTTGTATAACGGTATGTAGATATGCAAAAAAAGTCTTTGGCTTATTTCCGAGGCCGATGAGATATCAGTATGATTTACCAAAATTAAGAATCTAACAATGAACCGGAATATTGGTTCTGCGTCTGTTAGTTTATGATCGACAATCTCTCCAGGATACAGCCTGTTATAGCAAGTGTCAGATATGCAACGGACATCTGGCAAAGCCCTTGATGATTGGTGTTGAACGAGGTTGATTGGATAATAATAAGATAACAAAATTATTTGTTATAAATTAGTGGAAAATTTAGTTATATCTAGCTCGGGAGTTATAAAATATACAAATGATATAATAGTATTAAATTAAGGTTTTTATAAATATTATAACTAATTTTGATCTACTTGTTTTCTTTTTTTCGAATGATTCTTTGAGAAAAACATCTGTATTTAAAAGTTTTAATGAAATTCTATTATAAATCATTTTAGTATGACATATAATATAATTCTTATACAAAAGTCAAAATTGATTGAATTATTTTATATTAATGCCATACCACGTCATTGTGTAGCCATTGGTTGGTTAATATTATTAAGTGATTTAATAATCTAATACGAATTCTTCAAGTTCAAACTGGATTTAAGAGATCGACAAAGTTCTATTCATGACTCCCTGAGCTTAGAGGCCCACCACATCATAAGGCTTCAGCTGTTGAGTCAGGATTGACAAACTTGCCAGGATACATCTGGTTGTACAAAATATAGACATGCAACAGAAGTCTTTCGTAACTGTATAAGCTAAGAGCCGAAATGTATACCGGATTATGAACTGGAATATTCATTCTTTAACAGTTGATCTACAAATCGGGAGTCTCTTAGGATATACCCAGTAATAATAAAGATGTAGAGATGCAACAAAACCATTTCCAGGACTCTGAGTGGTCGAAGTTCGAGGCCGCTCAGCATGCGTTAACGTTTTCATAACCGCTAAAGCTAGAAACCGGATCATCAACCAAAATATCCATTCGTCAAAAATTGTGCTCATAGATTTCAGACTCGTTAAGATATACCTAGTAAGATGAAGATTCAGAAATGCAATAGAAATCTTTCCAAAACTCTAAATGATTAAAAATCGAGGTCAATTCGAACACTGATTCATAAATACTAAAGAACTAGATTATTAATTGGATCATCAACCAAAATACATTTTTTCTAGTATCTAACTTACAAAATTAAATACTTCTCAGGATAAAACCGGTAAAATGAAAGTTCAAATATGTAACAGAAGTCTTTTTAGGACCGTGACTGGTTACATTTTCACAGCTAGTCCAGAATGATCGTTTTGGCTCCGAAAATTAAAAGCAGGTCTTCACTTCCTCAATTTAGATTGACTAATGAGAGACTTGTCGAGATACATCTGGTAATATCAAATGTAGAGGTACAACAGATGTTTCTCAGAGAGTATAAAGTCATTTTATATCCTTCGAATAGAAACTCCAAGTCCGTTATTATATTAATTAAAGTATCAATTTCTTATATATCTTTGTGTATCAATTATCTCTATTTATCTTTTAATTATAGAAATATAATCTATTATATAAAAATTTGAATAAAAATAAAGTAATTTATAAATAATACAGATTAATTATTGAGATTATAAAATTATCAATTTTTTTTAGAAAAAAATATTATAATATAAAAACTCCCAAGTATTCCTCAACACCATATACAAATGAAATAAAGATCAGAGATAGATAGTTTCCCAATATTGTAAAGGATATTCATAGATTCCAAGAACCTCCGTAACATCCAAGCACTATCGACCTCCCGGACGCCATAGACGCCATCAATGCCTTGAACTCCTTCGAATACCCATAACAAATGAAATGAAAATAAAACAGTGACTGATTCCTAAACCCTTCAGAGAGGCTTCAAAACACCACCTGCCTCATCACAACCTCCCACATTATCACAACCTCCTACATTACCAACGCCTCCTACCTTATCAACGCCTTCGGCGCCTCTCACGCCTACACCACCGCGTACTTCATCAGCGCCTACACCACCAAGCACAACGCGCATCAATCTCATCATCTAATGACCATCAACCCCATTAGTCTTCCCATTCCCATTAACCTCAGCAACCGGCACCACATTCTCCTTATCCTCCTCTGGAACCGGTCCCAAACGTCCATACTGCCACTCTGGCAACGTCATCCCCGTCTGATCATGAATTGTCGACATGAGCGGTGGAAGCATCTGATACAAATTCCTAATACTATCCAAACCACCCATATTAATACCCTGACCCTCAGACGATCCAGCAATTGCATTTCCCGCACCACCAGACTGAGCACCCGTATTCCAAATCGTCATCTTGGGGTTCAAACCACGAACCGCCTCGGCGTTGGCCTTGGCTAATTCTTGGTACGTGCCCCGCTCAATCATCAGGTATTGGATTAATCCTTGTGGACCTCCCATCGCTTTACTCATATCGGCGTATGCGACGGCCATGGCACTCATACCCGCTGCTTCTTTTTGTGCTCTTAAGAGAGCTGCATCGGCGGCTCTAGCCTCGGCGATATATTGAGCTTCGGCTTCGATTTTGATTTTGTAAGCTTTGGCTTCAGCGGCTTTTTGCTCGCTGTAAAATTCAAACTCTGCTCGCGTCTTCTCCTTATATGCCCTAGCATCAGCTGCTTTCTGTTCACTGTAGACTTTAGCATCGGCGGCCTTTTGTTCACTATTGGCTTTTGCAATCGCAGCCTGTTTCTCACTGTAAACCTTGGCATCAGCAGCCTTTTGTTCAGCGTTAGCTCTTGCATCCGCTAACTTTTGCTGACTGTAAAACTCAGCATTTGAGCGAGCCTGCTCCTCATAGTTCTTAGCATCAGCAGCTTGTTGCTTTGCTTCACGAAGAATGGTAGCCTTAACGACATCGGAAGCACGAAGACGCTCAAGTTCCGTTTGGGCGCGCTTAACTTCGACGTCTCGACGGAGTTCTTCGTCGCGAACTTCGGTGGCACGTGTAGCCTCTTTAAAGGTTCAATATCGTTAGCTTATAGCGTCACAACCAGTCGCGCCTCTCCCAAGAAGCTAAATCTCTTTCTCTTGCCAGATCATCTCAGTGTCAAGACTTTGAGGTACTAGTCTCTTGACTCTTCAGAAACATCCAGGTGAGATTCGAGCATCAGGATTTACAGACTTTAGATTCTGGAAGGCTTTGTAGACTTTTTGAGACACGAAATTGGGAAAATTTTGGGGTCCTCCGCGAAATAAGAATTGATTGATGACTTACCGATTTGAGCAACGTTAACATCACGGTTGTAAGTAGTTTTGCGTGTTGCAAGTGTGGCTTCAGCTCGAGCCTTCTCACTATCACGTTCTGTCTTTTGAACAGCCGTCTCGGCTTGAACTTTGGCCAGTTCTCGGTCTTGCTCTGCTTTACGCTGTGCCTCTCCAACAGTACCCAAGCGTTGAGCTTCTGCTACATCAATACGGGCTTGATTGATAGCACCCTCGTGTGCTTTCTTGCTAAGAGATGCAAAGTAGTTTGAGCCTGGCGCATCTTTAAGTTCCTTGACGTTAGCATTGTAGATTCTGAGACCGAATTGACTCAACTCGGATTGAATGTTCTTGAAGATGTCTTTCTTGAATGCTTCTCTCTCTGTGAAGATCTTCTCCATTGACATTGAGCTGACGAGAACACGGGTTTCACCCTCGATGATGCCAACAACAATCTTTTTAAGATGTTCGCCAGCATGACCACTATTCTTTGTCTCTCCCTCTGCCAACAGCATCGAGAACTTCATAAGTGCATCGTTTGAATCCTCCGCGTCTGTTTCGCGGTTACGATCGGCGGTACGAGCATTATCGCCTCTGCGGTTGACATCAGGACCGATGGTAAATACAACAGGAATGGCCAACTGAAGTTTCTCTTTTGTCATAGCCTGAAGGGATAACTCATAATCGCGAGGTTGAATACTAAAACGTTGAACCTAAGATTTATCAGCAGTGCGATGTGGAAGAAGGGGTTAGATTCACCTTTTGAAAGGGCCAAATGAAAGCACTCTTGCAAATTTTCACAGTTGCGATCCTCGCGCCAGTAATAGCAAGGTACTGTAATAGTTAGTGATGTGGGGTTTAAGTGTGCTAAGAATAGGTTCTAACCTCATTGGGGGAAGCGATCTGATAATACATGATGATGTTTGTGGTGGTGATTCTCTGCAGAATCCAAACAGAAAATCAGGGGGATATCTGTAGAATCTATAGAAGTTCGAAGAGCGTAAAAGGTGTTAGTGCTATGATGTGTTAATCATACAGTAAATGTGATATACATGTGAATATGTTATCGAATACACACTTATTCTGAATTTATCAAGAGGTGTGAATGTTAAGAAGAATCCAGAGATATCCGGTGGCTTTAGAATGCTTCCAAAGTCTTCTAAGATTACTAGTTGTGTTATTAGTGAGCTTTCGATGACTCGTGACAACTTGTAACGATTGAACGAGAGGTCTAAATAAATAGACATACCAGTGCAAACGTAAATTGGCAGAGTAATGATTTAATCTAGACCGCAGAAGATCAAGTGTGATAGGTCACCTGACTTTGATAATCTTTCTAGTAGAGATATAGTTCAAATAGCGGGAAACGCGAGTAAGTAGGTACTATGGCGTGATAATATTGGAACCCCGCAATTATTGATACTAATGATGTAGTAATAATATAGAAGTATCGATAAAAAATGAATTGAGCAAAAAAATGAATTTATATATCTTCAAATGTGCTGACAGGCTGAAAGTCCTGTGTTACCAGACACCCCATGTTTGAGGCATGGCAAACATACAATCTAATTGAGTCACTGAGGAATTCTAACTCAAAACAGCTACCGATGTTTCGCCAACATGTCAAAATGGCTTGGTACAGGGCGAACGCGACATATGATAGATGAAGCATGGAGGAGGAATCCAAATGTCAGATTCTTGACATAAAGAGGGGAAAGCCTGGTCACAAGCCAATAGCGTTAACGGCGCAATTCATTGATCCAATGATGATGTTGTTGCACTGCCGCCATTCCGACCGCTGAGAGTAGAATAAGAAATGGGCTGATTCATTCCTATGGTAAGCTTGCAGCAAGCAATGGATTATTCTTTGGAAATATGAGCATGCAACGGAACATTCATTTGCTGACCAAGATACGATGGATTCCCGTTGCTTTGAGAATGTTATCCAACTGGTTTGAACAGAAATGATGTTGTGCCGAAATCGGCAATCGGCTCAGATAATGATGTGATGTTAAAGCTTGGAAATGCTGGCTAGGGTGCCGAGCTTTTCAGCCCCTGGACAAGCCACTAAAATTGATGATCTCCACCCCGGATCTTCTAGCGAGCTTCTAGAAAGTCTCAGCTGACAATCATCGCTCCACACAGCCATCGTCATACTCACCTGTGGAGTCACAGCAAAATGCATATCTTTGTTAAGGCGGACGAGGCAGATAACGTTAAATGGACATCTCGTTACCCCATGTTTGAGAGCCTGGCAGCTGAACAACGCATGCTTGGTGTTACACAGCCTAGGGAATTATCCGACTACCGCCATCTATCTGTGAGACCGCAAGTCTTCGATCTATGAATCTTCAGAAATCATTCGATTTATATCAATACTATGAATATCACATACCCAATCACATGACTCACGTCATCGGATAATAAACTTTCTCCTGTGAATCCAGTCTCGTGACTATTGGACTAGTAGTAGGCTAGTAGCGCTAAGTCGATGGTCTACACTACTAAGCCTGACGGCGTTAAAAGACTACGGTACTTTCAATCAGAACTTGACTCAACGTACCGGCCTTCGGCAAGGAAAAGCAGATACTTGCCCAATCCCCACTCAAATCTTCATCACCTCGATCACTCTCAAAAATATCACATTTTTGGAATCACTCATCACCATGGATTCCAAACTTCCAACATACGAGGATGAAAATGGACCAGCTCCTCCATCATATCTCGACTCCTTATCATCAGCATCTCCTAAAACATCCAAGATATCGGGCCCATCAACGTCTAAATCAACATCCTACGGTTCGCAAATCCAATCCCAGCTCAACAATCTCAGCACACAATTCAGCTCGCTTCAGACCCAAAAGTCTCTCCTCGCGCACGCCCAAGAAGAGAAAATTCTCTCTCTTCTCACAACTCAAATCCAAATCTACCTATCCGGATTCGCAAACACTGGTTTAAGAAAAGGCACATTAATTTTGATACCAGCACAATGTCTTCAGAACGAAAAGGCACAACCACTTGAATTTGATCAGGAAGATAAAAGTACATATGATGTATTTGTGGAAGTAGGAGATAAAGAAAGTCTTAACGGTGGGACATGGTTCTGGGAAGATGAGGAAATGGCAGAACGATTGGCTGCGGCGTTGAAACCAAGTACGGAATTACCTTCTAGGGAGACCGTTACGCAAAAGGGTTCTAATGCTGGAGTACTCAGTCAAGGAGTAAACAGATTTTGGAAAAAGAAATCGAGCTTGAAGAATGTGGAAACTCCTGTGTTGGTTGAGGATATGAAGGTTAGTTCTGCTGTTGTGGAGCCAAGGGATAAGGTACACATGGAAGTTAAGGCTGATGAGGTTGTTTTTGAATATGAGAATACTTTTGGTCTTTTGGAAACTCAACGGGGATATGGGGTTGTACTTTCCTTTGAAATTCTGAATTAATGGGTAGTTATAACTCAAAGCATATTATGGGTATCGAGAGCTGTCCTTTGACAATAACTTGAACCTCCCCTGGATTTCTTCTGTTTCTACTATGCACATCTCAGATGAAGTGTATCTTACCATACTCATCTTTCTTGTCTTTGTCTGAGCATGACCTGATAAGACAACTAACTCATGGTATATTCACTTGCATTAAAGACCCATGGAGACTAGAAATCTATTCAAATTTCTATTTGTCTGAGTGTATTTGTTCCATGGTTCGGTTCAACTTCCTTTCCCCGAAAGACTAAGGATACTATTGATGTATATCCATGTGCACCAGCTTGACCCTAAAAATATAAAGATCCCGCAGCTTTCAATTGTAGATATTTATCACGCCACTGGCACGTTTTTGTAACAGTCAAACAATTTTTAGATAATGCATAATCTTGGTTAATTGTATAAGGTTATAGTCTATAAACTTTATTGTCGGCTTGCCGACACCAAGACCTTGCTGTACGCGAGGTTTACCCGGTATGATCAAAGAAAATTAGAAACTTGCTTAAGTGAAGCTCGATCCTGATAATCTGATTGGTCTAAAATACCCCGTTAGAAAATCTGAAAAAAAAACCTTGGCGCAACCCAACCTTACAGCCTTAGGCACATATGACTTGGAGCTTTTTTCAATTCAGCTCATTTAATCCAATTCATTCTGTCAGGTTTTCGTATCACGATAGGGGATAGGTAATATCGACGGCAATAGGGTTATATTTAATACAGAACTAAACCTTACCCTTCTATATTCAAGGGTAAGCTAGTTCTATATAGACTATTTCTACATCGAAGGTTTTAAACAAAGGCCTTTCATCTTCCGGCTCATCGCCGGAAAGGGCTAGGCCCCCTGTTACGAACGGTATTTAGTTACGACTAAAACCTGTATCACATGACTAAACAATGTGTCACGTGGTCCCACTCGTCCCACCGATTTAAATCGAGGGGAACGGTGGGAAGGCCTCCCACTGATCCCACTGATTTATATCGAGGGGAACAGTGGGACATACGGCACGAAGGTCTATATAATCAAGATGGATTTCCTTTGTATAGAGCTTCGTGCTCAAGATCAATCATTTAGTACACTCTACTATTAGTTACGAATTGCATATTATCATTGTCATTACTTTAAGTCCCTGCTTGACGCCTAGTTATAAACCATTTCGAGAGCCTAGAGCACTTCCACGTGATCTAGACGGCAAACCTCGTAACACTACAATCAAATATAGTTATTTGGTAAGACTACATCAATTCAATACAATCACTCGATAGTTATAATTCAACGCTAGATAAGAATTATA